CCTTACTGCCCACTACTGCGGCACAAACCTGTTAAACAGAAAGTCATTCCAAGATGCCCAACCCCAGGCACCACATCCTCTTCAGTCGCTGGCATTACGTGCGTCGTTTGTGTCAGGTACAAGTCAGGCACCCGATGAAAGGCTCTGTCCTCGCCTTGGTAGTGCCGTGGCGGAAAATAATGGTTTGATAAGTTGAAGCTAAACGCGACAAGATGCTACTTGAGTTGTTTTGTACTTCAGAACTATATGGAGGTATAAAAATGGAATCACAAACAAGGAAGGCAAGCGTAACGATGATTTTTTTTAACAAAAAAACCCATAGACACCCCCTTAAATACCGAGTCGTCGAAGAAAAATACAAATAAAAGACTCAAATCATTCGATACCAAATCCTCCGCACGCGACACATGCAGTAGAGGCACAGTGAGTGCAGCAATGTTCAATATTGAGATGCATGGAAGATAATCGCGCAGCTTGACTCTGACGGCAAGATTCTTACATAGACTGGACAACCAGGGGGCCGCCTCAGTGGGCCGCTGGGGTAACCGCGGGACCTTACGAACAAAACACAGAGCAACTTGTAAACGACGTCTCGCGTCTGCGCTTACCGCTTGTGCAGTGCGTTCCACGGTCGCGGTCGACGTCGGAAAAGGCGCCGTCCAGATCGCAATACATCATACTGAGAGAGGACCAGGGACAGGCACTCACTTGACACCATTGTCACACCAGTGCACCCTGACTATGACTATGCTCTCACCAACACCCGGCGAGAGAAGGTTTCTTGCGGCCGATGTTCCTGGCCCTTTCCCCTCTCTTTCTTGTCTGTGGACTGCCTTGGGCTCGAGCTTGGGCTCGGGCTTGGGCTTGGGTCGCCAAGGCCCCCAGTCCAATTTCTAACGAGCGCCCAAAGTGGAGGAGGTCAGTAAAAACAAGAACCACTACCGGAAGAGCGAGGGCCTTCCCGAGCTCTAACCAGAATACCCGTCTCCTTCGTTTTTTGAGAGTCGGTGGGGGCATATCGAACGATATTTTTCTGGTCGCTACAGCCGTGTGTTCCTGTCCATCCTAATATCGTGTTATTGTCTCCTCTTTGCAGCGACGGTCGTTTTGCGCGGGAGCATTTTGAGTCTTTGACGAGCCATACGAGTTCAGAGCGCGAATAAAAGTAAAAAGGGCACGAGCGGACAAGTGGATGGCTCAAGAGGATAAAGGAAGAGAGAGACAACAGACAGGACAATTAGACAAAAGTGACAACGAGCGACGCAAGAGGCAGGAAAGTCGAAAAAAGTAGCCGAAAAGGTGCGACAGTCGAGATGAAGCCTTTTTTTTTTTTTTTTTTTTTTTTTTTGGCTCGATTGGGGCTGGGCAACGTCGCAGCAACGGAACGGTGGCCACCAGTGACAGCTCGAGGTGGGGCAGCCGGGCAAGTGAAAAGACAAGACAAAAAAGGAAAAAAAGGAAAAAAAAAAAGAAAAGAAAAACAACGGTGACAGACGCAGCTCTGGCTTGGCAATGCGACGCTGGGAAGATACCGGCCTTTGCCGGCCCCTGGTTCTGCTCTCCTCCCCCACCGACCGTTAAATTGGGGCGCAAACTGGAGGCAGAGTCGAGAGAGTCAAAGGCGGTAGACAAGCGGCAAGCTGACAAGCACTACCACAGTACTGTGTAAAAGGAAGGATCGGCCTGAACGGAGAGCGACAAAAAGCCGAAAAGCGCAACGGCCAGTGGATGGGCAAATTCAACGGCAGGTACGAAGTACAGGCGCGCTATTGGCAGTGGCCGTCCAAGAAGGACCTTGGAGCAACAGGACGACAAATACACCGTAGTACCAATTGACGATCCTCGTCGTATTTGCAGATATTTTTGCGTTTTACGCCGTCAGGATGGATATACGAAGCTTTGGTCTTTGCACTGTTTACGTTACTGTCGCCTTCGCTTTGCACTTTATGCAAGTTCCTTTTGTCGCCTCCTGCATTTTGCTGAGGTGCGATGTGCTGGTACGCTAACGGTGGAAACGCGGTGTGGTTCGTGCCTGCCTTTCTCGTTTTAGGCTAGCGCAGCAGCCGCTTGCCCCTTTTTCAAGCTGGCAGGTTGGCAGGCTGGCTGGCTGGCAGGCTGGCCATTTATTTTTGGGGCCCTGTTCTTGCGCTTTCCGTGGATATTCCGTATTGTGACGGAAAGGACGGTTCTTGCAGTTTGGGGAAAGAACGGTTCGGTCACACCTGCTGTGTTACGAGCCGTTGTCCACCCGTTTCCCAGGTCGATTCCGCTCTTTCGCTTTGACGTTGCGGTTGCCCACAGCTGCGTATTCGCCGGTTGTTCACTGGGAAAGGAAAGCGCTACCCGTCCCGCGTCCCACCACCGCCAGGCCACGCACTTCGAGCCTATGTGCGATGTACTTTGTATCTTGCGAAGATGCGGTGCTAAAGGGATCGAAAACATGGAAACTCTCCCGAGCTCCGTTAATACTGGGGATGTTGTGGGTATTAGGCCATCAATATGTTGCAAAACGGACGCGTCCAGAGGGTCCCAGAAGCCAATCCGCCCCCACAACCACAACACGACAACAGAAACAAGTAAAAAAACAAGACACTAAACCTTCTGGACTGCTGGCTGGGAAAGGAAAGAGCCACCCGCACCCCCCTTTTCCCCTCCTTTTTTCTCATCTGTCCGTTGGACGATTTGGGTAAGATACTGTGTACACAAACCACACGGTGACCCGTTCTTTCCAACTTCTGTGTTGACGGCGTCCGTTACGGCAGCGTCAATCAGTCCACAGAGCCACGCCTTCCCGTTTTTCTCCAGTCGTTTTCACCCAATAGAGTGCGTTCAATGTGCTGAACGATCTTTCCTGCCAGTGCCTCCTACCTGTAAATTGTATCGAACCTACCCATGCCGTCATCAGCTATTCTGCTCGTCCTTTTGGCTTCACAGTTGCTCTAACGTGCGGGGCCTGCATTCCTGTCTCTCCTTCGCACCCGATCTACGGACGCTCGCCCTCTCCCTCCATCCCTCGCTCCCTCCACTTCTGGACTTATGCGCACTTCTGTACACTACGCTCCCTGCTTCCCTTGCTTCGCTCGCCCTGCCCCTCTCCAGTGTCTAATTCGCCCTCCCACTCAGAAACATACGCTGTATCGTGCGTCGACAGGCACCAACGGCCGACACTCGCCGATACATCTCTCCGAGTGCTCCGCTTGCCGATCGGCCGGCTCATAGAATACAACCAAAGTACATCCCTCGATCGAAAGGCTACCAATAAAGCGCCTGACAGCGAGGATCCAGAACAGAACTAATTGCGAGACTACACTCAGACAAGACACATCATCACGCACTGTCGATTACGCCAGAGGACAAGGTACGACGGTGCGGAGTCCATCTGGTCGATTTTGTGTTTGTTTGTGTGTGTTATCCGCGCTCCCTTTGCCACAACATGTGATGTGTCTTGTTTTTGGGACTTGCCAGAGACTGCGATCGTCTCCATCTGTCCATTTTGGCAGACGCTTGGTTGCATTAACAGCCCGTCCGTGATAGGGCCCTTGTCCATACAAGCACACTACCCTCGAACCCTCGAGCACCGTTGCATTCTCGCTCCTCGCTTGCTCTTAAACCTCACTGACCCCGTCGTCAGCTGTCACTCTTTCCGTCTCTTCCCCCTCTTTTCGACCTCCCGATTTGTTGTCGAACTGCCTGCTTTGCTTGTCGATTTCGCGGCCGCCTTGACAAATCCAGCCTCTTTTGCTAGTCTCGAGTCTCGTCACGACAGTTTTGGCTTATGACACGTCCCGACGAAACGGAACACACTTGCCTCTTGAGTGTTTACCGTCGGCTCGACACCCTGCTGTTCTGCATTGTGCGCACATCTTCTGTGACCATCAGGTAGGCAAACGTTTCCGTCTCTTTCCAGTTTTTTCCAGAGTCCCAGAGTCCCACTGAATACCTCCGTCATTGCCTTGCCTCATCTTGTTTTGGTGCTCTCTTTTGAGAACCACAACGTATCCGCACACTCGTCTGCATTGCACCTTGGCACTTGGGGTGGATATACCCTCCCCCGAAACGTCGAGGGCCAGGGGACGCCCCTGTCTTACACCAACGGGCGGAGCTTGCCCAGGGGATCCTCTTGCGAAGCTTGCCCACAACCTCACACCCCGTCCACCCTCAACCGAGCTTTTCTCTGCGTCCCACGCCCAAGCACACGCCCCCATACACAAGTATGGCCCACTGCTCTCTGTCGTGTCGATGCGCTACCCACTTACCCACGGAGTGGTTCTCGAGTGGTCTCCCTCATAAGCATAAGCGCACTCCCACCCTCTCTTGACATTCTTAACAATCCCTCTGCGCCTCTTGGACTTCCACTTCCACTTCCTCTTGAACTTTGGTCTCTGCCACCAGCTTCTCCTACATTCCTCCGCGTCTTTTTTCAGCTCCCCTTTTCCCGCCCTACGGCCTATCCCTTTCTTCTTTCTTTCGACGCTGCTTCATCTCGCGTTTGCATTCCAGGCGACGACTTTCTTCGAGCCGACGCGCATGTCGGATCTGGACCGGGGCTGATCCAAGCGAACTTCAAGGTTTTTTTTTTTTGCTTTTACAAACATACGACAGCGGTCGACGTACTCATCGACGTACTCAGCAGCATTCTTTCGACGGCACTTACTCACTTTTTTTTTGTCTGTGTCGACGGCAAGTACGATCAATCAGACTATCCAACAATCAGCATACAGTGACGCTTCATATTCATACTGCTCGTCTTATCCGAATTGAACGACACTCATGGTGCTGGCCTCATCGACCTTCCAGCAGCAATGGCTATGCTGAGTCAACATCCCATGCGTACGAGCCTTTCCGTGGCTCCTCTCTCTTTTCAAAAACACTCCCTTTCGACGACTTCTTCAAACGACGATGGCTATCTGAGCGTCTACCCTCACCACGCGGAATCGTCTGCATCTTCTACCACTCTCTCTGCATCTACCGTAGCCAGCAAGGTCTATAGCAACTCACAAATGACTCCGCCAGCAACACCGAATGGCTCCAACGAGAGCTTGCCACACGGCGACCACCCGCGGCAAGAATCGACGGCAACAACCGGGGCAGCAATAACGACTCCATCAGCTTCGCCGCAAGACTACTCCCAGGACCACCCGCAGGAGTATGCGCAGGAGTATGCGCAGGAGTATGCACAGGAGTATGCACAAGAGTATGCGCAAGAGTATGCGCAAGACTACCACCACAACGAGAACTACATCTACACGTCGCCCTCACTGGCCGACCCGCCACCAGTTTTCCACAACTTCTTGCGCGCCTACTACGCCTTCCATCCGAGCTATTCCCCAGCTGACTCGACCGTCACCCTGCCGATGAACGAGGGCGACGTGATCTTGGTGCATTCCATCCACACGAATGGCTGGGCCGACGGCACCCTCCTGGCCTCCGGAGCCCGCGGTTGGCTGCCGACCAACTACTGTGACGCCTACGACCCGGAGGAGATGCGCAATCTGTTGAACGCGCTCCTCAACTTTTGGGACCTGATGCGCAGCACGACCATCAACGACAACGAAATCTTTGGCAACCAGGAGTTTATGAAGGGCATCATCGCTGGCGTGCGCTACCTCTTGGAACGCACAAACTGTCTGACGCGCGAGTCGGCTGCGGTCCAGCGCCATGATGGTCTCCGCCGCGGCCGCAAGTCGCTGCTTTCAGAGCTGTCGTCGCTTGTCAAGTCGGCCAAGCGCCTGCAAGACCACCAGCGTTCCCCCAGCTCGACCGAGAATGCCAACGACATCATCGACGAGATGATCCTCAAGGCCTTCAAGATAGTCACCAAGGCTGTTCGCTTTTTCGACGTCTTGGAAGACGACCGCCGCCAGCGTGCACCGACGGTGGCTGTTATGGCGACTGTGCTGGAGGAGAATTCGGTGCCGCCAACGCCGCCAGCCGATGCGATCACCTTCCGTTCCGGCACCAACCAGAACGCTGGCACTGACGGGCAAAGTGATCACGTTATGGTCGACAGCAGTGCAGTCGACAGCAGCAACAACAACAACAACAACGAGAACAACGAGTACAACGAGAACAACGACAACAACGACAACAACGACAACACGGTGACACTCTCGAGCTCTGCGCCCGCGGGTTTGAGCATGCCCGCCTCAGCGTCGACCCCGCTGTTGTCTGCGTCAACAGCAGTGGCACCTGTAAACAAGCGGCTGTCTAGCATCGCTGCTAGCTACCACAACCGTCTCTCCCAGACGACACCGCTTGTCAGCCACCGCATGTCCTCGTCGAGCATTTCTCATCGTGTGTCGCTGGCGGGACCCTCGTCTCTCTCCCAACCCCAGAACCTGGTGTCCAACCGGCTGAGTGACCGACACGACACGTTCTTGTCCTACCTGGGCTCGTTCATCGGCCGTCTTCACCTGCAGTCGCAGTCTCGCCCGCACCTGGCCCTTGCAATCAAACAATCGGCTACTTCCGGCGGCCAGCTCCTCGTGGTGGTCGACGTTGTCTCTGCGCACAATGCTCTCAGCCGAGAAATTTTGCTGAAATCTCGTGGCGCCATGTGCGACCGCATTGTCGACCTGTGTGCCTTGCCCGAGACATTCTGACGAACCCCATGCCGGACGTCGAGGATGTCATCATGCCCCAAGACAATGGCCGTCTCCTGAGCGCCGCCACCGACTGTGTCAAGGCCACCGGTGAGTGTGTCGCTAAAACAAAGTGGGTCATTGAGCGCATTGGCGATTTCGAGTACGAATTTGATGATGCCACTCTCGCGTTTGACCTGGATCTGTCTGTCTTGGACGCTGCGGCTGCCGAGAGCACGGTCCACAGCCCCCTGGACACGTCCGCGCCGCTTGTCAAGGACGAGCGGCCGCAGACGGCCGGCGGTTCAGCGAGCGTTGTCGACTCGGTTGTCTCTTCGTCAGTCTCTGCGGCGCCTGCTTCTGTGGCCGCCACTACGTCCGTGGCCACCTTCTCTACTTCCCTTACCAGCAATCACGAACCTAATTCTTCCGTTGATGCCACGACGGCCTCTGCACCCACCTTTTCCTCCGCCAACTCGTCTCCCAGCAAGCGCACAACGCGCTCCACGCCCTCCATCGACAAGCCGCTGCCTGAAGTCCCCCAGGGCGTTACGTCGCCGATCGAGGAGAAGCGCTTCTCCCACCACCGGCGCTCTCTTTCCATCGTGCGCCCTCCTTCGTTTGCCGCCGAAGACAGCACCAGCTCCATGAACAGCAACAGCAACAGCATGGCCACGGCGCCGGCTCCCGAGGTGTTTATTCGCCCTACACTGCCGCCGCTGCGGCGCATTTCGACGCTGCTGCCCAACGACGACTTCAGCCCAATCGAGCCGTCTGCGAGCAACGACGGCGAGTTCACCTCGTCGTTCCGTTCCGAGAGCCTGACGGCTCTGAGCTCTGGCACAACCAGCACGTACGCCAGCCGCGATTCGGAGTCCAGCCTTGTATCGCAGTCCTCGACGCGCGCCACAACACCCGAGATGGCCAACAACGGTCCGAAGAGCCAGCCGTCTCTGTCGGACATCAGCATGACGGGTAGCGGCACGCTCATCGAGGATGGCGAGGAGGATGTCGAGTCGAAGCTTCTCGAGCGCACCTACGCACACGAGCTGATGTACAACAAAGAGGGCCAGGTTACCGGCGGCTCGCTCCAGGCTCTCGTGGAGCGCCTGACTACACACGAGTCCACCCCGGACGCCATGTTCGTGTCGACGTTCTATCTGACATTCCGCCTGTTCTGCACACCCATCAAGCTGACCGAGGCCCTGATTGACCGCTTCGAGTACGTCGGCGAGTCGCCGCACATGGCCAACCCGGTGCGCCTCCGCGTGTACAACGCCTTCAAGGGCTGGCTCGAATCGCACTGGCGCGACGAGACGGACCGCGAGGCGCTGGCCTTTATTGTCCCCTTTGCCGAGCACAGACTGGGCCTCATCCTGCCTTCTGCTGGCCGCCGCCTGCTTGAGCTGGCGCAGCGTGTCAGCTCCAGCGACGTCACCCTGGTCCCCCGCCTGGTGTCGTCCATGGGCAAGACGAACACGGCCATCTCGCAGTACGTTCCTCTCGAGACGCCTCTGCCGCCCACAAACATGTCCAAGAGCCTGCAGCACGGCCTGTCCAACTGGAAGATGGGCGGCACCGCCCCCATCATCATGGACTTTGACCCGCTCGAGTTTGCGCGGCAGATCACAATGCGGCAGATGAGCATTTTCTGCGCCATCATGCCCGAGGAGCTCCTCGGTTCGCAGTGGATGAAGAAGGGCGGCCGGGACTCGCCCAACGTCAAGGCCATGACGGCTCTGTCGACGGACCTCTCCAACTTGGTGGCCGACACCATCCTGCAGTACCCCGAGGTCAAGAAGCGTGCCAGCGTCATCAAACAGTGGATCAAGATTGCGCACCAGTGCTACGAGCTGCACAACTACGATGCGCTGATGGCCATCATTTGCAGCCTCAACAGCTCGACCATTAGCCGTCTCCGCCGCACGTGGGATGTGATCTCGCCCAAGCGCCGCGAGATGCTCAAGATGCTGCAGGCCATTGTGGAGCCGGCGCAGAACAACAAGGTCCTCCGCGGCCGCCTGCACGACCACGTGCCGCCATGCCTGCCGTTCCTCGGCATGTACCTGACGGATCTGACGTTTGTCGACATTGGCAACCCGGCGACCAAGCAGCTGCCTGGCCAGGATAGCGGCGAGCCCAATGGCGCCGGCTCCAACGGCTCGGGCATGACGGTGGTCAACTTTGACAAGCACACGCGCACGGCCAAGATCATTGGCGAGCTCCAGCGCTTCCAGATCCCATACCGCCTGATTGAAGTCCCGGACATCCAGGACTGGATTACCAGCCAGATTACGCGTGTGCGCGAGCTCGAGACGCCCGGCAACAACATGCAGGTGTCCTACTACCGCAAGAGTCTGCTGCTGGAGCCGCGCGAGAACCAATCGGCCATCAAGTCGGTGGTGGACGCCGGCACGTCGGCCGCTTCCACGGCGGCGCCTTTGATCAAGGAGTCGTCTTCGTCTCGCACCGACCTCTTTGCCTGGATGCGCGGTGGCAATGCCAACAATGCAACCAACAACGCCTCGAACGGCGCAAACTAATCTTTACCAACACACACACACACTCTCTCTCCTGTCTCTTCCCTCAAATTCCACCTTTTCTTTCGTTCTATTACATCTGGCCCATTTTGCATCGTTCTACGCCTTCTAAATGATACCCATTTTCTCATTTTTTTTCTTCTTTCCCTTACTTCTCCCCTAAACTCGCCACCCTTCCAATTCGATCCTTCCTTTCTGTTGTTTTTATATTTGGCTCTGATCATGGCTGTTACGTCTCTACATGTCACATCATATGTATTGCTCACGGCCGCATTCTCTAGCAGACTTTTCTACTTTTTTTCGTATCTCCTTTCATTTTCCTATTTACCATTTTTCTTTTCTTTTATACAGCTCATTGCACATGGTTTCTTCTGCGGGCAACCGTCTGGGACTTTTTGACAAGATCAAAGAGCTTCGGAGCTCGGCAGCTGGGAGCGCTTCTTTTGTCCCCTCTTTCTGTCATTGTAATTTTGGGTTTGGTGGCGCGTTCTGGTGTGTTCGGCAAGGAAAAAAACAACTATGGGGAGTTTTTGCTGCTTTGTTTTCATCCATCTTTTGTCTCTTTTATATATTCGGGTATCTGATATTGGGCACCGGGGTTATCGACCCCCTTTCAGGATTCTTTTTTCCATTCCCTCCATCTTACTTTGGACAGCCCCAAAACCAAAAGAATGGGATACAAAATGGGGAAACTCACCTACCTTGGGAAAAGCAAACAACTGCTGCTACTATACATAACTGTCACAATAGTGTGCTGGCTTGGATACCGGGTTCGCACCCGCCAGCTTCAGCGAACAAATGGTTCAAACTAAAAATTAAAACACGTTACTATATAAACCTTTCCGGTGCATTGTGAAGTGAATATTGCGTGCAAGTGAATTTGGTAGTCTGCCTGTGAGCAGCACAGATACGGCGTAGTACAGTGAAATGACCTGTTTTGGCAGTGCTCGTGGCCCCTTTTTGGCCAGGCCTTATCTGCAGATTTGGCGGGAGATCCTTGTTCATAATAGCTATGGGGTGGACCCTTACTCGAGGGCGCGTGCGAACGTGGAGTGTAGATAGCACGTGCCGCGTCGGGTTAGCGGGTCGAAAGAGGAGAACAGCGCAGAGCTGTGGTAGACATCGCTGCCGGAAAAACGATCAGTGGAGAGAAGAGAAAGACAGGGACAAAAAAGGGGGAAATTCTGGCGCTCCCCATGGTCTCTTTCGCGAGAAGAGGCCCCCCTCCCCCGGCAGTCTTGCCATCGTTTTCGTTTACCATCCTTCTGCATGTGCCAGCAATGCGAATTTCCCTTTCTCCTCGGGGACGCGCATGTGGCTCTCGTCTCTCCTATTCTCCGTCTTGTCAAATCTGGCAATCCCCCTTTGTCTCTACGGCCCCTTCCTGCATCTTCTGGCGTACTCTCCTTTACTCACTTTTTTCTTTTCAATGTTTGGATACGACGCAATGACAGCGGATTATCGACGACACACTACTTGAACGACGGCCTTTGATCTCCAAACAGATGCTGAATGGCCAGTTGTCTTCCATTCTTCACTTATGCTTGCTGCAATTTTAATTCAATTTATATATACGGTTTGGCTTGTGGCACTCTTCCCCCTTGTCTCTTTCCACCCTGCTATTTACTTAAGTATCTTGGATGTCCTGAAGGTGTCGTTATGTCGTTTCCACGAGTTCTGTCCTTTCCTTTGTTCCCGTGTCCTTGGTCCCGTCGGCCCCTACCGTGAGGGGTACCGTCTATTTCCAGCCGTTGAACTTGAGCATGCTGCCCTGCTCGTCCAGCGCGCGGTGCAGGTCAAAGGCCTGGTACAGCAGGTGCGGCTCGTGGCCCATGCCGCGCTTCAGGCAGTACGCGTCGGCCTTGTCGAGGTAGTCGCTCAGGATGGGCTGGTACAGCGGGTGGGCGCACTTCTTGACGATGACGCGGGCGCGCTCGCGGGGGCTGAGGCCGCGGACGTCCGCCAGGCCCTGCTCGGTGACGACGACGTCGAGATCGTGCTCGGTCTGGTCGACGTGCGTGCACATGGGCACGATGCAGGAGATGCCGTGGGGGTCGGACTTGGAGGGGCGGGCGGAGGGGGTGTGCATGATGGAGTACTTGGCGTTGCGCAAAAAGTCGGCGGAGCCGCCGAGGCCGTTGAGCATGCGCGAGCCGTTGACGCAGGTGCTGTTGGCGTGGGCGTACAGGTCGACCTCGACGGGGGTGTTCATGCCGATGACGCCGAGGCGGCGGATCAGCTCGGGGCTGTTGGACACCTGCTGCGAGCGCAGCAGCAGCCGGTCCTTGTACGACGCCCAGTTGGCGTAGAAGCGCTTGAAGCCGTCGGGGGAGAAGCGGATCGACGTGGCCGTGGCAAAGTCGAGGTGGCCCGAGTCAAAGAGGTCCAAAAAGGTGTCCTGGATCACCTCGGTCCACACCTTGAGGTGCCAGAACTTGGCGTTCTGCAGGCCGCCGATGACGGCGTTGGCAATGTTGCCGATGCCCGACTGCAGCGGCAGCAGCGACGGCGGCAGGCGGCCGTGGCTGACCTCGTGCTCAAAAAACTCAATCAGGTGGCCGGCGATCTGGGAGGCGGCCGCGTCGCCGGGCGCGTTGGGCAGCGTCTGGTCCTGGTAGTCGGACTCGACGACGCCAATGACCTTTTCGGGGTCGAGCGGGATCGACGTGGTGCCGATGCGGTCCTCGACGGCCGTGATCAGGTACGGCTTGCGCCGCGGCGGCAGGTCTGTCGTGGTGATGTCGTGCAGGCCCTCGAAGCTGGGCAGCGCCGTGTTGACCTCGATGATGATCTTGTCGGCCATCTGCATGAGCTCGGGCGTGGCGCCGACCGAGGCGCCCGGCACGATGCTGCCGTCGGCCAGAATGTCGGTGGCTTCGACCACGGCCACGTCGAGGCCGCGGTGGCCGTTGGGGCGGTCCTTGGTGTAGTAGCCGTACACCAGGTCGACGGGGAACATGGACAGGTGCTTGTCGAAGAACTTGATGGAGCCGTCGTTGATGCCCTTGGCGATGGACTTGCCGACCTGGTGCGGCGAGCGGCGCTCAATCATGTCGAGCGCGGCCCAGCGGTTCTCCGTCTCGGCGCCCGAGGACGCGCCGACAAAGAGAGAGTAGCGCAGCTGGCCCTGCAGGTTGTTCTTCTCGACGTGGTCGGCCAAGAACGTCGGGATCTTCTTGGGATAGCCGACGCCGGTGAAGCCGGACCAGCCCATGTAGGTGCCGTTGGGGAAGTGGTGCAGCAGGTCCTGCGGCTGGCACACCTTGGCGAGCATGGATGCGCGCTGGATGCGCGACTTGAGGGCGGCGGATGCCATGACGTGAGGAGGATGAGGAGAGGGGGAGGGGGGGGGGGGGGCGAGGACGAAAGAAAAGACGGGGAAGGGAGGAGACGAAAGGGAAAGAGAAGAAAAGGAGGGGAAAGAAAAAAAGAGCAAAAGCAAAGGGCAAGAAAAAGAAAAAGAAAAAGAAAAAGGAAACGAGGACCGCTCAGGGAGGCCAAATATAGCTTCAATGGAGATGGCGGAGAACAAGGCCGGCGGCACCTGTTTCGCGTGATATCGCAACGGCACTGGACAACACAATGCGTGATTCGGGAGGAGCTGGAGTGGAGTGTGTGGTGAGAGGCACAGGATCAGGATGTCGGCGACGAAGGTCGCAGACGCTCTTGTGCCGATTCCAACTCCTTTTGTGGTTGATTTGTGATGGTTCCTGGTTCCTTCTTTGTTCGTCCGTATGACGGGTATCTTCACTTTTGCTTGGTCGTTCTTGCTGCCGCTGTTGCGCCGGCGCGTTTGACGCTAAACAGACGTCATGTTTCTTTGTAGTAAAGCAAGAGCCAACGGCCGAGTCGCTAGCGGCTGGGCCACCATTTGCAGCTTGGATGCTCCACACCAGCAGCAGCAGCAGCACGGCTCTTCATTTGCCTTTTACCGAGCGGCAGCCGAACTAGATCCAGGCCACACCTATTTCTGGGCCGCTCACAGCACGCCAACTATTGCAAAAGTCCCGTTCGTCCATTGCACCCTGACTTGACCGTCTTGGAGGAGCTTATCGATATGAATACGAAGCAGGAAATGTTCTCGCGTTTGCCACTCTGATTGACACGCGAACACAATTTCAGCGAGAGGGGCAAAAGGCCCAAAGAATGACGAGTTGGCATCTAGAGCGGAGTCGGTTGTAATTACAGTGATTACAGTGAACTGGCTCTTTTGGCTCGACTGTCGAGATCGGCTACGGACGACCGTGCCCCTATTGGCCAATCGCTGGCGTTTCTTTTCTTACATTTTGGACACTTCATCTTTGGTGACGGATCCGTCCTGGCCTAGGACTTGTGTGCCTGGCTGGACATGACCCCCGTACTCCGACATGCACAACTAACGAACAGTACGCAAACAAAGAATTGCTTTGCTTTTATTAATAGGCAGGTAGTAGTACTAAGAGAGGACTATGCCAGGTATCACAAAGAGAAACGAAACAGTAACTTTGACAAAAGGGAAAAAGAGGTATTTGAAAATGATCTCCCATGCCAGTGCCGGCAGAAATGCGAGACGAAAAGAAGACAAAACAGCTCAGTTCAATGAGCCATCGCCATCCCAAGTCCCCAGCTCCGTTCCAGACACTGGCTTTTTGTTGCACACCTCGGTTGCATCCCATCAACATGCTCGGAAAGACAGGACAGGAGAAGATACACGCGAGAACAAGACTGTCTTGTCCCTCCACGTCAACCCTGGTTGTCTGCCTTTCCTACTCCACACATTCCAGAAATTCGGCGATGACGCTGTTGCAGACAAAATCGTAAACACGTCACTTAAGAAATCGCAAAAATGATTGTCATCGTCCGTCACGACACGGACGGGGTGTCGGCGGCTTAGACGTCGTGGTGGACAGCCTTCTCCTGGAGCGCGCCAGGGGCCACGACGTCCTCAATGGTCTCGTCCGAGAACTTCAGGTCCTCCTCGATGGTGACCGTGTCCTTGATACGGAGCACGATCAGGGGCGCAGCGACGATGAGAGCGCCGGCAAGGAGACCCCACTGCAAATGGTTAGTTTGTGAAAACAAAAAGACTCAAAACACGGAAAAGACATGGCGGGGAACGCGGTAACATACGGTAGCACCAAAGATGGTTCGGAAGGGCTTCTTGAGGCCGTCCAGGCGCCAGAAGACGGCCGCACCGGCCGACTGGATGCCCTTGTAGAAACCAGCCAGGTTGGCAGCCTTGCGGCCCGAGTTGGACAGCGCGCCCATGAACCAGTAAATGCACGTCTGCCAGCAGGCGTCGTAGAAGCCGTAGGCCATGTACAGGAACATGGGGCCAATGTACATCTTGCCGCCGTCGGTCCAGTCGACCGGGACGTAGTCGGGGTTCGTGGGCGTGGCCAGCTGGCGGGGCAGCTGCAGCTTCATCCACGCGTAGCCGCCACCCCAGATGGCGAACGTGAGGACGGCGAGGGCCACGAGGGCGATGCGGGCACGCACGCTGCGGCGGATGCCCTGGTAGTCGAGCGCATAGCCAAAGACGGTGGCACCCAGCATCTGGGCCAGCCAGTACAGCAGGTTGTTGAGGGCGCGCGTGCGGGTGTTGAAGAAGGCCGCGTTCATGTCGTTGGTCTGGTAGGTGGTGAAGGTGTTGGAGGCGAAGAACATGGGGAACAGCAGCAGGATCCACGGGTCGTCAAACAGGGTGTCCTTGAGGCCGATCATCTCCGTCTTGATCGAGGGGTTCTTCATGAGGATGATCTTGGAGCCGTCCTCGCGCACGACCGAGGTGGCGTTGACCAGGAGCATGGCAACCACGGCGCCGAGGAACATCAGCACGATGAAGCCGGCGTAGGTGCCGTCCGAGACGGTCTGGGCAGTGGTGGTGTGGATGTTCTGGCCCAGGGGAATCAGGGCACCGACGACGCCACCCAGGTTGAAAATGACCCAGAACCAGCTGATGTAGCGGCCCTTCTTGTCCTCGGGGGGATAGGCCATCATAATGGTGCCCTGGCCTGTCCACAGAAGACCGGCGCAGAGACCGAGGAAAGCGCCGGCGAAGATGACAAAGCCGTCGTTCGCAGTGTGCGAGTAGCACAGGAAGCTGGCGGAGTAGATGCAGTAGCCGATACCACCGAGAGACAGGGTGAGCTTGACGCCAAAGGTGTTGGCGAACGAACCGGACAGGAAACCGACGACGGCGAAGACGGAGTAGAGAGCGGTAGCGGCGGCGTCCTGGGCCTTGGAGTCGACCTGGCCACCGGCGCCCATGCCGGACAGGGCGTTGAACATACCCGGGCACAGGAAGCAGACAAAGGCGACCATGATAAGCTGGATCTCAGGCGAGGCATACCAAAGCTCCTTGCCGAAGATGCGGAAGCCCTTGTACTTCCAGCCAGGCGGGCGGATCACATTTCCCTCGGGGCCGAGAACGGCGACCTCCTCAGGAGCATATGTCGGGGCGGCAGCAACCGTCTCCGTCTCGGGGACGGCGCTGACGTTCTTTTCGTCGGCCATGTTGTGAATGTCAAGGCAACGAGATTACACTGTTCTTTTCTGGGGATTAGTCTTCCGTAACCAAAGGTCCGAGAAATGCCTGCTAGGCGCAAACAACGCGTCAAAAGGAGAGAAAGAGAGCCAGGAATATGTCGAGGGCGCGAGTTGGGACCTGACGGTGCGTGGCGGCTCTTTTGAAGACGCGTGGAAATGCGAATCCGCGCCGTGGGCAAAAAGAAGAGAGAGAGAGAGAGAGAGAGAGCCAGGGCCCAAAAGACGAAGACGAGAAATGGGGGCCAAAAGTCAGTTTCCACGACCCGGGCACAGAAACCGAGGTTCGTGCGGACGGGAGCTGTTTGTGTTTTTCGTGCGGATGGTCCAGCCCGTGGCGTGAGGGTGCAGGATGCAGGCGGTGACGTGGAGTGGCCCAGTAATAAGAGAGACACAATCTAAATGCAGAGAGGAACTTACAGTTCAAGCCGGACGATAACCTGTCCAAGCGATGCAAAGGCGCGGAATATGAAGGTCCAGGTCCAGTACAGAGTAGAGAAGACAGGAAAAGGGCACGGCTAAATCGAGGAGCCGACCTGTGGGATATTAATATAAAAGTAACAGAAGAGAAGGTGTGAAATAAGAAAAGCCGCCTGTTCGGAAGCCTAACCTGAACTAGGGTCTGTCGTACAGGTTAATATCCTTGCTTGAAGACGAGAAACAAGAGACACGAGAAGTAAACCGAAAAAGAAGGGAAGACACGAGGTTCAAATAAGAAGGAAGCGTAAAGACCCAGAATAATTATGGAGCCTCGGTGCGGGTGAAAGAGGGCTAGAGCGCGGCAAGGTTGCAGAAGGATAAGGAAATAAGAAACGCAGAAGATTAAAAAAAAAAGTAAATAAAGGACTAGGACACCATACAAAACACAAAGTAACAAATGGACCAAATGGAACAAGGCATTGCTTGTGGTAGGTGCCAAGGGTTGAGAGGCCGCTGGTCGTCTGTGCTGGTAGGGTGGAGGAACACGAGCCAGGTGTGATGCTGGGGAAAAGAGGGTGGAGAAGACCAGAAGAAAAGCGGTACAGAAGTACGGGGCACACGAGAAACAAAGAGAAAGAAACACAGGTCACTTGTACGCACAGGTTGTGCAAGGTAGCAGCCACCAGGCTGGGTCTAGCCAGGACTAACGTGTGGATGAGCCGAACGGGCAACGGCAGGCCAGCAACGGGTGGTAGTAGCACGGCGGTAGCGTGGTAGCGTCCACAGACAATGGTAGATAAACGGAGGGTGTGGATGGACGAGGCGAGAGGCGAGAGCACGACGTCGAAGTTGGGGGCGTGAGAGGTAGCGCCCTGGGAGTTGTATCAAGCGGCCAGCAGAGGCCGAGAGTCGAAGAGAGAGAATAGAGAGATAGGGGAATGACGACAGTGGAGAGTCCACGCGAAGTGACAAAAAGCAAGTGAAAGAGCAAATCGCAGAGAGACGAAGAGGTGTGTACAATGTAGAGCGGAAGCGACACGAGTGGCGCGTGGGGCGATGTCGTACGTGACAAGCTTTTCGTCTATCCGTGGGTTCACCCTAATCTCTATCTCGCGTTGGCGGGTTCAGGAGTCCGTTTTGGGGGGCAGCCTGTAAGTAACTTCAGATTAGAATATTTCGTACGACTCCTTTTACTAGGGGGACACACGAGTCGGGAAACGCAGCACGAGAACAGCAGCAGTGCCGGTGCTGGATTCAAAGGTGACACCCGACAAATAGAGAGAAACAGCAAAACACTACTCCGTAGGCACGACAGAGCAATACAAGAGTACTCCGTACAACAAGCACCAGCGCCACCAGACTGGGGATGTCGCGACCGTAGTGGGCCTACGTGGCGTGGGAAAAGGAACAACGTCCGGGGTGACGATGATGGGATGTGCAGGTAATGTAGATTACGCCAGGGGTGTGTACGACGCACCTGTTGTTTCTTCGCGTCCAACGTGTTTTTGACTGTGGTTGTCGGATTTGGTCAGCGACGTGTTCTTTTTCTGGGGATTTGGCTGCCGCGACCTTCACTCTGATGCTTCCTGATGCTCTCTGGTCCTTTTCTCTCTGCTCGTGTTGTCTTGCCTGCAGCCACAGCGTACGGGAGACCCGAGTGCCGCAGCAGGATTTGGTCAGTGAGACGGCAGACCAAGCCTCCGCAGCGGGGGATAACCGACAGGCAGGAATTATGTCTGCGTCCGTTCGTAGATGCACGCAGCAGGATGCTGTGGCTGACCAATGGCGGAGACACAGCGTTCGGCTTTGGATGAATCGGGACGAGGAAACAAAATAGGGGACGAAATGGGATCGGACTCACTGGATACGAGGCACCAGAGCACTGAATGACGGCGTAATTAACCTGCGCAGGTAATAAGACACTGCTCGTATCTTGCTTTTTCCAGGGAGATAGGGTGCTGTCGATCGCAAGTTGAAGTTGGCGTGCTCTGTGGATGAAAAAAAAAGAAATACGAAATTGGTGAATTGGGACGCCGAAAATACCAGACAGATAGATACCTGTCACCCAAAGTGTACAGTTGCCGCTTGGGGAAAGCGCGTTCAGCTCAGTTTAACGCAGAGGAAGGCGTAACCGTCGTGTCTGCCCGTCGACACACAAAGAGGTATGAGGTATCGTACTGTCACAGGGCTTTGGCGCGAACCCCAGCATCCTCCGCACCCAGATCCATAAGGCCGGACCGAATAAGAACGGCAGCTGATTGGCCCATTGGGCCAGTCGTCAAAGAAGGATCTCCGCTTTCCCGTGCAGGGAGCAAAAGCCCAACAGCAACGCCACAAAGGCTCGGATTTGGGTTGCAGAGTCGCCTATTGGGTTCTTCGCAGCGAGGGAGACCTGGAGCCATGCCCGTTCAGGCAGGCGAGTGCCGGAAAGTCGTTTTAGCACCAAGAGGCTCTGTCAAGATACAACAAAAGGCCCTCGTGCAATGGAGACGCCAAGCGTGCATCTCCGCATATTCCAGGGGGTGGAGGGTGGAGGTGCCCGCTGGATAGGGATAGTGGGTGGCGGAAGGGTGGCTCTTTCCCTCGTTGGTCCAGTCTCTTTGCTTTTTTGGCGTTGGCTCCTGCCCACTGATCTCGTGCAATTCTCATGTAACGTTTCGTAGAATTTGTCTAGTGCCATCTTTTGTGTCCCGCCGGCACACCCTTTTTGTGTCTTTTTCTCCTGTCCCTTGCAAACCACACCATCTCCAACACAACTTTGCGCTCACGCTCTGCAGCCACCACGCAGACACAATGAAGCATATCGAGCCCGTCGTGCTGGCCAATTCAGCTGGAGGCGCTAGAAGGTCTCGTGTTGCTTCGCTTCTGTACTTGTCCGTTTCTTTCCTCTTGTTCTTTTTGGGCTTCCTTTGACATATTTCCTCTCATCTTTGATCAAAGATGAGATGACTGACACGAAGTGCCCCACCGCCTTTGCATCGTACGCGGTGCCATTCATTGTTGCATAGATAACAGCGAACTGCCCGTTCCCAGAACTACGATGAGCGCCAACGACACGCGCTTCTAACGGCAGGCCCGGACCCGTGACCATGCGCGTTGTAACCTGAAGCCTCCGAGATAGTAAGATGGCTTTTATTGCAAGACTCGTGGTTCATCTTACAGTGCCTACTCTCTCCACGACGTGCTCCGTACAGAGCTGCGATGCGAGATCCTACCAACAATTAGCAGCTGGCAAGCAAGGAGCATTGACGCGTTCTAGCCACAGTCACACCTGAAACAACTTTTCTGGGTTTCTCGTTCACGCCTCGACGTTCTTATCTGTCTCTGCCCTCTACCCCAGCCCAATTTCTCACGCCAGCATGACAGGTGCTACGTGACGCTTGATCTCCACCCTCCTGTCGTCCCTTGACTTTCCATACGCTCTCCAGCACCATCAAGTTCGAGGAGGCGTGTTTGGATTGTTGCCATCCGTGCGAAATACGCCGTATGGAGACGGGTTTTTGTTTACAGATAACGACAGTGGCAGAGGAAGGATAGAGCGGCAAGCAAAAGCACACAAACAGTGGCCAACACCGCGAGATACGAAGCGAGGCCGCAATCCCATACGATATGATACCCATGTCCGATCCCGACAACACGAGATAGGAGGCAAACGTGGAAGATTACCGACCATGTGGTGATGTCGCCATGGCCACGATGCACTTCTTATCTGTTGGGCCGTCCTTATCTGTCGTTGATGTCCGCTCATCCCATGTCTTTGGCACTCCCGCGCAAGCAGCCCTTGTTGATGGCAATCCCTTTCTGCGCTACACGCTCTTCCCAGATCAACGACGATCTTTAAAACGTGTCTCGTCGTCTTCGCCATTTGACGCCATTTGACTTGACCATATTCGACCTGCCTGGTCCATGGCCTCAATCCTCGGCCTCTACACCCAGTCGCTGCCCCCTTGTCTACCCCATATTTTCTCCGTACTCCGGACTGCATGCTCTTATGACTCGAATATGACTTTTCGTTGACACAAGGCCAGAATATCCGGGGTCAAAGGAACATGAGGCGAATGGCGAAAACGTGAGGAGCACGCGAACGTAGCTCTCTAACTAACACAGTAGCGCCTCCCCAGACCAAACGTAGCATCCGTTGGTCTTTTGTGGAGACAGACAGGGCCTGCAGCTCCAAGTGTCAATTGTCAATGGTGCTGTCAGAATCCAGATCGCAGCAAGGCAAACACGAACACACACGAGTAAAGATGCAGAAACGGAGGACATGTGATTAAGGAAGGAGAGAATGCAACCCCGGACTATCGTGAGAGTCATGAGCTGCCTTGCAGTGTATTGGGACCAGACGACACGAGCATAGACTTCGGCAAACGAGAGAAGTAAGGCAATGTCGCTCTTCAAAATACATGTAAAACATTAGCTGGTGTATTTTTTTTTTAAAAAAAAAAAGAAAAAGAAAAAAGAGGCACATGAGAATCCGAGAGTCGACCTTGCAGTCAGGGTCCTCCTCCATCCTGGTGTTCTCCAGGTCACTTTTCTCCGCCATTCCCCCGAACCCCCCAGGCAGATCGTCCCCAGCGGATGGACATTTTTGGCTTTTCCGTTACCTAATGAGAAACCCATGCGGGCTCGGGCCTACATGCAAAAAGAGACATTGGATCCGTGGTTTCGTGGGTTTCGTGGATTTCGTGACAGCTTTGCCTGCAAGTTTGACTTGTGAAAGCAAGCACATACTCTCGTGACAAGAGCGCGTTCCTCTCAGGTCCGACACTCCAATACTCCATACATTATTTGACCGCCGTCTACTTGGCTTGCAACATCGATACGTGACATCGGAGAGCCTAGATAATTGGAAAAGGAGGGGGGTACGGAGGCTGCAACCATACAGAAAAAGCTGGCTGAGGTAATCCATACCTGTTGAAGCTTAGGGAAGCTTGGGGGAGCTTGCTCGAATCGAGAGCACTTTGGCGGAAGACAGCATTGGCTTTCGGCCAGCCCTCTCATTATCGTGACTTTTCCTTGCCTCGCTGAAAGGGTAGTTTCCAGGCTCTTGGGGCATGACTCGTGCTGAGTCAAACTTTAACATACGCAAAACTGACGCCTCTAGTTTTCTACAATGTGCGGCGCCAACAGCGGGCACTGAGCGCACCGGCATGGTTCTCGCGCCACGGCTAACACGGTCTCACGGTCTCGCATGCGAGCGGGATGTATTCACGAATGGCCCAAGAGGAGAAATGTATATGGTATGTTGAGAACCAAAAACACAAGAAAATCACGAAAAAGACACGCCGCTCGACGTGTATTCCTCCGCGGGGTATCTAAAGTGCGACCATCTCCGCTCTGCCCGAGTCTGTTGAGGACTGGCCGATGCTCTCGTTTTCATCATTTCCAACGCTGAAATGCTCAATACTGATGCTGCTTTGGTTTTCTTTTCCCAACTCAGACTATGCGATAATGCAATGCAAGGACACACCGACGCCTCCTCTCCCTGTCAATGTCCAAAGCCGGACGTCTCACCGTCTCCTTGTCTACGAACTGCGACGACCCAGGGGCTCAAAGGGGAACAGCGCACTGAGCAACGCCATGCCGATGAACAGCGCCGCACACACATAAATGGGCGCCGACGTGCTGGTGTTGGCCACCGTCGCAATGACGGCGCTCAGGATACCCATGACGCGGTTGCACGCCACCGCCACGCCGTTGCCGGTGGCGCGGTGCGCGCTCGGCAGCACCTCGGGCGTGTAGGCATAGAGCGTGCCGTAGTAGATGTTGAGGCAGAAGCCAATAATGCAGCTGAAGGCAATGTTCTGGTCCTCGGTGCGCACGGCCGTGTACGCAAAGAAGAAGACGCTGGTCAGGACCGCGCCAATGGACATGGTGTAGCGGCGGCCCAGGAACTTGATCTCGCAGAGCCAGGCGGCGAGGACGGGGCCGAAGATGCCGGAGACGTTGACGAGCGCGTAGTTGCGCCAGGTGTCAAAGGTCGAGACGTTGAAGTTGGCGCCGCGGGTCGCGAGGTAGGTGGGCAAGAAGACGTAGAAGAGCGGGTACACGAGGCCAATGCACGTCCAGGACAGCCAGACGAGCAGGGTGGACAAGCCCATTTTGCGCGTGGAAAACAGGCCGCGGAAGTGCTGCGCGGTCTGGTGGACGGACGACGAGAAGCTGCTCTGGCTCGCGCGGCGCTGCGCGGTCAGGACGACGCCGCAGGCCTCGAGCTGCTCGAGGGTCAGCGAGCAGGGCCGGTTGTACTTGACGGCCAGGTTCTGCAGGGTGTTGACGAGGGCGGCGTCCTCGCCCTGGCCCAGCAGGTACTTGGGCGTCTCCTTGAGGCGGATGACGGTGAGGCGCAGGATGGACATGACAAACACGAGGGCGCCGCTGGTGAACATGACGTAGCGCCAGCCCATGTTGTTCTGGCGCGTGCAGGTCGCGACGGAGCTGCAGTTGAGGTAGCCCGGCGACATGAAGCCCCAGGCGATGAAGCCCGCCACGGCCTGGCCCAGACCCCACCAGGCGGCGAGCAGAGTCAGTGCCCACTGCTTGTTGCCGGGCAGGTACTCGAGGAAGACGGTGGTGTCGAGCACGAGGTTGCCGCCGCCGCCGAAGCCGATAAAGGCAACGAACACGCCGAGGGACGCCCACGTGGGCATGGCGCCGGCCAAAATGCACGCAATCGAGCAGATTATGAGCGACACATTGAAGGCAAAGCGACGACCGATGATGTCGGCGCTCAGGCCCCAGAACAAGGCGCCCGTCAGCATGCCCGAGTAGACGGCAATGGTCAGGCCCTTGTCGTAGCCGGTGCCGCCAAACTCGGTGTAGGCAGAGGTCGCAATGATGGACTGCAGCAGGAGAATCAGCGAGTCGACGGCATATCTAGCGTCGGATGTACGTCAAGTTAGCCGCGTCCTTGGGGAGCAGAGAGAGTTCCGCGAAAAGAACGAAAAGCACGGAGAGGGCAACGAGTTCGATACGCACCCAAAGCCGTTGAGGACAAAAAGCTTCCAGTGGTACGGCGTCCAGCCAATGTCGTCAATGGCCTAGACACACAGGTTAGCAGGCGTTCTCAATGCGGGCCCTCCTGCTCCGGCAACGTCCTCCCGCAAAGGCTCGTGTGCTTACATTGTTCACCAGGTGCATCTTCTGGTTCAGCGCCGGGTCGACGTCCTGCTGGCCAAGAATGTCGATGCCCTCGCGCAGCGACGAACCCTCGGACGAGCGCATGAGCTGCTCCTCCTTCTTGCGCTCTTCTTCGGACTGAATCTTGCCATTGTTGCTCTCACCAGTGGCCGTGGCTGTCGCCTCCGGCGCAATGCCGACGGCCTCGCCGTAGGTCGGGAGCGGCCGAGCGGGCGCGCTGGACGGTGCTTCGAGGTCCGCCATGGCTGAGGAAATCCGCAATGGTGCTCAATGGAAAGGGAGAGCGAGTCGCGTGCGCGCCGGAGGTCGTGTGGCCTGCCTTTGATCCGGGGTCTCAAGAGAGATGCCCGGGTTTACGAATGGAAGTGACGGCAGGAGCAACTTATCATGGAGGCTGAAAAGGGAAGGAAGTAAATAAAGACGTGAGGGGCAGGAGGGAAAGACTTGTCAGGGAAAGAGCGTTGGGGGGCGAATCGAACAACTTCGAGAGAAGGCTAACAAGGGGAGAAAAACAACCAAAAAACATTCTGGAGATAATGCAGGATCGGCGGGCACGACCGCAGTTATGTACGTGCCGCTGTGATGCCGACTGTTTTGGCAAGCTCCCACTGGGGGCTTTGGCATTCACGTCCCATGGGAAGCTAAGAGGCGTCTTGGCCTTGAGCTTTTCAGCGCATCTTACACGTGCATTGTTGGTTGACGCTTTGGCGCCATATGGGGGCGCCGTGGTCAAACGGACCCGTTTTGAGGAGGTGAATAAAAAGATACATGGTGTAGGATGGAGACAAAAGTATCCGATTTGCCCAAGGGACGCGTAAAACAGGGAAATAAGTGCAATGAGGGTACTCGAGGGCGAAGAACCGGCAATTGCCAGTGTGGCCCGGTGGCCCTCAGTGAGTGTGCTTGCAGCTGTACTTCGTAATACTCCGTACGATGTAATTCGTTCGGGAACGGCGTGCTTAATTCGTACATTTCACTTTTCTGCATGGGTAGAGGTTTGGGGGGACGCACGCTGACGAAGTTCCTTGATTTCTGCGCCGTCTCATTTGTTTGTTCTTGTACAGAATAAGGGGGGCCATTTTGCAGCTAGACGATTTTGGCCGGAGCCTGGACAGCGGCAACTGGTCAAGCGAGTGGAGAGGACCACTCTTCGGCAGGGGGGCAATGAACGACATGAACAGGACTGGGATGGGCACATGGGGCGAAGACCAGGGCCGTGATCCAGCCGGCCAGATATTTCTGCAGTCTTCGTTATTTTGGCGAGCTGCAGGAGGGCCGTGGGTGGCCTCAGTGACCTGGAGGATTCCAGTACGCTCACACGAAGAATGCAACAGGTGTTGTTGTTGACGAGCGCTTGGCATGCCCAGATTACTGCTCTGGCCGGTAGGGAAGAACGAGGAGGCACGAGAGCAATATGGCATTGGCATGGCATTGGCATGGCATTCCGCACGTGTAGCTGCTCTTTGCAGAAATAACTCACACGACTGCACTTTTTCGACACTTGTCAAGGTTCTCACGCCGAAGATTTGGCCATACTTTAAGCATTCCTGCAACTTAGTCCAACGGAAAGATAGCAAAGGATGGGAAACTGTGCCGCACTGCTGTGTACGACGGACGAGAGCAGAGAGAGTGGGCTGCAGCAACTGGAACCAAAACGACAGCCGTCACCGCATTTTGGCCAACTCGTGCGTGAGAGCAAGGTGGTGATAGGCCGGGCCTAGTTGGCTTTTAGTCTCACGACGGCGGACGGGGGATACTGACAAAAAGGGAAACTGGCAGCACACGTTTTGCTGTCCCAGGTTAGTGCGGGCGAGAGAGACGCCCTAGCAATGACTTTCTCTGGGCGGCTGTCGTATGGGCGTATGACATTTTTCTTTTCTTTTTATTTGTCTTTTTGTTTCTGTTTTTTTGGGGGGGGAGGGGTGGCGGGCAGAGGTCAGACGAGCAGCGATATACCAAGAAATGGCCGAGTGGTCCAGGTTGGACGCCTCGGGTTTGGGTCAAAGACTTTTTTTGTCTTCATGGGCAGTATGTTGTAAGCTTAACAGTGGTCGGGTGGTAGGGCCCTGAAGACCCGCCGATTCCCTTTGATGTCTCCAGGCCAGTCGCCGCAATACCCCGGTTTCCATGTGCAAGTTCTGCTTGTAAGATTACCTCCGTAGACCAACGAAATGGTGTGCAGATCCAGTAGATAGACTCGTTATTGTGGAGTGTGGCACCTTTTCCGTCTTTTTCTCACTCCTTTTCCCAACACGCTTATTTTAAGATTACTTTCGAATGCTGAATACCACTGTCCGGTTTATCCCAGCCGCTATCATTCTCCAAACGGTGCAAGGCTCAAAAGAAACAAGGGTACGACGCAATACAGCCTCCTCTGTACATTCGTACAGAGCAAGACGTTTGCCAATGGGCATGGAAAAATATTAGCTGCAGGGAACAAAGAAGTGATCACGAGGGTCAAAATCCCCCCCGACTAGAATCGATACGGGGAGAAAAACAGCAAGGCACTGGTCAATCTCGACAAGTGACGTCACGATTGCTATCCAGACAGAACACGAAACAAGCAGACTTGTGAGGGATGAAACCGTCGCCTTCTCGTTTTGGCGCCAATGTCCGCCATTCACTTGGCACTCCCCCACTCTCTCGTCCTGCGCAGGCGAATTTGACTCCTAGAGATGGGTTTTTACAGCGCTGCAATTACAGCGCCTTAATGGCCGTCCGCCTTTCGTCAGCCTTGTCACCGGTTTAAAAGCTCCAATAGGAGCCGGCTTTCTCCATCAAAGCCTGCATCCAATAGGAACTGCAGCACTCCCAGGACTGTTGGTCTAGTGGTATGATTCTCGCTTAGGGTCTACCCTGAGTTGCATGCGAGAGGTCCCGTGTTCGATCCACGGACAGTCCCCAACTTTTTGCTTTTTATTACGTTACCAAGTTGGACAATGTTAGAACTAGAACCGTTGTATTGGCCACACCGATGTCTTTTCTCTAAAGTTACGACGGTATATTAGATCCGAGAGTATGTTATTATTGTTTATATTTACTTCTCGGGGTTTTATCTCCTAGGCCTCCGCTCTTATTTAAACGTAGAAGATACAGTAGATCAAAAAGCTGTAGAAAACAGAGAATACCAAACAACGTAGTTATCTCGGGCAACCCTTTCTTATATTTGGTTGTCTCGCTGGTGGGTCACCGTCGCCTATAATCACGCTCTTCCGTATAAATAAAAAGTCTCGAGACGTAAACTCACTTCTAATAAATTATAGGAGCTCCCGACGTCGTAGAAACTTATCGCGACGCCCTCACAAGACGTCTAAAAAAAGACAAAAAAGTTGGGGACTGTCCGTGGATCGAACACGGGACCTCTCGCAAGTTTACACTCAGGGTAGACCCTAAGCGAGAATCATACCACTAGACCAACAGTCCTTGTACGTTTCTAGTCGTTGGCTAACAACTTGGTTTTAGCATATATGTAGTCTGCGCAATTTTAGCGCAAAATTGACATCCTTGACGACATCTTAAGACGTTGTCAAGAAGCCTAAAGGACATGTTCTTGGTCAGATATTGCTTTATTATTTAAATCATACATGTTAGCCTATCTGTCCTTGTAGACTTCTGATTGAGAGGAGACGTAGTTTAACGTTTTTGGGAGTCGTTGCAATCTTTGCTTTACTCAGGACGTCAGATCTTTCACGCAGTCAGATATTTACAGCAACGTCTTTTATTTAAAGCATCGGTTTGGCGATTTCCACTTGAATGAGTATCTGTTGGTCGTGTTTGTTTTGTTTGGTTATTCTTATTTTGTTTTTCAAACAAATAAATAAAAATGCGCGAGAAATCTGTTTAGCATATTAAATGTACAAAATAAAATAATTAACTTCTTTCAAAATATCACTTGCATAGCCAAATGATACAACTTGACACTTTAACATAGGTGCCAGCGCACTATTGTAGGTCGTTCGTACACTCTCACTTGTTTGCTGGCATTGTCTAACTAATCTAATTTATTCTATTACTATTCAAGGTGTATGAAGGTTGACCCTACAGAATGCTGATACCCAGGCGATCAGTAAACTTGTTGTTGAACATGCCCGTCGAGTTGAGCTGGCGGTAGACTGTATGCCACGCCTCGAAATCGGGATACCACGACCGCACATCGTCGTCCGTCACAAGGTCAATGTCGAGGCCCCAATGAAGACGCGGGGAGTCGATGCTGTCAGTGCACATCCGCTCTTTAATGTCCTGCGCGAGCTTGGCTCCTGTCTCGACCCCGACCAGCATGTCCAGCTCAATGGCACACGTCATGCGACCGGCCTGCGGCGCCAGGAACGCGTCGGACGCACCGATGAAGCGGATGCCCAGAGGGCCGGTCATGTAGTACTCATGGCGCTTGGCCTCGTCGCGGAACACGTCCAGCAGCTTATCAATGACGGGAACACACTGCTTGGCGTCACAGTGCAGCTCAATCGCCATCGCCTTGATGCTGTTGGCGGGCCCGAGGTTGAACACGCGGAAACTCTTGTCCACATACGGGCCGCTCTCGACAAGTGTTGCAATGGCGCGGTTGATGGCAATGGGGCTGATGGCAGGGAACCGCTTGAGTACGCCAAGGAGGTGTGGGATCGAGTGGATGCCAAACTTTTCCAGGAGCGTGCTGAGCCAGTCTTTGCGGGCACCCGAGGGCTGCGCCTCCGCCGTCACCCGGTTCCTCTCGACACGTACGCACGAGTTGTGTGACCACCACATGTACGGGTTGAGCACGAGCTCGAAATGATGGGCGCCGGCGACCGCCGGCGCGACCGGCGTCCAGAGCTCGGGAAGAAGCTCTTTTCGCACCTCGTCCCATCTCGTGGCCGACCGCAGCTCGTGCACATGGAAGGCTTCCGTCACGTCAATCACGTAGCTGTAAATCACCCCGACGCAGCCCATGGAGACAAGGGCGGTGCGGAACCAGTCATTATCCTGTCTGAGCACTACAGGAAGCCCGTCGATGGTGCGGGGGAAGCCAGCAGGGTCGCTCAGCGGCCCTTTGCCAACATGGGAACTGCATGGCTCGATTTGGTAGACGGTGCCGTCGGCGACGACCAGTACAATCGCACGGACGAGGCTGGACATGGGCCCGAACCCGATGCCAGACCCATGTGTCCCGGTCGACATGACGCCGGCCACAGTCTGGCCGTCGAAAGCACCCATGTTGGGGAGGGCCAGGCCGCGGTTGTCCAGCTCTTCGTTGAGTTCTCGGATCGTGACGCCTGCTTGGACGCGCGCAAGATTGCGACTGCGGTTGCTGGCCGTTATCGGTGCATCGCCGGCGGGCTCTGGCACACCCTTTCCGCCCTTGTTCGCCTTGACCTGGGCAGGCTTGGTGGTGCCGACGATGCCTTCCTCGCCATTGTCCACCATCGCCACCCGCTTCAGGAGGGTCATGTCGACGAGCATAGCGTCGGTCGAGTAGGTAATGTCGGAAAACGAGTGGCCAGAGCCGACGGCACGCACACGCTGCTGAAGGCTGTGGGCGTCGGCGAGAACGGCAACAAGCTGTTGGAGAGACTCGGGCTTCACAATCACCAGCGGCCGGTTGGCCTGCTCGCCGACGCAGTTCACCCACGTCGGATTGTCGGCAGCCTGGTCGTTGCCGGCGATCTTGTGGCCGTTCTTGGCCTCGGAGCTGCCAATAAGATGCCCGTGAGAGGCAGCCAAAGACAGATGCACCGCCTGTCGAGCTTGCACGTAGCGCTGCTTGGCATCCCGACCCCGTCGCCGGTGCTCGACGCCGGGGTCCCGCACCACATTCCACACGCCGTCGTGTGCGTTTTCCGGGTTTTGGCAAAAGACCTTGTCCAACTGCTTCAATGTCTCTTCGTTGAAGGGCTTTCCGCGGGCGTGGCGGAGTTGTCGCTCAACCGAGTGCTGGTTTCCCATGTCTGGGCCTGATGCACTGGATCTCCTAGGATGGACGGATATCGATAGAGATGTTGGATATTAGGTGGCTGTCTTATAGGTAGGGCGATTATGGTCCAAGGACAGCGTCTGGAACTGGGTCGAGAGGAAGACGTATCAGTGTCAGAGCGGGTGGAAAGTGTAGACGATGTTGACCTTAAAGACAAGCATCACCGGTCAACCGTGCATCATGAAGCAATCACGTACGGCGGGAAGCCGCGTTCCATCCTGACCCTCGGCGTCCTTGCCATACTTTTCCTGTATGCTGTCATTAAGGAAGCTGCGAAGGGTCGCCACGATACCGGTTAGGAAGCCGCGTCCCTGTGGTGTCCCCATTGGAATTCTTCAGTAGGAGTGCGGGTCCTATAGACATTATGACCTAGAAATGAGGCCTGAAGTGCCCATCGTTCTTCCCCTCACCGAGCGTTTGCCCTCACAATTCTGGGCTTCTGCAGGTGGGGCCAAACAAAAGTATGGAAACGGACCATTGTATTCTGCACCTTCCCAAACGAAATTTATCCCTCCCAAACAGATTTGGTGGCTTCCTTCCCTCTTGACGAGCTTCAGCCGTCAACTGGCACTTTTTGTGCTGTGGATTGCTGGCGTTCTCTTCCTCACCAGTCGCCCTCTTTTAACCATTCAAAGTCAACACTGCCAGCCAGCATAGCGAACCATCAGCTCTTAACCGAATACAAAAGCCATGTTCGATACGAGCTCGCCATCGTACAACACGCCAGCTTCAGAGCTTGCTCTGGGTGAAGACTGCAAACGGAGAACGACTTTCCTCAGGTCCATTGGTGCCGGAATAGCGCTGGTGCTCCCCCCAGCTTGAATGGACAGCATCATTGATCATTGATGGCGTGACTGGAGCGAGGAAGCGTGGACCCGAAGCGAGGTTTACAAGTGCGAAAGTGAGCATCACGGCAACCGAACTTCGGTGGAAGGTAGTGTGGGTGTCCGTTCTGGAAGACTTTGGCGGAGAGGCATATGGCGACCTTCCGGAGCAAAGATACTTTAAACACAGAACCCTGACACTAATGTAGCTGCGGATAGATAGTGATTTGTTGCCAAGGACAAACAACAAAAAGAAAGCAATAAATAAGCGCGCTCTGTTCAAGTACACACGCCATATGTACGAAGTGGCAGCAAAGAGACGACCCACCGAAAGCACCTCCTGAGACTGATGTGAGGATCCAAACCGGTCAGCAAGAACCTCAAAAACGATTTCAGTGGAATGAACGACGTACGCAGGGCGCGAAGAAACACGGACTCCTCTACACAGCTGAAAACACCGGGCGAGTGGAAGTAATTTTGCAAAATGGACCTGGGAGATTTACAGTCGTTGAACAACAAAACTGTGGAGTTGTGGAGTTGTGAATTCGCCGTGTCTGATTTGTCCGTCACGGACGTGCAGTTGCGAGCCAACGCAATTGCGTGGAAGCTCTGTTGGATCTGACCATTCAGGCGTCGCCCTCGACGGCTGCATAAAGCAAGGCTGTGCGCGATACTTCGGCGCTTCACATGCCTTTGCTCTAAATAAGTGCTCAGGAAGGTCCCCGACCCCTTGAGCGCAAATTTTGCTTTGAGGAATGGGTTGACGAGTTCGCCCTCGGGTTGGTTTTGTCCTTTCACAAAGTGCCTGAAAGAGGACATTGCACATACTCATTGTTGGCCAGACCAAGTGGCACATGCTCTAATGCGGATTTCTCTGGTGTGAACTAAGCAAGGTGACCTCACCAGGCCACCTTTTCACCGACGCAGCTGCGTTGGGACGCAAGTGAGGTGAAGATGACACGGAAATATCACCAATTACAATCATATCGACAACGAAGCAAGCGTCAAATGAGGACTCCAGACAATGGAAAACCGGACTAAAATGGACCAAAGACGCCCAGAGCCCAGAATAGCACAAAGCTGAGAAGACAACAAGGAAGTCATAGTTCAACAGGGACGAGAATAACGCAAAGGCCGCAAACATGATAGTTCTCCATGTCGAGGCAGGCCTCGCGAGAAGTGTTGAAAAGGATTGGTCCCTGTCCCTTCCTCGGCGCCATGGCTTCTCGATTTTCTCCAGATCTTGTCATTAACCCGGACTAATTTATTTGCTGGCTACACTTTATTATTTTTCTATTTTCCATCGGATCATTACACTGGTTGACCTTGTGGATCACGCATAATCGTTGTGCACCGTCATGGGAGCGCAGTCCAAGATGGCCCCGCATCGGTCAACGGCGCATGACAATATGAAGAAGACACAACAGGTCTCTGGCACAAAGAAAACCGATTTGGTGGTTCTTCCATCGAAGCCTGCAGGAAAGCGGGAAGGCTTTGCCACGCACTTGCATGCGTCACCTCTAGGCGGATCGGAACCGTATAAAAGAGCCCCGTTCGTACCAGTCGAAAAGACGGGTGCAGACACCTATGTATCAGGGGCCGAGAGCGAGATATCAAGATCATCGTCTCCTGTTACTGATATGGCAGCATCGTTACCCTCATCCACCAGCAGCTTTGCTGCATCGTTGCCTTTGCAAGATGGAGGCGCCGACGGAACAAAAGATGACTCCTCGAGACAGAGCGACGCCGACTCTTCAGGGAGCGAATCTGATAGTGGGTATGTATATGACAAGCCCGTGATATGTCAGAGTCCTTTGTGGTATTGTTTTATAATTTAATACTAACAGGTTGTCGACCAGATCTGGAACCGCACTCAGAGAAGTAGACCGGCGGAGAAGCGGAGACATGACACCAAGTCCGAACATATCACGATTCAGCCAAGTGCCCCAATTACTGCACTCAGGACGGCCTACTACGCTTGCCGGTCCCGAGAACGACATTGGCAGCGGTATTGAAAATGAATACAGCAGCCCCAGTACCAGCGAGAACAGCGACAGTGACCGGGATACAGATGATGACAGTTTTGACGCTGATATTTTGGCCGCTGTGGGCGGAAATATCGGCCTGGCCGTGACTTTGATTCCATATCTCCACAGACTGAGAGCAAAGTCTGTACAAGAAAAGATTGACAATTGGCAGATCGAAGTGGCGGATCCCGTCGACGGTGACGATGGCACCAATGGCAGTATCGACTCTCCCGAGTCACTTCGCGCACACCGCGGAAGCTTGCGGTCCTCACGGGCTGCAAGAAAGAGACGCCATCAGTCGGATTCTGACAACGACCAGGACGAATATGATGATGACGAGGGTGGGAATGATAGTCCTGATTTTCTGGGACTGCCCCAAGGAATAAAGGACCTGTATTTAGCTTGCCATTTCCACAAGTTTGATCCCATAAAGTACGGGATTCGACACATTTCTCCGGCATCGTCTCGGAAGGACAAGTATCGAACGTGTGCTGGCCCAGGTTTCAAGACCATCCAACGACTGAAGTAAGTACAAACTTTCGTTACTGACAGGTTGTTCCGAAATATCCTTAGTCAAGTGTGCCAGTGGCTAACTTTCTCTGTGTCACCAGGGAGCATCTAAAGCGGAGGCACAAACCAGTCCAGTGCGACCGCTGCTATCATATCTTCACCGGATCGAACAGAGCCTCCTGGCTTCAGCAGCAGCTGACTGAACACCGGCAACGTGAGGAGGTCTGCCAGAGGGGCGACCCATCGTTGAAAGAGGGCATCAGCGAGGCCCAATGGACTACTTTGGAACGCAAAAACCACAAGAAGAGTCAAGAAAAGCACAAGTTAGAACGTTGGTATGATATTTGGCGAGTTCTTTTCCCCGAGGCTGACGAGCCAGCAACGCCATGTGAGTTTTCAAGAGTGGGAGATCATTTGGGGAGAGATCCCAGCGGCTACAACCGAATGAGCGAACGTGCTAACAGCAAAATTGAAAGTCTACGACGCAGCGGTGCCAATGAGCAGCTTGGAACAGTCGAATGGCAGGCAAAAATTCGTTGATATGTTTCAAACAATTCTGTCCGCCAAGGTGCGACAAGGCGATGTGCTCTTCGACAGCACTTGTAGCGCGGAAGAAATGCAAGATCGGCTTAAGAACGCTGTGAGCTTGACGTTCCAAGCGTACGTTGGTTTGCATGGGTTCCCCAACTGGTTTGCATGGGTTCCCCAACTCGGCCGATGTATCTTCGATTACAGGAACAACAACCCTCCAGACATCAGTCTCCGAAGACGCTCCAGCTACACAGCAGCCTCGATTAGGAAATGGTGGCTACCAGTACACGATGGCGCCGCCGCCAGGACAGGAAATCGGCAATCTGGGGAGTTTGGCAGGACCGTCCTCATCTTATTTTGTGCCAAATTACGACCCGTCTCTGCAGCACTCACCGTCGGATCTGTCTGGGAATCCTTACATTGAGCAAACAGGTGACGCAACAGTAGCCGCAGACACGGAAAATGGTGATCCCAACGTGCGTGGCGTACCAACCACAGCGGCTTCTCTCATACAGAGTCTTCCGTATGTGTTAGCACAGTCTAGTCCCGACCCAGCATCGCCAGGACAGGAGCTGGCGGCAGCACTGCACCCACAGCACTCGCCCTTCGTCTACCAGATGGCCGAGACAAACCCATATACAGCTCAAGTTGCAGAAGCATCCAACGTGCAGCGACAGACACCCGTAAAGCCGATGGGGCCGCCGTCTCAAACCTCCTCACGCAAATCACGACAGGGAGCGTCGAAGAAGAATGGATCACAGTCTGAGAAACGTGCACTGCCGCCCCTCCAGCCGGCTCCGCACCGTGGGTCTCAGCATGTTGACCCGGCGCCGAGCTTGCCTTCAGTGAATCTGGCGCCGAGTTCTCTCCACCCACAGCTGCCGCAGGGTGCACACGGGGCGGCATATTCACCAAATGTCCCGCAACAAGCGCACAGAGGTCAAGGGGGCTACTACGGACAGCACGGACACTACGGCCATTATGGACACACCGCCGGACCACCCATGTCCGGGTCGGCCGGGGGGGCGCACATAGCAAACACTCGTTACACAGAGTCCGGCCATAGCCAGGCTTCGGAGTACTACGACAGAGTGCCGTGGGTGGCGGGGGCCGTGCGACAGGGACCTGCAGGAGTATCGCTGCCGCCGATGGAGACGCAGCCGTATGATGCCATGCCGTCGACGAGGTCGCAGGCGAACGGTGCTGGTTATTACAACCCCCAACATGGATACGGGGGTCCGCACCGCGAAGATTACCGTTCTCACCAATAAGGGGACGACATGTTGATGTTTTTGGGGCTCTGCCTGATTTTGATTTAATTTTGATTTCGCTTTATGGTGCTGGTTTTGGCGTTGGGTTGAACTGTTTGTTTACATAGATACGAAGTACTCACCTGCTTGTGATTACGAATCCAGTGCTTCACTTTGAAAAAGAGTAACTGAACATTAAGACGAGGTTAGTTTATTGCCCAGCTCTCTAACTCCTTGTCCAGATAATACACCAGCGACAAGCTAACCATTGGTAAAAACCTGGGAAATAGACGTGGGCAGTGAGACTTACAGCACCGCTTCTCGGCGGGTGAAAGGATACGGGCTGTATTTGATGTCTGTAGATGACTCGAACACAGCCACACGATTCGAATAGAAAGTCTTTAGATCCGGACACGAGATTTGTTGTTCACCTTCGTCGTATGTGCGCCTCAATCTGGAGCCTAAAGTCACTTGTCATTTTACGCGGGGAGGATTCATTGCCAGACAGCCCACTATTTGCTTCTAAATTTAATCCTTTACAGGCTTACCAGGCGCTGGACAGGCATTTCCACCCTGCTAATGCTCTGGCTCGTATTAGTTTGTGGATTGCGCACCGAAGTGTCAACCAGTTTGGGGAAGGAACTGTTGTTGGAACGAGCGCCCCACTATTTTGTCTCTTGTTCGCTCTTACCTCCCTTCCAGGCTCTTTCCCCATTGGTCGCCATCAGCCCCGAGGCAGGCATGCCAACGCCAAAAGACTCGGACAAGTAATGAGGCGCTGAAGAAGGAACATGGCGTCGTTGAGGTTGATTGCTCCTGCCAATACGACGCTGTGCGGCGACGCTGCGATAATCTGCAACACGAGAAGGAAGGAGCAGGGCGACGCACGCAATGCGGCTTGCTTTCCTTGTTTCTTCTTGCCTTTTTTTTTTTTTTTTTTTTTGTCGCCATTTCATTCTGCCTTGTTCTTTCCCGGTTTGTGAAGCTCATCAAAAGCAACCTGCGCTCCTGCCATCCGGCTCCTCGATATGCGCCGCGCTTTCCTGTCGCTCCAAATCCTCGACCGCGCTACACCTCGAGGGGAAGGGGACCGACGTGACCAGGTGGGCATCGCGACTGCCCACGTCTGAATCAACAAATTTGACAAATACGAGAAACTCCGGGGCGACAGAGAGACACAACGAACAAGCGCACGGAATAGTGCAGGCGACTGGCGACTGGCGGCAGGCGGCACAGCAGGCACGAACACGAATGCACACAGCCCTGCTCGTGTCTCCCGAACGAAGCCCTGTCCTTGCATCGAGGGCGTGCCGACTGTGAGCTGTTTCTCGTTTGGCTCTTTTTGCTTCTTTGGCGCGTTTGGCCGCCCCTATCGTCATCGCGTCTTGGCGGCCATCCCATTCCGGTCTCATTACGTTTTTGCTTTTTCTGTTGTGACTATTACGCATCTCTTTATTGCTTCTTTCTCTTTTCTTCCAAACGAACCATGTTCTCCCGCTTCCACCATCGGCGAGGGACGTCGAACTCAACGCCGACATCCCCTATACCACCCGGCACCGATCAATTGGCAGCATGGGAGCCGCCTGCCCGGCAGTACAAGCAGCAACCGCAGCACTCCGCCGCACAGCGGCCGCTATCGACGGGCAGTGTGGGCGATATAACAGTCGCGGCGGCAGCTTCGGCCGTAGGCGACACGGCAGGGGCAACTGCTTCGACGAGAACAACAGCAGCGCCCTCCGCGTCCAACATGCCTCCGTCTCTCCCACCGATCACCCGTGTCGCGTCTTCCATGACGACCTCGTCCAACACCGACTACAACTTCCTCAGCGACCCGGCCGCGAAACCGAATCTCCCCCCTGCCGGCCCATCTTACTCTGCGCCGTCGACCTCGCTCGGCCACCGACGAACTCCTTACCAAGCGACACAGCCTAACGTGCACTCGACGCCGCGCATCTACTCTCCACCTCAGATCAACGAACCCTCTCCCGAGCCCCAGCCAGCGACAACGAGCGAGTCCGGCTTTATCGGCGGTGTTGCTCTGGCGAATCTGCGGCGGCACGGTGCACAAGATCTGTCGACGGCTGCGGCAACAGCAGCAACAGTGAATGCGTCGAAGCGGCCGTCCTCCTCTCTGTCCAACGTGGCAGCGTCGCCAACATCCACAGCCATGTCCTCGCCCGCAGTGTACGGCACGCCCGAGCGACGCATGTCCCGCTCCAAACCGCCTCCTCCGCCGATCAACACGAACCTCGCATCGCGGCAATATCTATCAGCACAAGGCGCCAACAGCGGCAAGGATCCTCGTTCGGGCAGCAAGTCAGCAACGTCCTTTGTCACGCCAACAGATCTCAAGTCGTCCGCTGCCGCGGCTGCGGCGGCGGCCGCGACAGCCGCAAATATCGCCAACGAAGCGTACAACCAAAGCTCTCGGAGTTCCCACGGTGCAACAAGCAGCAGCGCGGCGAGTGCGGCCGCTGCTGCGAATGCTCGGACAAAGAAAAGCCTGCCCTTTCTGCGGAAAAACCCCGTGTCTACTTTACTTGGCCGCCGCAAGACCGGGGCAGGTGGTTCCGATGTCACCGGCATGTCGAATGCCAACGCCGACGGGCCGGTTTATGTGCCCATCCGTGGCACCCGCGTTCACGACTTTAGTGCGCCCGGACCACGCCGTGCTGTTCCACCGGATGCGCCTGCGGTCACCACATCGGCAGCGGCCGCAGCGGCTATGGCTGCCATTGCCAATGTCGGTGGCAGCCCCCGACCTAATTCAGCGACCAGTCCTTCTTCGAAACAGGCGCCCGTTCCTTCGCAGATCCCCAACAACTTCCCTTCCTCTTCGAATGCAGGCTCCGCCGGCGTCGATACTGCACCGCCGCAGCTGAGGTCCACAGACACAAGCTCCGCACGGCTGTCTCACTCGACACCGCAGCCGACGTCATCTTCTTCTTCCTACCCGTCCAGCCGAAACTCGTCGGTTACACCAGACGCAACGCAAAACTCTGTGGCCCCATTACCAAAATCAGCAGAGACACAGATACACGCACAGGCACTAGCACAGGCACAGATACAACCACATGGACAGCCACAAGGACAGCCACTGGGACAACCGCAGGAACAACCACAGCCGATGGCGGAGCAGCGAGGCGGCCCCATCCGCATGTCCTCGCAGAACACCCTGCAAACCCTCCAGGAAAACCGCACGCTTTCATTTGGCGAGAAGCCCCTGCCAGAGCGACCTTCCACTAGCGACGGTCCTTCCTCGTCCTCTGTGCGAACCGCGTCGACCTCTGCGCGATCGCGTGTTGTCTCGGCCGATGTCGCGTCCCTCTTGAAATCGTCGCCCTCCACAGGCACCACACGGTCGCACAATGTGTCCTTATCCGACGATCTGTCGCCCAACACCAACACCACCGACAACGCAGACACAAACGATACCACTAGCGGGCTGCCATCGACCTCGGCCACCACGCCCGCGTCGGTGGCCTCGGTGGCTGCGTCTGCGCTGCCGAAGCATATGAAGAGCACCTCCTCCCGCTTTAGTTTTATGATTGGCTCAGCCAGCGAGGAGAAAATGCTTGAGGAGCGCCACCGGCAGAAGCAAGCCGAGAAAAAGGCCACAGGCGGCGGCGACGGCGACGCTTCCGATGACGATGGCATGGGCACGCGCGACTCGCGCTTTGACGATTTGGACGACGACGGCTACGACTACGACGCCATGATGGATGATGACGGTCTCGAGGAGCGCATACCGGGCGTCAACGCCGACGCCGACGAATACGAAGAAGACGATGCCCATCTGTTCCGCTCGGAGGACGATTACGAAGAGGAGATTCCCCACAGCGGAATGGACGAAGAGGACGTTTCTGGGACGGGCCTCGGCGCGCTGAGTCTGGAAGACGAACCCACGTTGCACATCGAGGCCGAAGACGACGATCCAGAAGGCGTGGACCCGGACAACGACCAAGAGAATTTCGCTGGCTTCGTCTTCCAGCGCTCCAATCCCGCCTCGTCTTTGGTGAGCCCGACCAGTGCTGGTGTTACTGCCACGCCGCGTGATGCAGCCGGTCGTGTGATTGGCTTTGCCCTAACGATAGATGCGGCACCCGACACCTATCCTCCCTCGGCCTCGTCGTTCTCGTCTCTCGATCCCCACGGCGTTGCCGATACCGTTGTTCCAAACACTGGAGCGAACGCGGAAACAAATACCGCCAACAAACCGGAAGTTCGACACTCTTTGCTCTCGAATGATGTACTACATACGCGTTACGAGGAGCAAGAGTACGATGAGTTTAATGGAGACGACTACGGAGGTGATGACTCCCACGAGAACATGGACCAGTACGAAAACGAGGTCGACAATGTCGAACCTACGGTCACCTTGCAGCCCCAGCCAACGACCGTCAACTACAATACCGTAGCACAGTCCAACCCTGCCCCGAACTCGACCTCCTATGGCGACGACCTCTACTACGACCAGGGCCTCGCCGACGAGCTCAGCTTTGGCCAGACAGAATCGTCGGGTGCCGCGTTTGACGAGTCCATCTTTGATCTCGACGACACGGACGAATACGGTCGTCCGATCCCCGGTGCCTTTGCCGCGGCCCAAGCGGCCCAACGCGCCGCCATGGCTGCTGCTATCGAAGCCGCCTCGTCTGGTCCAGCCTCGGGCTCCGCGCGACACGAATCCGATGTCCCATCGTCCGAGTTGTCTGACAAGTCGCCAGACGCCGACTCGACCGCCCATACATCGATGAGTGTGGCCGGCATGGCACACGGCAGGAATGACAGACATGAGCCGGCGGCCCTGACGCAGTCGGCGCAGACTACGGACTCCCCGTCTGTTCCCCTGCTCTCCTCTCAGTTTGCACCGGTCCGCAAGAGCGAAGACTCGTTGACAGCCTTGCGCCGGCAGCTACCACCTATCATGACCGATGCCGAGCGTGTTGACGCATACCAGGCAGCTCTGGCCGCCGCTGCCTATAAGGCTGCCGCCTCGGGCAAGTTCCGTCGTGACTCGTCGTCGACCCGCTTCTCCCCGGAGCCGACCAGCTCGCCCCCGGCGTTTGACATGGACGACATTCGAGGTACTGGCCTGGGTCTACAAGGACAGACCCTAGATGCGGACGACGGCGTCGTTGAGGTCTCGTCACCCGTTGCCACTGCTGCACAAGTGCTGGGATCGGATGGAGGCCTTGCGGGTCTGCCGGGCTCGGGCTCCGCCTCCCACCTGGCGTACGCTTTCACCAGTGAGCGCGACATGGACTATCAGTATGACTTTGATGACGACTCTGGCGCATACACGCAGGATATGGATGACTATGATCTCGATGACGACGCTATTATCGCCGAAGCGAACGCCGAGGTTCTGGCCAACGACATGGATGGATTCTACGGCCAGGAGTTCAATTTTTACTCGGCCCCGCTCCCGCAGTCGTCACGCAACAGCAACAGCCACGGTAGTAGCAGCAACAACAACAATAACAAGAATGCCGACAAGGACCGGATCCAGTATGCGAATGGCGGCTATTTTATTCCCGATGGCATCGGCCGTAGCACGTCCGGCCGCGTTGTGTCCCGCGAGCCCAACCTCACGCCCATCACAGAGCGCTCCGAGTACTCTAACCGTAACAGCGTTATGTCTCTGGCGGTGCCGCCGTACGGAAGCAGCAGCGAACTCCGTTCGCCTGGGCTGGCGCAGCTTGCCCTGCTGGCCGAGGGTGACAACAGCGACCTCAGCCTGTCGGCACTGCTGCGCCTGCGGAGCCGGACCTTTGGCGGCAGCAGTGTCAGCTCGAGCCGCGAGGGCAGCCCCATGCTCATGCAGAGCAAGGATAAGGACCTCCGCGAACGCGGCGACCGCGACAATGCCTCGTCGCCCTTTCCTGGACCGACGGCGTCGCAGCTTCAGTTGGTCTCCAAACAGTACCCCCTGCCGGCGCAGTACCACCACCGCATGGCCTCGGGTGGCGGCAGTGGAAGTGGCAGTGGCAGTGGCGGTGGCGGCGGCGGCATCACCTATTCGCCTCGCGGTGCGGCGGGCAGCGACCTTAACTCGGATAACGGCAGTGAGTGCGGCAGCCCGACGCTCACGAGCCTGCACCCCGGGACCAGTGGTGGCGGAGGTGGTAGTGGTTATGGTGGTAACAACATGTTGCCGCTGCCGACATCGCCGATCCCTCCGGCGAGCAGTTTCCCTCCGGTGATGGAGGAGGACGACGAGATGCTCGAGACGACCGAGGCCATGCCCGAGACTGCCGAGGTCGGTGGGGCGGACGCAGAGGCGCACGCGGTGGCGGACACAGCGGTGGCGGACGCAGCGGTGGTGGGCCAGTCGGATGTGGGGGGCGGCCAAAGTGCCATCAGCTCGGCTTCAGGCTCAATGCTATGGATGCACAACCCGTTGCAGCGCAGCGGCAGTACCCGTACCAATACGAACACAGGCTACGGCTACGGATATGGCACCAGCGAGAACAACACCGTCCTGCCCGAGGACCAGCGCCAGCAGCTGCGCCTCAAACAAATGCACGACTCGGAGGTCTTGGACCTGGAGCAGCAGCTGCAGGTCAAGGCGCGCGAGACGGAGCAGATGCAGAAGCAGCTGGAGTGGTTGAGGACGCAGCAACATCTGCTTCAACAACAGCAGCTGCAGCAACAGCAACAGCCACAGCCACAGCCGCTGCCACAACAACGGCAACAGCCGACAGCGGACGCATCGCCCATCTCCCCCGCCCGTGGTCCGCCACCGCCCATCCCTCCCATGTCGTCGCGCCGTCCGGGCAGAGGCCACGGCCACCGCCATAAGGGGTCCTCGGACAGCATATCGTACGTCAAGGAAGAAGAGGCCGAGAGCGGCGAGAGCCGGTGGGTGATGGAGCGGCGGCGGCTGGGCGAGACGGGCGAGGTCGAGCTGCTGGAGCGCGAAGTGGTCAAGAGGATATGAGCCTGGCCTTGGTGTCGGCCTTCTCTCTCTGTTCTTTTTTTTGATACCTTTTGGGTTTTCTTTGTTTTACGATACTGGAGGAGTCAGCGAGCGTTTTTCATTACTCTTCCTTTGGTTGACTTACCGCTTTCTTCCACTTTCCACTTGCTCGGCATTCTAGGCGTTAGGGATGGGTTTCTCTCCTTTGGACAGGACGGCGTCCATTTTACGGTGTACAAAAGTTTTTGTCCATATCCTTTACCAAGCGGAATCAAAATAGAGATGGTAGATATGGGGTGGGATGGAAAATGGTGGGGAGTTTGTGGGACGATGGATTCCACGAGCTGCAGACTTTCGCGCCAGGATGCATTTTTATTTTTCTTTGATACCACTTGGCCGCAAGACTGCGGTCGATAATATTTTGGAACGGTATATTTTATTGAATTGGGTAGGGGCCGCACACAAGCACATTTTTTTCTTATTCAACTGCTTTCCCTTCCTATTCTTCTTTTGTGTTCTTTTCCATTTTTCATGTCTAGCCATTTTCTCTTGACCAGCAACTGGCCTTCTCATGTAACCAATGGCAAAAGGGGCACGTTCTACAGCCAGCAGTAGGCGTTTGAGTTGCCCGTTTGAAATTGAATGCATGCGAGGTCCAAACGTTATTTCCTGTCTACGCAGTATGTCACAAGTCGAGTTGATGATGCCAAGTTGACGCCCACCCGCTTGTCATTTAACTCATTTACCGACAGACGTTTACATAACGTTCTTGCGTCCTTTCTCCCTTTAACCGCAACCCGAAGAGAGGAAATAAGATGCGAGAATTTCAGGAAAAGCTTCGGACACGGACCGCCAATATGCAATATCGAGCAACTGCATTACCGAGAAATCACAAAACTTACGATTCTACCGCCCAGAGGCTGTTCCCCCGCAACCATACGCTCGTCCGTTTCTGGTGCTACCGAAATTTGCTGTTCAGGGCATCCAATCTTTATGAAGAGACTTTAAAAGAATGGCCCCCCTTTCGACATCTCACACCATGTTGGCAATCACTTCGACCTGTGCCAAACCCACCTGCTTGTCGGGATAACCGCCAACATGCTTTCGTCTCTACTCATTGTCCTCGGCGCAGCAGCCGCTACGACTTGGGCGCACACCTGCCCCGTCGCCGACACGTCCATTGTGGCGCACAGTGGAACGCCCGTCGGCCAGATAGAAGCTCACAATGGGTTTGATATGTACATCTCCAAGCCTCAAGGCAACGCCACCAAGGCTGTGCTGTACCTGACGGACGTCTTTGGCATCCAACTGGCAGAGAACAAACTGCAGTCCCCCCCCCCCCCCCCTAGCTCCGTGCGCGACCAAGTCCATTCACCCGCACACTCACTGACCGCCGACAGCCTCGCCGATTCGTTTGCCCGTGCCGGCTTCTTGACGGTGGCCCCCGACTTGTTCAACGGCAAACCTGCTCCGGGTGACATCAATGTGCCCGGGTTCAACACCACGGCCTTCCTCAACGACCACGGCCCTGCACAGACCGATCCCATTGTCGCCGCCGGCATCGCATACATCCGCAGCCTGGGCATCACACGCGTTGGCGCCACGGGCTATTGCTTTGGCGGACGCTACGCCTTCCGTGCGGGCGGCAATCTGACGACGACGTCGATTCGGCCGGGGCAAGGCGCACGCGCCGTCTTTGCCGCACACCCGAGCATGCTCGGCGACGAAGAGATTGCGGCCATCCAGGGCCCGGCCAGCGTCGCGGCGGCCGAGACGGACGCGTTGATGCCGGCGGCGCGGCGCACCGAGATTACGGCGCTGCTGCAAAACTCGGGCCAGGAGTACGGCTTTGCAGTGTACGGCGGCACGAGCCACGGGTTCGGTGTGCGGGTGAACGTGACGGATCCGCGGCAAAAGTTTGCCAAGGAGGAGGCGTTCTTGCAGGCGGCGCGGTGGTTGTCCGTGTGGCTGTAGATCGGGCGAGGGCACAGACGAGCAAAGCAGATGCCCGGCAGCTCGAGTTGAAGAAGTCACATTCTGAATTCCCGTATACTGTGAATGTGAAATATCAGTAGAGTAACCATACGGCATGGAGCCGTGCGGCATTACTGTGAGACGGAAAATGCCCTCTGTGCCGCCCACAGCCACGCCACCCTTACCCAGCCTCGACCACAGACCGATTTACCCAGAACCGAGCAGGGGCTAATTGTCGATTATACCATTATACCGGCGGCTCCATGTTGCGCTTCGGTACCGAAATTCAATTCAATAGCACTCCATCCCCAAAGCATAAACGTCGAAATTGATTGACAAAGGAGATCCGCTACAGATGAGTCTGTGCGGGATTGTACGTACATCTAGCGGACAGCTATCGCCCGCAAATGCACAAACTTGTGCCGCTCGTAGATAACATTTCTCCGATTTAATCTGGAGATGGGTGTGTCCGTCGGAAAGGCGTCATGGCAAACTATGTCGAACTACGTCAACGATGAGGGCAGCTCGAGCTGTGCATAAACGTGACGAGGCTAGCTCAACGACCAGCACCGTGGCCGTTCTGCAGACGTGTCTGTGCGGCGCAGCGGACCTCGCGTCTCGAAATATGCCCTGGCTTGTTCCGGAGTCGTAGTCCGTTGGGGAGCTGGTGTGTCCGCGACAATATAGACGCCCACTTATGATGTAGTTGACCAGTCGCCGATCCATGCGGTCTGTTGCATGTGATGATCTGCCCTTTGCATGGTGTCGAATATTGGTTGGCACGGCATGAATCGGGGGTTGCCGAAAGTCACGCTGGCGACGTTGCTGAAGCTGAGCTGTCGAGTGGCCAGTGGTCGACACCAACAAATATAAATAGGACGACGGATGGCCATCGTGACCGTTGAAGGCAAACATCTCGACACCATCACCCAAGACAGAAACAGAAACAGACAACGTTCGGCTCCCATACAACAACCACCTCCCAAACATAACATCATCACATCCTTCACATCCACAATGGCCGCTCCCATCCCCGTCGCCAGCCTCGGCCGTGATGCCAAGGTCTCCGAGGCCGTCCGCGAGCGTCTCCTGCCAGACTACGATGGTGGGTAGACTGCCTATACGTTCTTGTCGTTTGCTGGCTTCCTGCTAACGTCCCAGTCGTCCACACCTGCCTCGACCTGGCCGCCGCCGAGGTCGAGCTGCCCGCCCTCTTTGGCGGCAACCTGCAGACGGCCAACGCCGCCGGCCTGGGCAGCAACGCCACCAAGCCCGCCGACCAGCGCGCCGTGCCCCAGCTCGTCCTCTTTGGCGGCGACATTCCCGACGACGAGGTCAGCCGCATCACGGCCGCCATCCGCGTGCAGGCGCCGGCCGTGCGGTCCGTCAAGGTGTCGAAGCTGGACGTGCTCAAGGCGGGCGGCCTGGGACCCAACCCGGACGTGATTGCCAAGGTGTACCGGAAGAAGATTGCCAAGGACGAGTAGGGTGTCGACGGGGGGGTGTCTACCGGGGGAGTGTCTACCGGGGGGGCGTCGGATGGATTGGAAGAGGTGACTGCAAGGCGTGCATCCTCAACGTAGGTCGAGTTCCAACCTTTTATTTGTCAGTAGACAATACATTTTCTCGCTCAAAATGGAAAACTCGTCGTTCCTTGTGTCGCTTCTAAGCGTTTTTGCCAGACAACTAAAGAATTGGAAGGAAAGGAGATGGCGGCTCGTGGTATCACGTAAATTTGGTCGCGATCTTAATCTTTGCTTTCCTGCACTGAAGATGAATCGGACAGCGACCTTTCCAACACAACAGAAATACTTGCAATCGATGCCCTCGACTTTCCTGGCCAATGTAGACGCACCTTTGGACTGGCGAACGCATCCGGCCACCTGATTCGGGACGACCCCGAGAACCTTGACTGGTGCCACTCCATCTGGGGTTTATAGTTGGGCTTTGTGGGAATGCAGCGGCAGGAAAGTCCACAACCAGCGAACAGACAGCGAGAGCTGTGTCTGCAGCATGCTGATAGATGGCTTGGAAAAGTCGAATGCTCGCCGTTGTTTATGTTTGTCGACTTGAGAACATTGTCACAAAAACAAGGGAAGCTCGTGGAATCATGACAAAACACGTGACTGACGACGACATATCGTGTGAGGCGAACCTGGTTCTTTTTTTGACACCTTCTCTTTGGACCGCTGATCCAGGGAGGGGGACAATCTGATATGAAGTAGAGACGGAAGAGATGCGTCCTGTGTTGCCCAGTTGTGAACCAAAGACTGTATTTCATATTCCTTTGATATTCTTCTGACTTTGGGCGCTGTTCGCCCCAAACAAAACAGAAGTAAGATAAGCCCAAGGGAGGAGTGAACGGCTCGTCTAGCGCCGCTGTATATCCAGTGTTTGTGAGAGAAGGAGCGGTGAGCTAGGCAACGGTACCTATTTTGTGTGTTGAGCTGCCGCACACTACCGACTGCCTTTTGCCAGTTCAGCTCCGTCCATGCAGCGGCGGCAATGTTGTACTTCGCAGTCCGTTGCCATACAAGCATCATCGATGTCTACACGTTGACGTTTGATTATATTATGGCATCCAGTTGCAGTAGAGGCCATGACCGTTTCTGAACTCGACTCGACTCCAGTTTCCGGTCCGCAAAATGATACCGCTCCTTTGGCCACTTTGCACTTTGATCACGCTTTCTGCTCGTGTTCCGGCCACGTAGACTTTGGAAATCCACCATCATCGTCTTGTGTACACTCAGCAGGGCACATTGGTAGTAAAGGAATGTGAGAAGATTCTGATGCCCATAGAGCCTGTCAAGTAGTGACTTGGCCGGAAACCAGTCGAGACAAAAGACTGAAAACCAGCAACTCACAAAATCAACATTGGCATTATGCTTTCCACCAGTTTCCTCTCAGCATTTGCTCTCTTTTATTATCTCATTCTTCTCTACACCCTTTTCCTATCCCAGGTCAAGACTATATAAACTGCCTTCCCCGTCCTCTCATCGCTGCACTTCTCTTCCATCTGTCTTCTCTATCGCCCCCAAACCCTATCACAACTACTCCAGCCTTTCAGCAACTTAACACTCTTTCAATCCCACACGATCAATCCCATGCACTTTACAATTATTTTCATTCTAACAATCCTCATTTCATTAATCGTCAACTGCTTTCCAAGGGGCCGAGAAGCATTCTTGGCCATTGAACGGCTCGACCGCAACACGAACGCCACGTACGGCCGGCGATGCCTCCACTGAAGGCAGACGGCGTCTCCGCCTCTGCCCAACGCGTGGCGGGCCTCAGCGACCGTGAGAAGACCATTTTGCTCACGGCATGGACCTGTGTTGCACGGGTTCCAGACGTAAATGACTACACCTCACTACTTTATTTCGCATGGCCATGGGGTCACGCGTTGTGTCACATATCGTTCGCCTGCTAACCTCTTGTCCTCTTTGTCTAGTTGGATCTAGACAAGCTCTGCGCAGACTGTGACCTTTCCAATCGATCGAATGCCGGCCGAGTCTGGCTCAACCTGAAGCAAAAGCTTGGCATCGACAGCCAAGACGCCACGCCCAAGCGGTCCGGCCGCGGCGGCAGAAACCGAAAGCGGAAGCGGGCAGGCAGCCCTACCAAGGGCACCCCTGCGGCTCAGGACATGAAGGACGGCAAGCAGGACATGGGAGGCGTTGTATCGCCCCTCACTGTTGGCGACCATACTGGAGACGGCAGCATTGGCAGCGGCGATGGTTCCTCCAAGGGACGTGCTACGCGCTTGCCCGCCGGAGCTGGTCATCAGCCTGTGGCTGGGTCTGATTTTCGCATGGGCCACGGTTCTGCCTTTGCTCCTTTCAGTGTTTTGCCGTCGCCGACCAAGTTCAACAGTGTCACCGCCGCTACTGCTTCCTTCGCTGGCCGTGGCGCCATTTCTGCCGCTGGCCAACGTGGTGCTGGTGTCCCGACCGGCAGCGTCCAGCAGATGTCGATGTCGCCTTTTGGTACTCCTGGCGGCTTCCAAGCCCCTGCCCGCAACGTCCGCGCCGTCGGCCCTGTTGCCCCTAGCGGCTCGACTTCTGCTCCCCCGACCCGTCCGCTGCCGACCGCGCCGCAGCTGCCAAGATCATGGCCGCCGTCTCGCGCCTCCCAGGCTTTGGCAACTACTCGGCTGGAGCCACCCAGGCCAACTCTGCCCCTGTGACTCCAGCCAAGGCGATTGTGCTCCCTTCTGCGACGGCGGTCTTTGCTTGCCCGTCAACAGTGCCTTGCATGCCGGCCGTGCCATTTGTTCATGCGATCCCCACAGCTGGCAAGGACACGCACCGGCACAAGTTGCCCACAACGTGCCGCGTCCCAAAGACGCCTGGCACGGCCAGGGCCAACACGTTCCAATGCCCAGCTGGCAGAAACGGCAAGAAGCCCGTGGCCCAGCAGTTGCTTCCGCGCACGCCAGAGGCCAAGCCACACCCAGCATGTGAGGCCAAGGACATTGTCGCGCTCATCAAGGAGATCAAGGCCACGGCTGGACGCGTCGCCACGGCCGCTGCGGATACGGCGGCTGCTCCCAGCTTTGGCGAGGGGAACGATGACGACGACGACGTCGACCGTCCGGCCACCAGCGGTGGTGTTCGACTTGTGGCCAAGAACGATGACGGGGGCGTGGGTGGAGGGAGTGATTAGATTCGGAGCGAGTAGCAGATGACGGATAGGTGAAGAGAAGAAACTGGGCCTCGAGGGGCAGCTGATAAAAGAACTGGGGATACCGATGGATGCAACGGGAGATGAAGAACTAGAGAGTAAGAGCTAGAGACGCGGTGACAGAAGCATGGGGTCTCAAAGAAGCACAGGCATAATGTGACGGATGGCCTTTTGTCAAATGTCCGAAATCGGTGATTTTATCTTTCAATGAAGTCGTTTGCAAAGTGACCCCGATGTGACTTTTGTGGGCTGCCTACATTCATTCGATTGCACAGCCGGCCAGTCCACGAAACTACAAAGCCGGCGACGATAACCCAGCAGAAACTTGTGGACGGCGATTTGGTTGCAGCGACCCTGCCCAACGTACATGGGAGGGCCAAGTTGTGGCCATGATCGACGTATGGGCTTCCTGGGGATAAGAATGACCACGCTCGGTCGTCTGCGCCACTGTCTTGCTGTCACGAGTAAGCACGAGGCAGATCCATTTCCAGCGAAAAGGCAAACAAAAAGTTGAAGCAGTAACTACATCGCCGCGTTACCGACAAAAAAAGTCGACGCGGCGACATCGCGACATCAAAAAGCTGGGGACTGTCCGTGGATCGAACACGGGACCTCTCGCAAGTTTCGCAACTCAGGGTGTTCCCTAAGCGAGAATCATACCACTAGACCAACAGTCCTGGTTGTGCTGCTGCTGCGCGGTGCCTGTTGTTCCGGTCGGGCTAACTAGAGGTTTACTAGGAGGTTACCATGTGGGAATTCCGACTCTGCTACCGTCTCCACGTGCTCCTGTCGGTTCAGCCGTGCGGTCATACGTCCGGAAACGGTGACAAAATACAATTGACGGCGGAGACGGGTGTCGGGCGCCACGAATCGTGGGCCATGGCTGGGCTGTGGTTGATGGCTTGGGTTGTGATCGTGGGTTTTGCGTTGTATTGGGCTTTCTCTCCCCTCTTCCCCGCACAACGTGCAGTGTTGGGAATTGGTTGGAGCAGGGAGGCTGCAAGATTGTCGTCTCGTCTCCTTGTCCCGTCGTCTCCAGTTTTGGCAGTAAATCAACAACTCGAGCGTGGCTGCGATCGAACAGACGCCCAGACCAGATAGCCAACTATAATCAGCTTCTCAACCACTGTTCTGTCGTCGTACACCGTCTCACCTCTCCACTGTCCACTCACCGCCATGAGCCTCGACAAATTCAACCTGCCCAGCTCCATGCGGGCATTGGGTATGCCTCCGATGTGCATGTGTCGTGTATCTGTATCGTGTATCGTGTGTCCCTCACTGACGACATCTAGAATATGCCTCTGCCCGCAACTTCTCCGTCGTCACGAAAGCCCTCCCCCCCGTCCGCCCCCACGACGTCTTGATCAAAGTCAAGGCCTGCGGCGTCTGCGGCACCGACGTCCACATCCACCACGGCGAGTTTGGTGCCGTCTTCCCTCTGGTGCCGGGCCATGAGACGGTGGGCGTCGTCGCTGCGTTTGGCAGCGCGGTGTCTGGCTTTGCGGTGGGCGACCGCGTCGTCGCCGACAACTCGGAGGTGTGCGCGTCGTGCCACTACTGCCGGCGCGGCCAAGAGCTGTTTTGCGAGCGCTTCGTCGCGCACGGCGTCGTGGTCGACGGCGGCTTTGCCGAGTACGCCGCGTACCCGGCGCATCGCGTCTTTTCGCTCCGCGGCGACGCGCTGACCGACGCCGACGCGACGCTGCTCGAGCCGGCCGCGTGCGCCGCCCACGGGCTCGACCGCATTGCGCCCGCGATGGGCTCGACCGTCCTGGTGTTGGGCGCGGGGCCCACGGGGCTCGTGCTGGCCCAGATGCTGCGGGCGAACGGCGGCTGCCGCACGGTGCTGGCCGCGCCGCCCGGCCCGAAACTGGACGTGGCCCGGTCGCTCCAGGCGGCCGACGAGTTTGTGGAGCTGCCCCGCGACGCGGCGGCATCGGCCCAGGCGCTGGCGGCGCTCCGCCGCGACAACCCCTACGGCTTCGACATTGTCGTCGAGGCCACGGGCAGCGCGGCCGTTCTCGCGCAGGCCATCGACTACGTCGCCAAGGCCGGCACGCTCGTCGTGTACGGCGTGTACAACGACGCCGACACGGTCGCGTTCGCGCCCAACAAAATCTTCAAAGCCGAAATCACCATCCTGGGCTCGTTTAGCCAGACGCACAAGTTCCCCGCCGCCCTTGACTACCTGACGCGCGGCCGCGTCGCCGTCACGGGCATTGTCAACAAGACATACCGGATCGAGCAGTGGCAGGAGTGTCTGGACGCCATGGCCAACAAGACCGTCATCAAGGCGGCCATTGTGTTTGATTAGGGTGGGCGGGGTGGAAGTGGATAGGGTGACATGGGCAGTATCAAGGCACGATGAGCGAGGTGTTTGAATGTGTGTTGCAGGGCTGGAGGTCTTTTTATTGATTCTCGTATGTCATTAAACGATAAGGGCCAGGCCACTAAATATCCGGCAAATTATAAAATAATAAACTTTAAACGTTTTGGCCAGAATCTAGGTTACTTGGGAACGTAAGCGGCATCTCCTCGCCCCCGTTAAAAACCAAACATGTTTTCGTCTTCCGTATAACCCCAATCTAAACCATTGTTAACAACAAAGACGGATACGCAACGTAGGACGGCGCTGTCGATAATGGTTCCGAACTCACCTCTCAGGGCTGGCAGCACCGCATTCTGAATCATGGCGGGTGGTCCGCACAAGAACACCACGCTGTCCTCGGCCGGCGCAAACAAGGTCTCACGGATCAGACCGGCGTCGACGCGGCCGCGCCGCCCCTGCCACGCTTTGTCGGCGTGGCTCAGAAGTCTTTGGCCAGGGCATCGAGCTCGTCTCGAAGCAGGATGTCACCCTCCGTCGTGTTGGCGTCGATGACGCGCAGCGGAGTGTCGTCGCCGCTCGTGAGCAGGATGCGCGCAATCAGGGCAAACCCCGGCGTCACGCCGGAGCCGCCGAGCACGAGCGACACGCGGGCAGAGTGCCGCGCGCGGCCCTCGATGGTAAAGGCCCCGTGGCCGTCGTACGTGATCTCGCCGGTCGGCCCGCGCATCTCCACCTCCTCGCCCAGCGGAACACAATCGAGAATGTTGGACATGGCGCCGCCCGGCTGCGACGCGTCCGGAAAGTACGTCTTCACCGTCAGCTCGAACGTGCCGTGGCCATCCCGCACGGACTCTGTGTTGTCCTGTTTCTGCCCTTTCGACAACGCCGATGACGACAACTGTTTATTGGCCTGGCCGCTTGGCAGCGCGGGCAGCAAGTGCCGTGTCGGTCTGTAGCTCCGGACGAGCATGCGGTCTTGCATGTGGAAGCCGATCAGGATGTGCTGGTAGGTGCCGAGTCCCAGGGTGTCCTTGCCGTCCGGCAGTTAGGGCAGCTGGAACGTATACTTGCGCGTGTCGTGCGAGATGTCGCGGCGGTCGACCAGCCGGACGGGCACCCATCGGTGTTTCTGTATGGCCAGCCCGCTGGGTGTGCCCTCCCCTCGTCGGCCGTCGCCTGTTCCTTGGCGGCAGCCTCGGCAGTCTGCTGGATAAACTGCCGTGCCTTGTCCGTCACCGACCCTAGAGCGCATTCTTTGTTTCGATCACAGTCAGCCTCGACCTTTGTCTTGTTCATTCGTCTCCTCCTGTCTTGTTCTTTCTTTCTTGGTTAGACGCCTTCCCTGGAATCTCACTACCTCACGTACCATTCAGCTTCGCATAGGCGTAGTCGTCGTGGATGCTCGCAAACTCGTCCGTCGTTTGCTGGTGGACCTTGCCGGCATGTGCCAGGATGGCCGCTTTGCCGCCGGGATGCCAGCGCAGCACACGCGTCGCGTCGTACACCCGGCCATGGACGACGAGCCAGCAGTCGTCCTCTTGGCCGTGCCAGTGCAGCCACGTCCAGAACTTGTTGCCGTGCCGGATCGGGTGGTCGTGAAACGTGCGCACGCAATACAGCCACGTGCCGCCGCCGTCCAGGGAGACGTCCACCCGCTGGACCGCGTGTCCGCCGCCGCCGTACGCGTACCCTGCGACGCGGTATGTCTGGCCTCTGCGCGCCTCGGCCAGCGGCACCGTCTCCCCGTGCGCGGGCTTGACAATCACCGAGTTGAGGCTCTGCTCGTTGCACAGCGTGTCGGGGTGGTGGAACATGGCCTTGGCGAACGCGCCGTCCATGTCCGTGACGAAGCCGGGGAGCACACGGTTGCCCCAGATGTGGTAGTGCGAGCGGTTCTCTGTCGCCGTGATCCACACCTTGGACAGCCACTTCACACAGCGGCCGCCGACGTAGCCCGGTATGATCAGGCGGACGGGGTAGCCGTGGTCCGGCGGCAGGACGAGGTCATTCATCTGGTAGGCCAGCAGGACGTCGTTTGCCGGGTCCATGGCGTATGCGAGCGGGATGCACGTTTCGTAGCGGCCCGCGCTGAGCGCGTCCGCCCCGGCAAAGGTCACCCAGTGCCGGGTCTGCATCGTCTGCGGTTACGGTCGGCAGGGCCTCCAGGACGCCCGACGACAACAGGACGTCGCGCAGCAGCGGGCCCTTCCAGTGCGCGCAGCTGGCGGCCCCCGCGCCCCAGTTGAAGCCTCTGCTCTTGCGGATCTGGTTCAGCTCCTTGCGGCGGTTGCCGTCGCACGCCAGGAGGACAGGAATGTTGATGGTGTCGTAGTTGTCCTTGAGTTCGTCCATGGAGAGCGACACGGCTTTCGCGCCGCACGCAATGTCCAGCCGGTGGAACTCCCACAGGAGCCTCGGCATGGCGCCGTGGTTGCGCACATAATGGAGCTCGTTGGGCGTGATGAGCCCGGCGTCGAAGAGGTGCGACAGAGGCGGCTCCGCGTTCAGGGGATGCTTGCCGGTCAGGCGGACGAGGTCGGCCGAGCGTGGCAGCCAGTTGTCGGGCGTGAACTGGTCCTGCTCGTCAATGGACATTGTTGTCCGATTGGCAAGGCGCGGTGCCGCTCGACGGCCGTCGTTGACCGGCAGCGTCGACATGTACTGTTTCTCCCGCAGCAGGGTTTCCAAGAAGGCTTGCTCTCTTGGGCTGTACGTGTCTTTGTCTGCATGGTCGCTGTCTTGGTCTTGGCTGTCGTCCTTGGTCGTTTGCTCGTCTGTCTGCGTTGTGCCGCTTTCGTTCGTCCCTCGCGATTGCGTCCCCTCGTCCTTCTGTCGCTTGCTTGCATTCGCCGGCCACTTTTGCTGGTGCTTCATCCAGTCCTCCGTGGTGTTGAGCACGTATCGCCAGCCGAGCGAGCGATTCTCTGGGTGGCGTAGGTGAAAATCCTCCTGGCGCTGGATGACCTCTCGAAAATCGACCAGCTGGCCCTCCTTTTTCTCGCGCTCGAGGGCAGCCAGGTCTTCCCTGGACCTCTCGATTTCCAGCACATAGTCGCCATAGCTGTCGCTGAGCCCCGGTATCCGGTCGTCGCGGCTCCGAAATCCAATGCGGTGGTTGTGCCGACTGGTCCAATTTGGCTCGTTGGCGATCGCCTCGGGCGAGGATCCCGGATGAGGGCTGACGGGGGCCATGCCTAGAATGTCGTGACGTTGCGCGGGCCTGTTCACAATGAATCGGCCTCGACTGCCTATATGTGCTGGCCCTTGCATCCCCGGTGTTGCTGTAAGAATATCAATCTCCGCGGAGACACCCGAAAATGGCGCTTACTGTGCGTCATCTGCCGAGCTCGGCCGAGATGGCTCGGATCGGTTCCATGTCGAACCGATTCATTCTGCACAGATTGTCGGCGTCGACCACGTCGATGTAGTAGCCATGGAACCGCGCGCCGAGAACGGTGGTCCCGCCACACCGGCTCTTCAGCCAGTTTGCATTCTTCCCAAACATCTTGAACAGCTGTCTCCCGTTGACGGTTCGTGCGTCGGGCATGTAAAAAATGGGGGCGTCTCTCCACCACAGCACGCTGTACTGTGGCGGGAGCGTATGGCGCAGCCGCAAATAATTGCCCTGCAGGACAGACGGGCGCATCGAGGCCTGTTCCAGCAGCAGGCGCAGCTCGCGGTCACGCCCGAGAACCTGGTATACAAAGCAGCCGTCTTTCAACGGCACCCATGCCTGGCTGCCCCGTTCTGTCAACACTCCGTGGGCCCTGAGCAGGTGGTAATACCGCTGACGGACGCGCGACGGCGTACTGGCGGCCGCGAAGACATCGCGGACGTTCAGCAGGTGGCGGCTTTCCATCTCGTGCATCGTCAACCCGTCAAAGGCACTCGCCGAGTCCGACAACTGGTCCGGCAACTGTGCTGTTGGCATTCTGTTGCCTTGGCCTGCCGGGTGCGCCGACGTCGGTTGATTTGCGCTTCGGGGCCTAACGGGACACAACATGTTAGCTGGATACACAGTGTGTTAAGTGGACAAGGTCGAGAAAGTACGAACAATACCGTTCCTTGGTCCGTTGCAGTTGCGTTTTGACCGTCATGCTCATCATGCTGGTCATGATTGCTTTCGTCGTCGTCGTCGTCGTCGCCGTCGTCGCTGTCGCCTTCGTTGCCTTCGTTGTATTCAACGTCATCACCGTCTTCGTCGCCTTCGTCTTCGTCAGCTTCGGCATTCCCCCCTTCGTCGTATAAGACGAGGCCGCAGGTCGCGGCAATTGAGCGGACAGGCTCCGCATTGAGGCTCTTTACAATGCACAACCGGTAGACATCTTGAAGTGCAGCGTAGGTGCCCTGCATGACGCCGCGAATGGAGCTTCTGGACATATACGCGCTTTCTTGTAGTAGGGATGTTATCACGTTCCGCTCAAACCCGTACGCCTTGAACAGGTGTGTGAGGTTGATCTCGTAGGTCTGGGGTGAGAAGACGATGGCAACTTGATTCCACCACAGGACACGTAACTCGGGGGACAGCGAGTCGGGCAGCAAGAGGTAGTTTCCCAGCAAGACCTCGGGATCCAGCGCGTACCGGACGAGAAGCGGGCCCAGGTCGAGTCTCAGAGCTTGGCAGAGAAAACAGCCGTCTAGGACAGGAACCCACGGCTGCCCACGCCGCTGGACGACGACGCCGCGCTCCTCGAGCCGAGAGCGGTAGCGGTTGCGGTCTGCAGAGGCAGGACGTGCCGCGTCCAAGATGTCTGTTATACTGACGCTGTCGTCGTCTGTGGCGATGACATGGCCGTCGATGACGACGGGCGCCTCTGTAAGAGCGCCAGCACCTGATGTTGGCTCAAAACGGGCATCATCACGGAGAGATTCGCGACGGCGAATACTTCCAGCCGCTTCGGCCCTGTCCGCTGCTCGTAATCCATTATCGACGCCGTGCGCGCCGTCCGCTCCAGGGGGGGCAGCATCTTGATGCCCCATGTCTCCAAGGCTCGAAAGTGAGTGGAAGGTGGGCGTTCTGTCCGACGCGGGCAGCGAAGCGGGCGGCGACGCTCTACGACGTCTTGTCGCCGGCTGGCGAACGCCGCCGAGAAATGAGCCGGCCCCAAGGTCGTGGGAAGGATCCATCCAGCAACCGTCGTACAAGTCTGCCTCGGACTGTGACTCGTTGTCGGTGGACGTCTTCCCAGACGAGCCATGCGATGACGACGGCATGCCACCCCACGAGGCAGTGTCCGGGATGGCGCCAACACGTACGGCAGAGCCCTCATCGATGCCAGGAAGCCTGTAGTCGGAGTCGTTGTGGAGCCCGTCACCCCCTGCCTCTCCGTTTTCCTGGTCGACCTGTCCATCTGGCGTCAATGCGTGGCTCGAATGAGCGTCACGACCGGAGAGCGGGGACGGCGCACCGGACCGAACAAACGACGAGCGACCGCGTCCACGAGCGCTCGTGTGGTCCTGTTTTTGGCGCTTGTGTCGAGCCGACGCAGTCGACAATAGCCGTCTTGATTGGTGGGATCCGCTCCTCGGGCCAAGGAGGCTTGTTCTGCCGGTCGACCTGCTCCGCAACACCGCCTCAGATGCCTGCGGGTAATCTGGAGTGCGGAGATTGATCATCCCGGCCTCCACAGCAACATCACCGTACAGGTCGAGCAGCCCCGCATCGCCTTGGGCGTAGGCAACGTATTCTGCATACTGTGCATAGGGACCAACATCGACATCTGCGCCTGCGCCTGCGCCTGCCGGTTCTTGATGGCCATCCGCGGTCGTCAATACTTCTGTAGGCATCTCGGGAACCACGCCAGAGGGTCCCGGGCACGAGCCGAGGTCGACGCCTGGACGAAAGACCATGTGTTGCAGGCCTTCGGCGGCCGACAGCCGGCCTTCCGGCCGTTCGGAAAGCAGTGCGCTGACAAAGTCAAACGGCACAGGAAAACGCTCCGCTACGGCGGCCAAGGCCTCCTTCTGCTGCACAATGGCTGCCACGCAGGACTGCAAGCCAGACGTCGGCCCGCTTTCCGTCGCCAGATCCCAGGTCACCCCAAACAGGAGCTGGAGGGCGATCACGCCAACAGAGTAGACGTCGACTTTCTCTGTCCGCGGCATCTGCCTCGAGAGGTACTCGGGGGCCGTGTACCATGGCGTGCCCCAGTAGGACTTGAACGGCGCCGTGCTGGTCGCCGAGCCGAAATCAACCAGCTTGATGTACACCGGACTGCGCCTGGCGACGATGACGTTGGCAGGCTTGATGTCCCTGTGGACGACGTCTTTGCTGTGGAGATGGGACACCGCCTGAAGAAGTTGGTGTATCACATCCCGCGCCTCGAACACGTCAAGTGGCGCGTGCCGGTGGCCCGGATCGAGAACCTCTTCGAGATTCGGCCCTTCGACGTATTCCATGACGAGCTCTGTCGGTCGACCCGCCGTGCGGTTGTAGGCCACGTATCTCACCACGTGTTTCTAGAGGCGGCGTTGATGTTAGCCGGGGGGGGGCACGCACTGCACGTGTCCATCCATGCAAGGGGAAAAAAAGGAAACCGCCGCCGGACTGACATGTCGGAGACGTTCCAGCGTCTCGGCTTCCTGCCAGCGAGCCAACTGCGGCATGTGGTACAGCTTGATGGCATACACGTTGCCCGTATACTTTTCGACGGCCCGAAACACCTGCGCCGACGCTCCTGTGCCGAGCTGGCGGTCCTGGAAGTACACCGGGGCCCGCTTGGAGGCATTGGTCGTCGCGATGGCAGGGCCCAGGGCCAAGCTGTCCAGGGCTGGTAGGTTTGCCTGTATTCGTTGGTTGGCGCAGAATTCGGCCCAGCCCGTGGGGATGGCAAAGCGTTCAATGTGGATCTCCAGGTGGTCGCCAAACGAAACGGCTGCTTTTTCGTGCTCGAGGAGGACACGCGTATTTTTCAGCGTGATCGACTCCTGGAGCCTGGTAAACGCGACCTTGGTGCCGTGCTGGGAATGGTTCTTCACGAGCACGGTGTTGAAGGTCAAGTTCGGCTGCACAGCGAGATGCTTTGCACTGATCCGTTTGTCGTTGAGCAAGATGTCGCACATGGCTTCGTCTCCGCCAATTACAAAGCCAAGGTGTGCGTTTTTGGGTACGTTGTTTGTGGTGATCCGTAAGATAAGACGCACAGAGTGGTTAGGAGCAGGTGTGCCGTGGTCTGCGTAGACGGACTCGACGTCCTCACTGGCGCTATCATCCTCCCCACCAGCCTGCTCGTTATCACGCTGAAACTGATCGTTGGCTTTATTTCCCAGGAGCCAATCGTCTCCTTTCACAATGAATATTGTCTTCTCATCCGCCATAGCGAGGCTTAAGATGTGCTGCTGAGTTGTTCTCGAGGGGTGCTGCTGTTGTTAGTACAATGCAATGTTTGAGTGCTGCTAGTGAAGTGAAAAGGAATAGGAACTGGGTTGAAGGAAACAGGACACACGACAAACGACATCAGAAGGAGGGAGTGAATCGTTAATGTAGCTGGGCAGCTGGAAATTTGCAGTTGTATTCATCTGACCGACGATGCGGCCCAACGTTTGAAAGTGTACCTTTTTACAACATCGGTTGGCTCAGACGGCCTGGGTCGTCAAGGCGTCGGCCAGTCACATCGCACAAGATATTGGAGGATGCAGAAAAGCGCCGTGCGGCATAACATTTCGTTGGAAATCCATGGTACTTCAGCCCTGTTATCTATAGAGCCTTGGTGTTAGAGGGCTCTGTATTTTGCCAGTTGGCCCAGCGGTAGCGGTCTAGTTTCTATACATTACACCTAAGTGGGGCTAGGGGGCCGGGCCGCTGGACCCTCTCCTTTGATAGCGGTAAATCAGACGATAAGATTACGCGCTGTAGTATTTGTTTCAGTGGTTATGGTCAGCGTGTCTGTGTACAGTGTGTGATTGGCCAGGCCAGGCCAGGCCAGGCCAGCTGCCTGGCCTAAAGGCTGCAGCAGCCCAACTAAGATGCCATAAATCACTGGCTGCCATCGATTTCTAAGAAATCCGCATCGCCTCATTTTGCGCCCCGAACAACAGAAAGACGATTCGCTTTTCGTCCCGTGAGTTGGACGCAACTGGCCGATACTTGCTGTCGACCCCCGATCTCTACCGCAGAAGGAAAACGCGATACATTCGAACGCGCTCTGCCTTTCACTACCCATTGCAACACGACACGCATTCTGCCTTTTCTACTTTTCCACCGTTGTTCATCTGCCAGCCGACCACTCCTAGCCGCGCGAATCGACATCTCCTTCCTCTTCTTCTACCCTCCTACGTCCGGCGTCGCGTACGATGATGAACGGCTCATCGCAGGCCACCATCCAAGCCCAGGCAATACCTCGTCCACGAAAGCGGGCGTCACCTGAAGAGCTGCATCGACGGAGATTACAACGCGCGGTGAGGAATGTACACAGCCTTCTCTGTAAGATTGCGTACCGTGGGGGTTCTGGTGAACGTATCGGGCGTGCTGGCCAGTGGATCCTGCACAATTTCGACATCTATATATCTTCCTTGGATACGCGGCCGCACTCTCGACATCCCGATAAAGTAGTCCCTGTTCGTGGCCTTACATACAATGGGATCCCTATCAACGACCAGGGCTTGATCTGGGCGGGCGAAGGGCCGGTACCCGGCTTCCAGGACGTCGCCTTTTGGGAGGGCAAGCACAAAGAGCTCGAAGAAAAGATGGATGATGTCGACAACAGGCGTGTGCAGCCTCGTTTCACCCCAGAAGAGCTGCGCGTGCTCGAGTCGCTGGAGCAGCAAGAAGGCCACTCGTTCCGTGCGATCAAGATTGAAAGGACACTGCGGGCGGAACAAAGCCATAATGCAGTTTTCAACTGTCTGTTTGAATTTGGAGGGCACGGGCGTCCCGGCCAGTGGATCCTGCACAACGAAGACCTCTATCATCCTGTCATCGACACCCGCCCCCAGACGCGCAAGCCCGGGAAGAGCATCGTCATTCACGACTCCGTCTTCGACGGCAACGTGCGATTCTGGTACAAGGACGGCGAGATCCCTGTTCACTACGAGCTCTTCTGGGACGGGGCGGGGCAGCAGCCCGACTTCGCCGACGGTGACTACTGGATCGACAAAGCCAAAGAGCTCGGCTTTCAGGGGGGCAAGCGCGGACTGGTCGAGGACGGGCTTGTGCAGCCGGAGTTCACCCCCGAAGAGCTGCAAGTATTGGAGGCGCTGGAGCGCCAAGACGGACACTTTTTTGCCGAGATGGCGCGACACCGAAAGGAGCATCCCCCCGTGCAGCAAACCCCCGAATCCCAAGCTGCGGCAAATCGGCTCCTCGAAGCGAAGGTCATCGTCCATGCGTTGCTGTGCCGTCTCTGGGAGTCGTATGGGCTTGCCGGGAAATGGGCTCTCCATACCTATGACCTGTATACACCCGACTACGACATCAGAGACCGGCACACAGACGAAGACGACCCGCAGCGGCATACTGTTCTTCGCGGGACGGAAGGGCTTTATTACTACGGCGACAGTGGCCGGCCGCTGCCGGACTTTGACAGCATGGCTTATTGGGAAGGCAAGAAGGCGGAGCTGGAAACGAAGATAAAGGATATCGTGGCTGGAAAGGTAAAACACGGATTTGGGCCCGGCGAGCTGCGGAGAATACTGCTGCTCGAGAAGGAGCAGGATGACGCCCTCTCCCTAGGCGCCAGCGGGCCGCAGAAGACCGACAGCATCAACGCGTGGCTCAGCGGGGCCAGCGAAGCAGAGCCGCCGCCGCCGCCCCCGCCATTGCGTCGCTCGAGATCTCCATCCACTGGTTCCTTGGACCGTGCCCAAAGGGATCCCCCGCTGCGTGGAGCCGGGAGCACCAGCTCCAGACAAGGCGAAGCCGACAGCTCGGACAGAAAGAGAAAGCGCCCTGCAAACAACGACGAGGGGTTGCCGTCCGGTCACGGACCCAAACGCAGCAGAGAGCAGCCGCCGCCCGAGTCGTCGACAACAAACCAGCATTACGTCGCTAAGCGAGCGCTGTCGTCGCCACAATGGATACGGGGCCATTCACGAACCGCAGGAACCGCAGGAGCCGCAGGAATTGCACCATCGACCTTGAGGCCGGGACCACCAGACTCAGACGTATGGGCGAAGCTGGCGCGCCACCTGCCCGTAAAACGCGGCTCTTCGTGGTATGCTCGAGGAGAATACCCTGCTGCAGAGTCCCAGGCGCGGCATCCCACGGAAGCAATGCCTGGTGTCGGCCGGCGTCTGAAGAAACGAGGCACGTCGCCTTCTGATGCGCCTGTGCGGAGGAGCGCACGGATAGCAGCACTTCCGCCGAGAACGTACCTGTACAGATAGCGCGGTCGACTTTGGTAGACGTACATGGAAGCGGTGTTATTGTGCCCCGTTCATGGAAACGTGGGGAAAAAAAAGAAAAAAAAACGGCGGACAGCCTCGTAATACAGGTGCTGAGAAAGGCAGGCTACTGGTATTGACTGTTGACCTGTCCCCCACGACTCGACGACGCTGCCGCAGTGACAAGGGCGGGGAAGCCAGTGCTGTCGACAGGACCTGTCCCCCATGGATAGCCCGTATTCCCCTCCAATCAACCTTTCAAAATACGGTGAATTTTGCGGTGCTGTGGTATATTGCCGGTGGCTTCAGTTTTCCTTCTCTTTCCACCCGGTCTCCTTTCATGTTGACAACTATCTCAGTCTTCACCCCCTTTGATACTTACGTTCCTCTACTACACCCCCTGTCGCGTATTTGGTATCGCCCATCGTGTCCTTGTACCAAGGAACAGACTCCCTACCCAGAAGCCACCGCAACCTCTTCTGCATACGATGGCAACGGTCGAGAGACCTCATCTGGCTGTGCACAACATCGCCGCGGCCGTGTCAGAGCTCGGACTTGGACTTGGGCGCGAACCGCCGTCCATCGAGACAGAGCACCGTGGCGGGCAGTGCCACGTCTTCCAGCTGACCTTCAAGGACAAGGAAAGGGACAGCCTCGCGGTCCGCGTGCCACTGTACATGCCCGGCGACGACGCGAAGATTCATGCCCTGGAGGCCGAAGTGAAGACGCTCCAAATTCTCGAAGCCAAGCAGTTTCCCTGGGCTCCGCGATGCCGCGGATACAGCCTGACTTTTGCCAATCCCATCCAGCATCCGTTTGTCGTGTTGACGTGGATTGCGGGCTCGCCGCTCCAGTGGGACGATCACGTGCCGCCGCCGCCGTTACGCGAGCGACTGCTTGCGCAGTTGGCTTCCTTTCAGCTGTCACTCGTCGAGTGCACGCTTGCATCGAGTGTGTAGATGGTGCCCCGTTTACATACCACACGCGAATATTCGTATGTACAAGTCTTGCATGTTAATACTTTGTACGATAGGCGTTCCTGCGGCTGCCTTCTTCGAGAGGATTATGGCGAATCGACGTAAACGCGTTCAGGACGGAAAACTCCCCGGCCTCTCCGATCAGGACTGCCTTGATCAGCAACGTCTTCTCTCCACTGTCCTCGGCGACGAAGGCATGTCAGAAACTGCGCTTGCCATGGATCACGGCGATTTGCAGCCGGACAACATTATTGTCGATGCAGACGGCAACATGCAAAGGTGCGTCACCTACAAAGCAGAGGGCGAGACAGAGGCGGACGTCCTCTTACCTTGGTTTCTCCTTCTTATTTACCTTTCTGCATCAAAATACAGCGTCATCGACTGGGCCTTTGCAGGCATGGTTCCTATCGCACGTGCTGCAGGACTTCCTCGCTTTTTGTGGCCATCCGAAAGTCTCGGCTTCGCCTCAAGTCCTGCGACCCAACGGGACAGGCAAGTGTACACTGCGTCGTATGCGTCCCAGCCATCCCAGGCGGCTGCTTACATGCGACGCTGGCAAGGCGGCAACGACATGGATCTCCGCACGCTGTATCTAGAGTCGATTTTCAGCAAAGGCATGCACTCGAGCCTGGCGCAGCTGGGATGGCAGCCAATTTCGGGGCAGAATGAACGTCAACCGAGTTTTAAATAAGTTTGTACATTCCAGCAGGATGCGATGCGAACGCCATACAGTCGTCAATATTGGGCCCCATACGACTCCAACAGCTCGACCACGTCGTCGTACCCGTCGTCATCGGCATAAAATAGCGGCGTTTTGCCAAACTTGTCCCTCGCGTCGATGTTGGCGCCGTGCTCCAGGAGCAGCCGCACAGCGGCCACGCGCCCCTGTTCAGCAGCCAGCGACAACGGCGTTTGGCCGTCGTAGTTTGTCGCTTCCACGTCGGCGCCCCGCTCGAGCAACAATCGCACGATGCCCTCGCACCCCCGAAGGGCGGCCGACGACAATGGCGTCATGATGATATCGCTCTGCACCTCGACGTCGGCGCCTTTCTCAAGGAGGATCCGCACGATCGCCTCGTGGCCCTGCATCGCGGCCACCCATAACGGTGTCTGGTCCCGGACGTTCGTCGCCTCGATGTCGGCACCCTGTTCGACGAGCAACCGCACGATGGCCTCCCGCCCCTCATTGGCGGCGTACAGCAGCGGCGTCCAAGCCGCAGCATCCGTTGTCGCTGTGTCGGCGCCCTTGTCGAGCAGCAGCCGGGCCACGGCCTCGTGCCCGTAGAGGGCGGCATACGTCAACGGCGTGAAGCCGTCCTCGGTCTTCGTCTCGACGTTGGCGCCGTTGTCGAGCAGCAGCCGCGCGACGGCCTCGTGCCCGTCTTCGGCGGCGTACGACAGCGGCGTCCGGCCATGCGTATTCGCCGTTTCGATATTCGCACCCTTCTCCAGCAGCAGCCGCGTCAGCGTTTCGTTCGCGGCGGCGTACGACAGCGGCGTCTTGCCGTTCTCATCCGTCGCCTCGACGTCGGCGTCGTTCTCCAGCAGCACGCGTACGACGGATTCGTGATCCTTTTCGACGGCATGCATCAGCGGCGTCTTGTTGCAGGTGTCCCGCACGTCAACGTCGGTCCCGTTGTGGAGCAGGAGCCGCACGACCGAGTCGAGTCCAAAGTAGGCGGCGGCTGTCAGGCCCAGCAGGTCGTCATTGCCCTGTTCATATCGCTCCCGACAATAGATGTCGGACCATGACAAATGGCTCCCGGATGTTGGATCGCAAATGTCGGCCGCCAGCGGCACGATGCGTGCATCGTCGGCAATGCCGGCCTCGTGAAAGTGCAAGGCCCAGTATACAGCTGAATAATTCAAAAATGCGATGCGTCTGTTGTCGTACCCGTCGGATGCGTCCGGTTCGTCCGGTTCGTCCAATGCTTCTGTCCCATCTGTCGAGGAACCCACGTGCGGCGTGAAGTCGTACAGATAGAGCACGCAGAGCTCAGCAAGGACGGCGTGTGCATGGCGGGCGGTGATGGAGTGATGCCAGCGCAGGTTGGACGGCGACGGCGACATGGGCAGATCGGCCGAGAGAAACTCGCGAGCCGTTTGGTGGAGAAAGTACACCTTGCCGTGGTAGATGGAGAGGAACAGGCCGCACCACGAGCGCAGATTGTGCTTGAAGTCCTCGTCGTCTTCCAGATCCAGGTCGTCGAATGCGTTGTGGCCGACGTTGTCGTCCTGTATGTTCATGGCGACGTTCATCTCCGAGAGCGTCAACGGCCGCCGCGCCGCCAAGACGACGGCCAGGGCTTTTCGGGCCTCGCGGTGGTTCCTGGATTTGTTGAGAATCTGCTCGTATGCCTCGGGGACGCTCTTGGGCAGCGTCGCAATGGCCGCATCCACGCCCTTGGCCGTCTTTTTGAAGCTTTCTGTCTCGAGGTGGTCAAAGACCATATAGATCCAGAGATAGGTTCGGTGCGAGACGGCAAGCAGATTGTCCGTCAACCGCTCCCGGACGCGGGCCGGCAACTTCATCCGTTTGACGCGGTATTGGATGACGAGATTGACTTCGGAGCCGATGGCGTCCGACTGTTCCTCGCCGGGTATATGGACGTGGGGAAAGGCATCCAGCAGGTCCTGGTCGCCGTCGAACTGGGACACAATTTGCTCGTACGGGCGGCTCGTGAGAAGCAACTTGAGCTTGGGACGGTGCGCCTGGGCCGGGTCGCCGCCGTCGAATTGGTCCTTGAGGTGCCGGATCAGGTCCTTGAATTCGTCTTCGGCGCATTCGTCGAGGGCATCCAGGACGATGATGACGGTTCCGGCGCGGGCATCGCGCACAGCACGGTCAAAGATCCTCCAGAGGGATTCCGTCGCATGGACGAGTTGGCTTCCGTCGCGCGCGTATTCCGGCACGGCGTGCTCGATCAAGGCCGGGTTCTGGGCAAAGAGCTGGTGCAGCAGTGCACAGAGTGCCTGGCGCACGGTGTTTTGGTCCTGGTCCTTGAAGAAGAAGTAGCAAATGGTGGTGTTGGTGGCCGCGGCCGACTGCGGCAGCGCGTGATCGACCAGGTACTTGGCCAAGACGGACTTGCCGCAGCCCGGATCGGCCGAGACGAGCAGCGGGCCAAAGTCCTGTTCGCGCAGCCAGTGCTGGAAGTGGTCGTGCGTCAGAAACCACTGGCATGTGCCTTCGACGCGGTCTTCCACGCGGTTCTTGTACCACTCGTACGTCGCGTCTTTGCCGTCGGCCGTCAGGCGGAAGACCTGGTGTATCTTTTCTTCCTTGTCCGTCAGCGCCCGCTGCGCTGCGTCTTCCTGGAACGCAAGCTGCTTCTCTGCAATGTCCACGTGCTTCTCGGCGACCCGGAGCTGCTGCTGCGACACAGACAGCAGCCCCAGCATGGTGTCGTGGGAGTCGTTGCTCGTCTTGTCGAGCGACTCGAGCACCTGCCGCGACACGAGCTCGTTGATTTGCCTCAGATTGCCGTTGGCGGCCGCCTCCAGCCGCTCAATCTCCCGTCGCATCGTCTTCCATTCTGTTGGCAGAAAGGTGTCTTCCGCGTAGCCTTTGAGGCGGCTCTGGTAAAATCGCAGCACACTGCGGATCTGGAACTCGAGGATGTGTTGGTAGAGGTCCGCGACGCTGCTGCTTGCTTCTCCCATCAACGCGTCGGTGACCCCGGCATTTTGGCCGAGCTTTGTCAGTAACGGCTCCAGCGCGGTGTAGTAGCGCATGCGGGTGGTGACGTATGTGAACCCGTCGCGGTTGGCGTCCTCTGTCGTCTTGGCGTTTGTGAGGAGCGGCAGGATCATGCAGACACCGGCCCAGGCAATGGACGCCTCGGGCGACGCCTTGACGGCCTCGCCGATCCAGTCCTTGGCCCAGAGCACGAACCCCGCGGCCTGCGCGACCTGGTCGGTTAGGGCGAATTCGTGGCCGGCGATGGTGTATTTCGCCTTCTTGTCTTCGACTCGCTGTAGCCCCTGTCGGATCACGGTGTTGAGTTGGCTGTGCCGAGCTGAACTGTCCGGCGCCACAGTCACGTCATTGTGTGGCGCGTCTTGTGCGGATGAGTTGCTCTGCAGCCCGGGGTCTGTAATAGAGAAAAATAGATTAACGTATGCCTCTAGTGTACCATACCAAAAAGTGACTTTGTCATTCATACTCGCCATCTGCTCCTCCTGCGAGAGCAGTTTTTCATAGTCCCGCACAAGCTGTGTCTTGTCCTTTCCAAGGGCGTCGTAGGCGCGATCCCATAGTGACTGTGCCGTGGTTGACGAATCTGACTTTGGGCGATGGACGAGGTTGACCGAGCTTTCACCGGAAAGCCCTACATGCTCCGATCGCGCGTGTCGGTCGGTTTTGCCGACTTTGGATGTGGAAGCAACCGAGGCGGCATCGGATGCGGGGTCGGATTCGGCGTCCGGCGCCCGTCCATCCCCTTTTCTGTCCCGCCATTTGTGTAGCTTGTCGCGGAAGCCTGCCATGTCCTTTGCATCCGGGGATTCAGATGTGCGCGATGCGTCCTGCCCGTCAATATGCTTGAAAAAGCAAACCAGGTCAAATTTGTTTTGGGGCATTTCGCAATCATGTTTTGTGACCAGGCGCGGGGGGACTGCCTTGGCTGCGCATGCAGCCAAGAAACGCGGTAACTGGGCGACGGTCTGTGGAGGAGCGAGGCGACAGGCATCATTGCAGAAAAGCCACAGTTAAAACCGACCGGGGCATGGGGTCGTGGAAGGAAGGATGTGGTAAATACGAAATACGAAACGGCAGCACTCCTCGAGATATCATAGGTTGCCGCACATTGAAGTGCTTCCAAGAGACGTCAAGTTGTAATATAGGGCAATATTCCCTCGTTTTACATTGGTCTATATGTATGTATCTATTTTTTTTTAAAAAAAAAAAAACAACCAAAAAAACACGCTATATGGACAGATTCTTGTACTCGCGGTTACATTTTGTGGTTGCGGCTTACAACGTTAAGACACACTAGTCGCACTCTGCCTAGGCTGAACATCACATGGGACGAACGTTGGCCGTCACTAAAAGAAACTTTGGTCCACCCGATATCTGGAAATATCGTGGTTAGATGCGAGGACGTTCACAGAAAATAAAACAAAAAAGCCGGGAGGGTGCAGTCGAGCTTCTATTGTTTCATTTTCATTTCATTTTCATTTCATTTTTATTTCTGTTTTATTTATTTATTTTCGTACAAGACGGGGCAAGTATAAATAAAGTTTCAAATGGCTCTTTACCGTAAACTAAAGGCCCTTTGCCTGAAATATTGCAACTGGGTTCGTTGATCAGTACATTAATTAAAAGACCTTTTAAAAAAAGACACAGTCGTCACCTTTCCCATGATATTGGCCTGCTAGTCGTGCCTGGGCCAGCGCCGCCTTTTGTTACATGGTTCGAATATCAAGAGGGCCAAAGAGCCTGACCAAAGAACTCTGCATTGTCGACCTGAGAGACGGGACGCACGTATACTTGATCATTTAGAGCCAGAGTTCTCGCTGCGTGACGACTCCAACTAGCAGCGATGCTTCGAGTTCCAGTGGTGACATTGGCTGTTAAGTTGTCACGAAAGCCTACTCGTAGCCACGGCTCAAGGGTGGTCTCAAGTGAGAGACCTGGACGTCGGGATAAAAGCGGCCAACGAGGGCTCCACCAAGAATACGCTTAATACAAAGCGAACGTGGTAAGAGACAGATTGCGGCAATGATCTCAGCAACAAGCATTGCTTGGCCGCTCGCCGCGGCCCGAGGGCCTCTTTGCCCCAGTGCGTCCCAGGCGTCTGGATAAGTACGGCAATTTTAGCGGCGCGCTTGGACACGAGTCGCACAGCCCCATTGAGGTAGTATTCTTCGCTGTCGACCCTACGCCGAGACCAATATATCTCTCCGGGAAGTACTTGATGAGCGCCATATATTTGTCACTGGCGGATGTCATATTTGTACTGTGATTGTCCATGTCATGGGCATCTGTATCCCGCCAGAAGACGGCACCGGCTCGATGTCGGCTCCGGCCAAGGTTCCTGTGCCTTACATTCCCTACGCCCATACTCGTCGTACGGGGAGTTTGTTAGGCCGAATAGGAAGACTAGCTGAAGAGCGAAGCGGCAGGTCCCGAACCGCGGGGAGGCAGAGTACATTACCTGTTACGGCGGGGCTATGTCACAAGCTGCTATCTTAATTGGGTAAAGATGACAAGTAACTACGAGGAAAGGAAAGCAGCGGCTACGGTATGGCCCGAGGAGGTGGTTTTGCCTGGGATGCCAAGTGCCAAGCAGAGATGCCGAAGCGGCCGCGTACCCTCGAACTAAAGCCCGACGTCTAGTCAGTGGAAAACGATGTTTCCACAAGTCCGCCCGAAAAACGATTGTACAACATACGTATATTGGGGGAGCATTCATTATTTGACGCGACCTGGCTACCTCGCCAACGGAGAGAGGCCAACCAACCACCGCGTTACTTTGACCCTGCCTCTTATGTTGTAGTGGTGGTCTGGCACTGTCCCAATGGCGAGAACCTATATCTTCCACACACACCCCCCCTACCCTTCATAGTCCCATGGATGCCAGAGGTCCCTAAACTACCATCTCTTTGATACAGTTCATGACAGGAATTATCATTGAACATGGCGGCGACGTCTTCCTCCCCCAGCCGTCTATTTCCCCCCGTCGTAAATGCATACTCGAACTGGGGACGAATAAAGACCTTCGACCATTGCGGTGCCAGTCGGGGCGAGTGCTTGTATGTCGTCGAGTCGCACACCTACTTCAGCGGTAGAAAGCCGCTGTGTGCCAGACAAGGCCTCCTCCTGCACAGCGGAACGAGCAGAAAGGACGCCGTCCTCGCCGCAGCGGGCAACGAAACGCCGGGCCGCTCCCTCAACCCGGACACCATTGTCCTGTTACCGTGCCCCGACCCCAGCGCGGAGGCATCCACAATGGCCATTGAGAAAATGCGCCTCGCTACCACGGCCGGCTCGTTGCGTTTCACTATCGAAGAGGGCGAGGAGATGCAGCGCGAGGAATTCGAGTGGCGGAAGGTCCGCAAGGGCGAAGACAACGCGGTTGCGTCCGGTGGATTCAGACTCGTGCGGCTCACGTCCCGCTGCCCGACGGCCCAAGCGCGCAGTGGCAGCATGGTGGGTAGCAGCACGCAGCTTTCTGCGTTGTCACCCGCGGCAGGTGGCTACGAGACGGTCGCCCTCCTTGCATGGACGATGAAATGGACAGGCTCCACCCAGGCCTAGATGACGGTGATGACGGCACTGAGGCTCTTCTCACTGCATGTCAGTGGCAAACTGGTATTGGGATTGGAGGGTGCCCAGTTGGGGCTGAAAGGGGTCTCAGCTGGGTTCAACATAGCAGGGTCTCTGTAGTGATGGATCTACAGCAAGGATTATGAGCTATGGGGCTCGTGCGGTATTGTTCTCTCAAGTGCCAAACACAACATATGTTTTATTTTTATTTTATTTTTATTAGCGAATCTCGACCATTTTTAACCTCCGCTTGTGCCTTACACTTTGCAATTTCTGGTTCTAGCGGCCCGCTTAGCGTTCTCTTATGGTCCCTGCGTTCCTGGAGGCGCCAGTTAGTTATTTCTATTCTTCGAGCCGCCCCTTGTTTCCTCCGTTCGTCGCTCCATGTGTTTTCTCTGTTCTACCATCTCTGGCGGACCTGGGTCCTTTCTTCTGTGGCGTCGTGCGCGCTCTCGTATGAAGGCACTTCGACAAACAGGCAATATTTAGTCACGTGAAACTCAATTAGCAAATCGAAGGCGGGGGATGACGCGAAAATATAGCCACGTGACCAGCAAGTCCAGCTCGTCCAATCTAGGTTTCATCAAAACAAAAACAACCAACCGGCTTTGACGCGCAACACTCCGTCCGGTATACACGTACCTGTTGGCCCTTGCGCTTCTTGCGCGCGCCCTTTGCTCAATCCACCGTGTTGCGTCCGCAAACCAAATGACGCAGCGCCATGGACTCGCCATCGACAATACCGACGTACGACGGCGAGGACGCCGAGCGCGTCTTTGCACGAAGCCGCGCGCACTGGCAGCAGGCGCTCGCCCAGGCCCTGGCGCTGCCCAGCACGGCCGCGGCCGCGGCGCCCAAGGCCTTGGATGTGCAGCGTGTGCTGTTCCGCACACCGGCGCTGCCGGATTCGCTGCCGCGCGACGCCAACACGATCTACGGCATGCCGTTTTGGACGGGGGCCCCCCTCAAACCGTGCGCGCATCGCAATCTGCAGGGACCAAAGGAGAAGTTTTCACTGCGGACGGAGTACCGCATCCGCGTGACGGCGGCGCCGGCGGAGAGCACGTCCTTTTCAACGTGGCCAGGCACGCCCCACAATGGCCTGGCGTGGCTGGCGCTGGGCTGGGCCTATGTGCTGGGTGCTAGCCTCGCCGAGCGGCAGGGCGTGGCAGTCGAGTACCGTGGCGAAGATAATTGCACTGTCGACGGCCAGCATGACAGTACGCAGCAGACTGTGTCGCTCCCGTACGCCACGCCCGCCGAACGGCGATGGTGGCGCGCCATCACCGCCCCGGGCGCTGGCTGGGTGCTTGCGGACGGCGGCTTGACGCCATGGGCCGTCGATGTGGCCGAGGAGGGCCTGGCACGGGTCGCTGTTGACACGGATGCCGACGAGATCAACGCCGTGGCGGAGACACCTCCCACGGCGCGGCAGGCCGCGCGCTACCTCGCCCGCCTGTGTGCCTTCTTCCGTCTCGGCAGCCAGAGTTCCGCCGCGTTTGCTGCCGCGCTCACCTTTCCACTGCATAGCCACACATTTTGGCGTGAAGAGAACCCCATCTGCTTGCCACGGCCAAGGCTAGGCACCGATATTGGCCGTGGTGGTAGCCGTGGTCGTGGCCGAGGTCGAGGTCGAGGTCGAGGTCGAGGTCGAGGTCGAGGTCGTGGACGTGGACGTGGTCATGGTCGTGGTCGTGGCCGCGGCCGTGTTCATGACGTTGATGCCATTGATCCCGCCGGCGATCTTGCCAATTGCCCTCTGCCCAGCGAATTCGCCAACCTCAGCTACTACTTGTCGCTCAGCCTCGCGCCGTGGGTGATTGGTTCGGCTCTCTTCAGTGCCTTCTGGGAGCGTGACGTGCCTTGCCACTTGGCTGGTGCCTGGATCCAACCCGCCGCTGCCATCGTCATACCAATCCTGTGGACGGAGACCGGTGCCACCCGGCCCGATGGCGACTTTGAGCTTTTTGCTAAAGTGCTCTCGGGGACGCGTTCGGCTCCCTTGTGGCTTGGTGTCGCTCTCTGTGGACACGGCCGCTTCTTGCAAAGCGTCTATTGGTACCTGACCCACCTCCGGTCTGCGGGTTATTTGGTCTCAAGAGTGATGGCGGCCGCCTGGACGGGCCTGCAGGCTTGCTTTTTACATGACTTACTATCGGCCTCGCCACAGGGTGCCGGCCTTGTGTCCCGTGCCCATGTGTGGCGGTTGCGGCATGCGTTTACCAGAAATTACCCTCCGGATGAGAACTTTCAGTACATGCCCTTGCATCCTTGGCCCCCGTTCGGCGTGATGCGTGTCGAGGACGTCGAGCTGGAGATTCGAGAACATGTGACGTGCTGCCACCGTTGGATGTACTCCCATTGGACCTGGCTGGTCCCGGGTGCTGATACTGACCAAGACGATGGCTTCATCCTCAACAGGCGCACACCGATGCCACCTGCCCGGATCATTCCGGCTCCACCGGCGCCCGATTCACCGCTGGATGCTACACTCGCGGCAGCCTTGGAGAAAGACCCTATTCAGCCGACTGAATGGGATAAAATCCGTGCCCTGTCCCGGCACGCCACGGAGACTATTTTTTGGTGGGCCAACTCCCAAGTCGAACGGGGTTTTGCTGGCACCGTTTTGCCGCAGATGCCGGCCCAGGGCGATCGTTTGCCTGCAACGGGTAGCCCGAAGCAACCCAAGCATTACGATGCCACGTCGGTGGTAGTATGGCGAGACGGTGTTGCGCAAGGTGATGCGCCAGAGGGCACTACGTCGCCTTAAGATGTCGTGAAGTTAGCGACCAGAAAGATAGGTATATAAACAAAGACATATTTTAACAGATCATAATAAATACGGGCGCCGAGGCAGCGTTGAAGAGCAGCGGTGGAAATCGGCCAATATTTTAATATGGATATTTTATTTAATTCTATTCACAAATTCTAACGACTAGTAAAGCTACCGTGTATGTAAGACGTCGACTATCGTCGACGCTTTTTTCCCCCTGCATTTTTACGATTTTCTTTGCCCTTCCCTTTTTGCTGCAAGCCTCCGCTATCATTATGTTTAAAAGTATAAAACCCGCCTGTCGTATAGGGCGGGACATACAACAAACAGTCCACTTGCTCATCGTCCATAAATACAAACGACTTGCTCCAATCTTCGACATCTACTGTGAACTGCTGCCCATCTGGAGCTGTGAAATATACTTGCTTATTTTCGGTCAAGACGGTTTCGACGTAGACTGGCAGAGACGCCTCGAGAGGATCATGAATCTGCGCCTCGCCAAAGGCTCCCTCCAGGCCAGCGATTTCCTCTTGAAACTGTTCCACACTCCAGTGCAGAGGGTCGATGGAGTCCTTGGACTGTGTCCGTTCATGCTTCAATGCGTGTGGATATTGGGCCTCGACGTCCTCGGAGACTGCAACGCCGCTGGCCTCGCCGATTGTCTCCATTGGCACTGTACCAGTGGAGACGACTGAGTCATCGGCAATCCAGACCGTGTCGGCGTCTGGCCAGGGAAGTCCTTTTTCATCCGCTGTAGGGGTGTAATTTGCGGACCCCGGCTCCGAGCCAAAAAACGTGTCGGGACCGCCACCGGGGTGCATCGGGCAGCGAAAGCAGTCAATGTACCCTGCGTTTAAGTAATGAGCAGCCGTCGTACAACGTACCCATTCAAACGAGCATTCTACCCATTGTCGCCCCTTTCTGTCTCGTCCTCGACACCATCCGAAGCTGTGGTTGGCGTTGGCGCACCCACAACGCAGGCAAAAGCCCTCTCGTTTCGAACTGGACGTCATCTGGACAGAAGTGCACACCGATCTGTGGCTGGCCTAAAAAAAAAAAAAAGGAGGGATCAGTGTCTTTTTCTCTGCATGTTGACAGGATTTGTTACACTTTACCTACATGTAAGGTGTTCGCGAAGCAAGTATCTCATTGCATACGATATTTCTTTCTCGTACTTCATCGGAAAAGAAGGGAGAATACAACTTTTTTTATACGCAAGCCGTGACGCAGAGGGTGCAGCTTGGAACATACTGCAAAACATTTTTCCATGGTCAGCAGGCTCGCCCTGGAAAACGAGAACATCTTGTTCGCCATTCATAATGGCAAGGAGAGTGGTTGTCGATATGACACAAATGTGCAGAAAAGCGAGCTGCTGCCTAGCAGGGTGGTTTGTATTGGCTGTCGTTGCTCCACGGGCGCCTGTAGAGACTGCATCATTTTACAGGTGTGTGTAGTATTGCAGCACATTTGGGGGCCGACGGTGTCCACGACCCCCTGCACCTGCCTACGGTTCACAAAATGCATATGCTTGTTCTCTGTGAGGGCAGCAAACATTTGGAATATGGGTGCTTCGAATCTGGACGTGTGTGTCTTTGGTGGCTGACGTGCAGCTGACAAGTTGTGTGAACTGTGATGATGCTGCAGAAGACGAACAGGGCGAGCTTGCCTGGACGTCCGAGAATGGGCCAATTCCGGCGTGTGATACCACCCTATCTCTGTGTGTGAAGTCTAGTATATGAATATTATGATGGGCCTCACGCACTGCTTTTACAGCTCAAAGCCTACGAACCAATGAAACACGTGAGACTGGACTTGTGGAGATGTGGTGCATGAGTTGCGGCTTGACGATCCAGGCACCAGAGGAGGATGAGCGAGAGCAGTATACGTCGTGGAGCAGTCAAATGCGCACATTGGAAATGGCACCCTGGTACTCGTCTTTCCATACATTGCCGCTGTCGTGGACGGTGAAAAGCCTGTACAGTTTAGCTCCGGCAATTCTCTCAGCATCTCCATCGTGTCGGCTTGCACCCCGAGTCCAGCCAGCGCACGGCCGACGAGATACATCTATTTGCCGCGGAAATCCCCTGAACGTAGGACGCCGAGGCCAAGTCTGCGCAGTGCGAGGCCGAGAACCCCCGTCTGGCGCGTGGTGCGTGTGGTCCGGTCGGCACAGGTATCGTCGTGGCCCAGCCAACAGAAGGAGGCGGCTGAGGAGCTGAGGAGATGAGAAGCTGCGCGCGATGGCCTAGCCACGGGCAAATAACATGTTGCCGAACCATGGTTCCGCCGGTTGTCATATTACCCGGTCCGTCAAGAGGCACGAGCCAGTGTCCTCTTATCAATTTGCCGGTTTTGCAGAGACCCGACATTGCAGGTGCCATTTGCCATTACGAACATTGATATTGGCTGTATATTGTTTGCCAGCGGCCTGCAAAATGCCAAGCAGTCGGAAAGTCCACCCGTGACGGTTCTTTCCCGCCCCAGATGTCCGCTGTCCGTAGCAAAAGAGGCAAGATTGGCCGTGGCCAGAGGGCGCTGGCTGTCTTTGCATGTCCAGACGAGGATGTCGCTCAGATTTTGCTCGTCCCGGGTCTATTTTGGGGACACGAAATAAACCAGGAATTGTAGCCAATATAGTAGCGTGGCTCTGGTTTCTGCACTATGACGGCACAGACAATTTTGGTTTTGCTATATGTACAGTCTGAAAATCCTGCAGTGGTGCGGCCATATGGCGATTGTTTGCTCTTCCAACGGTTGTTGCGCTGCGCTCGCGACAAGCAATCGAAAATGTGGCGACAGTGGACTGCTCTGTTTGCCACAGCGGCCTCCATCGTCACCGCCACGGCATCGGTGCATGGCGTTCGCGACGTTGCCGACAGTCTTGCGTCGTCGACAGCGTCTTCCCCAGCACAGGCCTCGACATTCATTACGAGCACCGACGGCACCTGCGGCAACGGAGTAACATGTGACGGCTCATCCTTTGGCAAGTGCTGCTCCGAGCACGGGTACTGTGGCGACGCCGATACCTACTGCGGCACGGGCTGCAATGCGGCCTTTGGAACGTGCAATGGTGGCAGCGGCAGCAACGGCAACAACGGGAGCAGTGGAAGTGCCCCGGCCGGGCCAGTGGCCACGTCTGTTGTGTGGCTCACCGAGACGGTCACGGTGTCTCGAACCGCGGTGGCCACCAGCATAGTCACCTCCACGTCGGTCACCGTCTCCACGTCTTTTGTTACGGCGACGGCCACCGAGACGTCCGGCATCGCGGCGACAAGAACATCCACCGTCACCTCAACCGCCGTTGTCACCCGCACGTCGACTGTCCTCTCCGTCTCCACCGTCCGGACAACCACAACTGTTGCGTCCACCGCCGTGTCCACGTTTATATCCACCATCCTGCGGACCAGCGTCACCATCGTCACGTCAACAGCCATCGTGACAGCCGGAGGCGGGCCGACCGCGCCAACAAGCCGTCCACCAGCGACCGGCCTTCCGCTGCCGACCGTCACGACCACGGTCATCGTCTTTGGCGGCGGCGATGACGGCAACGGCGGCACCCTGCCGTCGTCCACGCTCTGGTTCCCGCAGCCGACACGCACGGGCCCCGGTCGGGCCCCGCCGGCTGCGACGCCCTCGCCCGTTCTCAAAGGCACCGTGAGCGGCTGCACACAGTTCTACCGCATACAGGCGGGCGACACATGCGATTCGGTGTCGGACAAGGAGGACGTGCAACTGGTGAACCTGTAGGTGGGGCTGGCTGCACTCGGACACGTCTGCTCGGGAAAATGCTGCTCACTATGTGCCGTACTAACGTGCGTGCAGACTTACGTGGAACACGAATCTCTCGCGCGGCGCCGATGGCTCGGTTCTCTGTGGCCTCTCCGGTCTGCTGCCCATCATCAGCTCGTGCAAGACGTCCTGTGAAAGCCTGCCGGCTGGCTACTACATTTGTGTCGCCGTGTAGGATGGAGTGTGTTTCTGTTTGGATGCAATAATGGGGACTCGTGGGGGGCTGTTTCACAACACTGTTTATTCATCGATTGGTTAAATGTGCTACTCGCATATAGTTTTCAAACATGCTGCATTTATTTCATGCTGTTTCCCACATTCCGCTTTTCGTTTTATTCCTTAACGAAAATGAATAACCAATTCAACGTCGTTCAGTGCCTCATATTGTTGGATATAGCTTATACGTTCTTACTGTCGTCCACAAGATAATACTCACAGCATATCAAATCTCGAGCCGTCTACCGTAGACAAGAATCGCTATTTTCCACAAAGGAAACCAAACGATGACTACGGCTCCCCTACCTTGGTACCGCCGCTTGGTGCGGCCTTGGCGCGGCCTAGAATATTAGTCACCTCTACAATAGACAATCACCTATATCGCGGGGCTGACGAAGATCCCGGGAGCTGACGGATATCGCGGGGGCTGACGTCTATCGAGGGGTCTGACGACCTGCGCAGAACCACGACGTGTCCATGGCAAACAGAATGAACCTGGCACTGCTCGTGAAATCAGCCAACTTGGAACTCGCAACTCAATACCAAAGTACACCTTCACGACGTAAATTCTGCTCTTAGTCCATCAGCCGACCGATACAATGGCCTCGACCAAGTACACGCTTGCCAGTCGCGTCAAGGTACTCTCCATCTCCGTGCAATGCGGGTGTTGATCCCACCCGCTGACCCGTGGACAGCTGGCCGACGGCCATACGATGCCCCAGATACAGCTCGGCCTCTTTGAGATGTCGCGCGCCGAAGCCCGCGCCTCCGTCGCGGCCGGCCTCGCCGAGGGCTACCGCGGCTTTGACTGCGCGCAGATGTACGACAACGAGCGCGAGGCGGGGCAGGCGCTGCAGGACGGGCTGGCGCGCCACGGCCTGACGCGCGCCGACGTCTTTTACACGTCCAAGCTCGCCGAGAACAGCACGTCCTACGACACCGTGCGCGCGTCCATCCGCCAGTCGGTGGCGGCCTGCGGCCTCGGCTACATCGACCTCTTCTTGCTGCACAGCCCCTTGGGGGGCCCCGCGGCGCGGTGGACCAGCTGGCGCGCCGTCGAGGACGCCATCGCGGCGGGCGAGGTGCGCTCGGGCGGCGTATCCAACTACGGCCCGCAGCATGTCGAGGAGCTCCTGCAGCACAGCGGCCTGCGCGTCGCGCCCGTCGTCAACCAGATCGAGTCGCACCCCTTCAACACGCGCACCGACATCCGCGACGCGTGCGCGCGGCACGGCATCGTCGTGGAGGCGTATGCGCCGCTGACGCGCGGGATGCGGATCCAGCACCCCGCGGTGACGCGGCTCGCGCAGCAGCACGGATGCACGCCGGCGCAGGTCCTGGTGCGCTGGTCGCTGCAGCACGGCATGGTGCCGCTGCCCAAGAGCGTCCGGCGGTCGCGGATGGCCGAGAATGCCGACGTCAACGGGTTTGAGTTGTCGGCCGAGGACATGGCGGCGCTGGATGCGCTGGACGAGCACCTCGTGACCGACTGGGATCCGACGGACGCAGAGTAGCGTGTTCGACTGTGCTGCGTGTCTGTGTCGCTGTGTCAATGAAGAGAGGAAAACAGAAACCAAAACACCGAACAAAAATATAGGCTAAATGTAAGCAGTCTCTAGTTCTTAGGCTTCAACCGCCTTGTCATCGACCTCGAGAAACGCGCAATCACGTGTACGTCGCTGCAGCGGAGGCCCTTTATCTCTCGAGCATGCTGCGCCATGTGTGGCGACCGGCCATATTCTCCGGGTACAGGACGACACTTTGAGGACATGGGTGCATCGCCCTTCTGTACATGGCCCACTGTCACGCGATTATGCCACATCCTTCGTCCGTCTGGAGGCCGACACGGGACGGTTTGCTGTGTCTTTGTCATCCTGGTCCGTCGTCTTCTGCCTGACTGGCTCTTTTCGTAACTCCGCGCTCAGCTGTGCTTACGTCGCTCGGAGTACTCTGCATTAGTCCTCACTGACGTTGCGCGTGAGCAATTAGCGGCACCACTCTTTGCTAGCATCGTTTCTAAGCTTATTATCTAGATAGTCTGAAAAGGCGTCGATGACATCGCATAGGGCCGACTTGCAGGATCTCAGATGTATTCAGCAAACACATATGCAGTGTACGGTGACAGCTTCCCCTCATGGACGGCCTTTTGTCGCAATTCTTGGTCAATCCCCCACAGTTGGTGGGCGCTCACCAGATGTTTGTTGCACTCCGCACAGCCTTCCACATCTCGCGTCGTTTGGTTCCCAACTTGCGTTGGTCGTGTCTCCGCAATCTAGGTCGTCAGCACTATATGCTATCCAACAACTACAGCCGTCGTCCCTGGGAGTGTACTGCGCCAAGTTGGACCGGAACAGGAGGCGACCGAGGTACTTACCCTTCGCGAGGTGCACGGTCGATTTTGTGGACTCTGCAGTTGCGTGCGTATCCCCGACCACGCGGAACGTATTGATCGGGTCGACTATGGAGACGTGCTTGCCATGATTGGATAGCAGTCCTCTGGATGACGTTGGCGAGATAAAGCCGTTTGTTGTGTCGTATTGTTTCACGACCCCTCAACCCCTCCTCACAGTCCTATAAAACCAAAAGGTCATCCTATCTCCTCTCCGTCCATTCTTACTGCCCATCTCTTCGTCGCCAAGATACCATTTCTTCTGAACAGCCGCCATCATGTCGACGTAAGTATTCACCCGCTCAAATGCCAGTGCAAATGGAACGAAAAATGAAGCCAACCAAGACATCACCTCACCAGCTCTATCCTCTTCCACGACGCCACCATTATCACGTTTGACGACGCCACCAAGCGCATCAAGATTGTCGCGCCCGGCTCGCTGTGGGTCCAGGACGACCGCATCGCCGGCATCTACGACGCCGACACGCCGGTGCCGGCCGACCTGCCCGCCAACACCGAGAAGGTCGATGCCACCGGCAAGATCATCTCGCCCGGGTTCGTCGACACGCACCGCCACGGCTGGCAGACGGCGTTCCGGTCGATTGCGGCCAACACGACGCTGCCCGAGTACTTTGTGCGCTACGGCCAGTATGCCGCCCTCGGCGCCTTCACGGCGGACGACATCTACGCGGGCCAGCTGGCGGGGCTCTACGAGTGCCTGAACGCGGGCGTCACCACGACGCTAGACCACGCGCACCACTGCTGGGACGCAGCCACCTCCAAGGCCGGCCTGGACGCGTCCATTGACAGCGGCCTGCGCGTGTTTTGGTGCTACACGTTCCACGACCTGCCCAACGGCTACGACCATGCGCAGCAGCTGCAGGTGGCCGAGCAGCTGCGCACCGACGCGCGCCTCAAGACGTCGCCGACGGAGTTTGGCGTGGCGTACGACGGGTGGGCCATGAGCCCGCCCGAGACGGTGGCGTCGGTCGTCGAGTATGTCACGACCAAGGGCGTGGACGTCCTCACGACGCACTCCCTGGGCGGTCCGTGGGTGCTGGACCACGGCCCGGAGGTGCTGGAGAAGCACAAGGTGCTCAACACGCCCGTGCCCGTGGTCATCTCGCACGCGTCGTTTGTGAGCGACAAGGACGTCGCGCTGCTGCGGTCGTCCAACCAGTACGTCTCCATCACGCCCGAGTCCGAGATGCACTACGGCCACGACCACGAGCACAACCACGAGTTCCTGGACCAGTGCGCCCTCGGCGTGGACACGCACTTTACCTTCTCGACCGACATGGTCCAGCAGGCCCGCCTCTGGCTGCAGGTCACGCGGCGCACCCTCTATCGCGAGAAGCTGGCCCAGAACACCATCGGCCACCCCAACCCGTTTGACGTCGAGCAGGCCTTTTACCTCGCCACCGTCGCCGGCGGCCTCGCCCTGCGCCGCCCCGACCTCGGCGTCATCCGGACCGGCGCCAAGGCCGACCTCGTCGTCTTCGACGGCGACTCCCCCAACATGCTCGGCTTCGTCGACCCCGTCGCCGCCGTCCTGCTGCACTCCAACGTCGGCGACGTCCGTCACGTCCTCGTCGACGGCCGCTGGCGCAAGAAGGACGGCGTCCTGCAGCCTGCCGCCAACACGGGCGCCGACTGGGCCGCCACCATCAAGCCCACGTTCCTCAAGAGCGCCCGCGGCATCCAGGAGCAGTGGGCCGCCCGGCCGCTGCCGACCATCGAGGACAAGTTTTGGGGCGTGACGCCGCACGCAGTCATCGACAAGGTGAATGTGGTGAGGAAATAGGGCACGCGGGGGAGCAGACAACCGTGGATGTATGGGCAGTAGCGAGTGGAGGACTGAGCAGGAGTGGTGATGAGTGACGATGAGGGTTGATGAGGGATGATGAGAATAAATAATGTAAACTTTTTTTTTAAAAAAAAACGTAGGATCTCCATGTGATGCATCAATAAAAAACGTAGCAATGAGGACGGTAAACTAACTAGAAAGACACGACAAAAAACATTGTCAAATCGTCTTCCTCAGAACCAATTTGGGCTCAGTCGGGGATCGAACCCGAGACCTCGCACATGTTCCTGCAAACTGCAGAAGGGGATTGCAGCCCCGAAGCGCGAATCATACCGCTAGACCACTGAGCCGGCTAGGCCTGGTGCCCTGTATTTGATGGGCGTCGGCTCATCCAGCGGCCATTTAGAGCCGAGAACAGCCGCGACGCCGAGAGCGAGAGAAGACAACCTCACGTCACACCGGATTCGAACAAGCATACTCTTTCACAGTCATGATTGCCATGGAGTATGGAGAGCAAGGCGGCAGTGACCAAACATGATGTTTTATTTCCATGTTTGTCGAGTGTGCTATCTGAAATATGACTCATCTAAGAAGCCATTCACAATTCACAATCAAATTCACAACCAAAAGTCACAATCAGAATTCACAGACGGGGCTCCAGCGGCACACCACCCAACGTTCAGGTCGATATTGACCGCAGGGCGGGCCACATTGACACGCCAGTGGTGGCGGTTGGTCGGGTCCTTTTGGTAGACATTGATCTCAAAATACTTCTTGTGAGAATCGTACTTGTAGTTTTTGTAGCTGGTAGGACGTTGTCAGCATGTCTTCTTCTCTCACCAGCGTATCACCAACAGACTTGCTCACGTGTTCAGCTTCTGGAAGTTGGCTTGGATCAAGGCCTGCTCCGTGATCTCGACAAATTCAGTGGAGTCCCCCTCGGCAGGCATAAAATACCGCTTCGATTCCAGGGCGCCGTAGTTGACCTGCTTGACCAGCTGGATGACAAACGTCGACAACGTCGCGTTGCCCAAGGCGTCGTGTGCTTCGTCCGAGGAAGCCGTGCGCGGGTACTGCGCCCATGCCATGAAGCGAACAAACATGTTCTGGTGGAGAAGGTACACAGGCTGATACGGCTTGATGCTCCCACAACAAAACAAAGATGACATATTGCGGTACAACGAAATGGCAAAGTGGACGAATGGACACTGTGAGATGTTGTGAAACGGGACAATATCAGAGTGAAAGTAGACAGTAGCATTCACCGAACAACAAGAAACAAAACAAGCAACAAGATTACAATTCAAGAGATAACCTTTCCCAACCATGAGAGACAACATACTGGCCTCCTTATAGTCCATGTTCCCGCCATGGACGACCGCGTCTCTCAATCTGTCCAAACGACGCATCGTGCCATCAGGAAGACAAACATCTTGACACCAGAGGATAAACGAAATCTAATTGGCCACAATGCAGGACACGCCTCAAAATATGCAGCCGGTCTGCAGGTTTTGCAAAAGTGCAAAACTATTCAGCCCCCATCCGCCTGCAGATTTTGAGGCGTGGCCAATCACATCGAGTGACGCCGACCTTGCATCCTACTCCTAACATCTGGTAACCAAACCATTAGGCATATATGAAGAGCCTACCTCCCCTGCGACGTCCTTTCAATCTTCTTTGCTTCTTCTTTTTTTCTCCACGGTCGGCACTTGGTTGTGTCTCCGTGTACACTCCTTCTGCCTTTTTTTTACTGTCACTCCTTTATTTGCTTTTCATTTTTTTGGATGAGGATATTCAGTTGAGTTTTATTCAATATTTACCTAGTCGAGGAAAACATGTCTGGATTTAAAAGGCAAAAGACGTTTGCTCATTTAGGTATTAAAATCGAAAAGGCGTCAAGTCATAATTCCGCCCATAATTCCTGCTACTTAATAGTAATATTAGGAGGCATTAAGCACTGCTAAAGTATCATACCCAAGCTACAGCGTTGGGGACGTGATCACGTTGAACTCTAACTCGGTAGGTCGTGTTAATTAGTGTGCGGTGAGACGGCTGCTTCTGCCACAGATAACCATGATGAAGGCCAGATAACGGACTTTGTTCCCAAAAAAAGGGCTTTAACATAACGCACGATTACCAAGCAGAAAGAACGTTATTTTGACCTCATGTTTCATATGGGACCAAAACAACGACCACTGCGGGCTCCAGGAGTTAAGCTTAGCACCGGGGCAGCAGCGACACAGTGTACCCCAAGACGACCTCCTGGTAGGTAAACATCAGGAGTAAAGTGAACACCCCCCAACTCGATGCGCGGCCAAATGAACGCCACAGGCTGTGCCGAAGACGTGACACGGAGCTTCCATTGTTGTGCTGTGTAAGTCGTATCTTACCTCGGCGGGGCCAAAAGCTATGGTGGGTCACTTCAGGGTTGTAGCTTCACGAAATGCACTATTGGTGTGGCAGACAGGTACCGCTCGGCGTACGCTAAAAGGATACCTCGGCGACGCGAAAAGGTACTAGCCAAGCAATCAGGTCCACTGCAAATTGCACCACATAGCACCCGACATACAAGTCACTTTATGTCCAGTTTCGGCACAGTGCATTCCGACGCCGAAGTGACTTCCAGCCTAAAGCACTAACCCACGTTGACTGGCGGGAGTGCGAGCCGCTGCACGATGCGCCTGATAGGTGCATCTGCTGGGGCACCGACATTACGGTTGGTGATTTACAGCCTTTTCAAGCGACGACAAGAGCCGCTCTCCACAATCTTGTCTATTTAGCTGTCCTCGTGGATTCTAGCTCTATTTCCAGCTTCTCCCATTATACTGTTGCTCGCCGCACGGATTGTGGCCGCGCCGAGAGATGACAGCACAAAAGAGGACCATTTGTCAGAAAGGAGCCTCGGCCTGAGAGCATAACTGTCAGGTAGGATCACGCATGGGGGACAGGAGACGAGCATATTGCTGCTATTTGTAAGCTCTTGTGTGAATTTGCTGTTTTGCATAACTCGCTTCGGCGCCCTGGCTCGTCGCTCCGTGGTCTTTGTTCGCGTGGTCGCCGCCCGTATTTACTCATCATTCTTTTGTTTTCCCGCTGTCTTTCGTCCCTCCACGTTTTCAGTGTCATTCGACGACTGGAAACGGAGATCTGCAAGTTGGCTTTGGGAAAAGTAAGGCCCCGACTGCAAGTTGCGCTCTGACGGAAGCGTGGATGACGAAAATCCGACAGTGAAATGGGATATAAATTCAAATAAGTAAACAAGCATAACGGATAACAGTCCGGAGGCAAAGGCGTCTTCAGGCCATGGGATATAGACTTCAAACAAATAGACAAGCATAACGGTCCGGAGGTGAAGACGTCTTCAGGCCGTATCTCCGTGCGCCGTTCCGTTTCGTTTCATATTTCGGTATAACATGTCCTCGTTCGTCTTGCCTTCTCGTCCATCAATGACTTTATTTTCTCATTCTTTTTCTGTTTCTTTGCAACCTGATTTTCCAATCCCACTCTTACTTATACTTGCAAGATCCCCCCACGACATTTGTCCGTCCTATCTCAGCACAGATAAACACATCTGATAGCCGATCACCACATCATAAACTACCTACTCGTGTCTCCGGGCCACACCTTCTGCCACGAGCGTTCGTGACGATCTGACGACCTTGCCGTCCCGTACACCAACTTTGTTGCTGCTCTCGTCACCTCATACTCGCATCTTACAACCACACAACCGCCCCACTCCTCCACTCGGCAATATGTCTGACAAGGAAACAACATCCGGCACCGGCACCGACACCGATAACAACACCCTGCGTGCCGACCACACACCCGTTTCAGCCGCCGCCATCGCCCAGGGCAACCTGGCCGGCATCCGCACCAAGGTCACCGATGTGGAGAAGAACAGCGGCGCACCAAATAGTGACGACGACGACAAGGCGGACGACGACAAAAACGGCGTTGCCGCGCCTGCACAGGCGCCGTCGCCCTTTGGGGATGCGCCCGACGGCGGCCTGCAGGCCTGGCTGGTCGTCCTCGGCGCGTGGGCGACGTCCTTTTGCAGCTTCGGCTGGATCAACAGCATCGGCGTCTTCCAGGACTACTACGAGAACGGCCCGCTGTCCAACTACTCGTCGAGCACCATCTCGTGGATCCCGTCGCTGCAGCTCTTCTTCATCATGGCCCTGGGCCCCGTCATCGGGTACCTGTTTGACGCGTACGGGCCGCGCTACTTGATCCTGGGCGGCACGCTGCTCCACGTCTTTGGCCTCATGATGGCCTCTCTCTCCTCGCAGTACTACCAGTTTATGCTGTCGCAGGGCGTCTGCAGCGCCATCGGCGCCGCCGCCATCTTCCAGCCCGCCCTCAGCTGCCTCCCCGGCTGGTTCAGCAAGCGCCGCGGCCTCGCCTACGGCATCTTGGCCACGGGCACCTCGGTGGGCGGCGTTATTTTCCCCATCATGGTCAGCCGCCTCATCGACAGCGTCGGCTACGGCTGGGCCATGCGCGCCAGCGCCTTTCTGATCCTGGGCCTGCTCGTCTTGTCCAACCTGACCGTCCGCTCCCGCTTCCACTCCCACCCCAGCTTCCAGCGGGCCCCGCCCCTAACCCGCAAGCAGATGGTCACGCCCTTTTTCGAGCCCGGCTTTGCCACCATGCTCGCCGGCATCTTCTTCATGACCTTTGGCATCTTCGCGCCCATCGACTACATCCCGGTCGCCGCCCTGGCCACCGGCAACGTCACCCCCAGCCTCGCCCTCTACATGGTGTCCATCTTCAACGCGCTGTCGCTCTTCGGCCGCCTGCTCGCCGGCTGGGTGTCGGACCGCATCGGCAAGTACAACGCCTTCATCATCGCCTGCTACGCCGCCGGCGTCGTCGTGCTCGCCCTCTGGATCCCCGGCACGAGCCGGTCTGCCCAGATCGGCTTTGCTGCCATCTTTGGCTTCTTTTCCGGCGCCTACATTGCCCTCATTGGCTCGCTCGTCGCCCAGGTGTCCGCCCCCAAGGAGATTGGCTACCGCACCGGCCTCGTGTTTCTCATCGCCGCCATCCCCAGCCTCACCACGAGCCCCATTGCCGGTGCCATCCTGTCCGCCAACAACAGCTGGCTCGGCGTCAAGATTTTTTCTGGCGTGCTGCTACTCCTCGGCTCGTCCGTGACCCTGGCCGCGCGTGTCATCTACACCGGCTTCAAGCCGACGGCCGTTTTCTGAGAATCTTAGAGCCAAGACGAAAACGAAAGCCAGGGACCTACAAATGCGAGGGGCAAGTTCAGAGTCTCGTAACCGTAATAGAATGGACAATGCAGAAATTCTGCCAGTTGGAAAATGGTACGGTGGGGACGGGAAATTTCTTTTTTTTTTTTTTTTTTTTTCTTGCCTGCATCCTCTCCGGCGTTGCCTTCTCTACTTTCAACACCAAAGAATCGACAAAGGTGTTGCTGTCGTATCACATGCTACGGTATTTTGAGATTGACTCCTATTCTTGTAATTCTGTTTTCTACCTCTACTTCGGACTTGTTTTGTGGTCTTTTTTATCTAGATATAGCTCCGTACCAAATTCAACATCACACCTCTCCATTTCCATCACATTGTAATTAATTATGTCCATGTCCGCATGTCCAGTTGCCATTTTTTACCCTCATTATTTGTATTCGCCACATAGTCCTTCCCTTAGGTATTCGCATCGTATGTCCGCATCCGAAAGTCGTCTTCCACTGTGTTCCAGTCCATAAACCCGCGCACCCAGTCCATGTCCATGTCCAGACCAAGTGCGCTGTCCCCGAGAAACTCTGTCATGTCCGTGTCCGTAAATGCTGGCTGCGCATAGCCAGAGTCCCCGTCCAGAGGAGGAGCCGACGAAGGAAAAGCAGCGGCCGCAGCATCTGCTGGACCACCTGACGCTGAAAGAGTCCCCGCAAGAGCAGACACGTAGGCAGGCGCGGCTCCGTTCGTCATGGGCATGGGCACGCCAGCTTGATTTGCGCTCGCTCCATCGTCGTCCGTATGGACATCGTCCCCGTCGGTGGGAGGCGGCACAGTCGAATTCGAATCTAAATTTGAATCCGAATTCTTCCCGTTTTCGGGCATCGCCTTCCCGTCCAACGCCGCCTGCGCCCGCAGCGCCTTCTCCCGCAGCATCGTCAGCAGCGCCCACTTGGAGTTCCGCCCCCCCCGCGCGCTCTGCCGCGCCTGCCGCGCATCCTCCATCTCGTACATGCTGTCGGCCACGGCCCACGCCCGCGCCCGAAGCGCCGCCTTGTCGGCGGGACAGGCCGGGATCGGCTCCACAAAAAGGTGCCACAACACGTACAGCAGCGTGTGGTACTGCGGATAGATCTCGGCGGCCCACCGGTAGTCCTGGATCAGCTCGTCCTCCATAATGTCGACATTTAGCTCCAGCACCTCGCAGGCGAGCGCCAGGACGCCGTCGCTGGCAACGGCGCAGCGGGGGTTCGCTCCCTCGCGGCGCGGCGCGCCGGTGGTGGCCAGCGCGGCCGCCAGCTGCAGGCGCGTGATAAACTCCATTTTCCGCTGGATGAGGCGCACCGTCTTGGAGGTGGAGCGCTGCACGGGGACGACCATGTTGCACTGCTGGAGCAGCTCCTCGACGTAGGCGTTGCGGGTGGCCATGATGGCGCGGCGGCGCTCTTCGGTCAATGGCAAGTCGGGCGAGGAGGCATGGCGGACCAGTCCAGACGCTGAGCCTGGGCCGCCGGCGCGCCGTAACGCTTTCGTCTCTGCCACAAGATGCGTCACGTACGCCATGGTGGTGCCCAGCCGGCGGATGCACACGTTCAGGGTCATCTCTGTCCAGCGCATTTGCGGTGTGGGCAGCACGGTCATGTCCGGATGGAGCTCGCGGTCATTTACGTTGAGGGCTTCTTGGATGTCGACGTCCGTGTCCGCCAGGTCGATGTCGATGCCATGGTCCTCGGAGGCGCGGTCGTCCTGTTTGATCATGTGGCCCCATACGCGGCGGCGCATCTCGGACTCAAAGGGCGTCAGGTTGAAATTGGCGCCGTCACGATGAAGGCCGATCGACTGCGCCAGCCGAACGACCATGCCGTACAGCACCCAGATGGACTGCCCGGGGCTGTGCGCGCGGGACATTCTCTGTGTTGTCAGTTAGTACCGTGTGCCATGGCAAATTGCAGTTACTGTACGTCGTAGAGGGCCCTGACATACCAAAAACAGCGTCAATGCCTGCAGAGTGGGCAGACTGGGCGCCTCCAGGAACCGCGCCTGGACCAGCGCTCGCTCCATGCCAGCACGGTACCGGTCAAGGGCGACGGCTTTGTCCTCGCCAAAGGCAGTTTGGTACGCGCCCGGTTGGTAGGACGTGACCGTTGCGTAATAAATCGAGAACAACAGACTCTCAAAAGCGGGATCCGTCTTCTCGGGACTGTGGATGGCCGTGAACACGCACACTTCGGCTGTTGGCACGTGCAAGACCTTGTTCATGGGTTCGACAGAATGCAAGTACTCGTTCCACAGCTGTATTGCCTGTCGTTTGGGCGGGTGGAACGCGGCATTCGCATTGACGTCCCGGGAGGATGGCGTGCACGGGATGCGATGGCTGCCCCCCGCGACCAAGCCAAAGAGCGTTATGGCGGGTGCCGCCGTAGCAGAAGCGCCTTGGGGAAACACAGCTTCAGCCTCGTGCTCGCTGTCCTTGGGTGACGCCAACGCCGACCGGAATTCTTCTTCCTGGTTCTATTAGCCACATGCAGTTGTTACTTTATTATTGGTGCGGGCGCACGACATCGTACGACGTACCGCTTCGAGAATCTTGGACAAGAGCATCTCGTTGATGTAACGGCTTGCGTAGGCGTTTTGGAGAAGCATCTCCCGTTTTGCTGCACCTCTCTTACTCCGCGTCCCGTCATGAAACGGCGACGGATGGTCTTCACTCGTGCCTCCTCTGTCAGATGTTCCGCTCGAGTGGCTGTCGCCGCCGTGGTTCGCAGGCAAGGTTGCCGAACGTGACGTCGGCACGCCACGGCCAGCACGTCTTTCCAGCGCGGCGGCCAGGCTGTGACTGCCACTAGTGGTACTGTGGCTTGGCTGTGCTGTGTCGCTTTTGTAGCCTCCGCTTTTGTCCCCATTGGTGTCCCCATCGCCGCCCGCCACGGCCACAATGGTCCGCTCCAGCTGCACCAGCCGCGACGCAATGTCCGCAATCGTCGTCTTGGACTGCCGCGGCGCCCGCTTGATGGACGGGTAGCAGCACAGCACGCCCGACCGCACGCAGCCGGCACACGGCATGGTCTTGTCGCAGCGCACTTTGCGGCGGTGGCAGACGATGCAGGAGCGCTCGATGGCCCGCTTGGGCGCGGTGCTCCGGCGTTGCTGGATGCGGTAGGCCGGCGACGTTGCGGCAGTATCCGTCCTTCTCGCCGGGGACGGCGTCTGTGCGACCGGCTGTGCGACCGACGCCGGTGTCGAGGTTGACACGGAACCTGTCGGACCAGAGGTCATGATGTTTTATGATGTTGTGATACTGTTGTGCTTTTGTTGTGTGCAATCGAGGCCGGTCAGGCCATTCGGTGCGTCCGTGATGTATGTCGTAGTGTATTGACAGCTGACATCGTCACGCACACTTGTGTACGCTGTCGGTCAGATTCGTTGCTGGCGACATAACGCTCGGCGATGCGACTCGTTAAGCGATTATTAAAGCGGGCTCTTCACAATACAGAACCCCAAACAAGGAGATACGTTAACTCCACGAGCTCTTGGCCATGTCAGCTGATCACGTGCACAGTGCTGGCGGCTTCCCTATGATACGAAGGGCAGGACCGGGAATAATTATGATCTGTGAGAATCAGAAGAGGTTCACGATGCAGGAAAGAATCACACTGGGCCGTGTCAGATACAAAATAAGACATACAGTAAGGTTGTGGTTTGTATTTTAACCAAGAGCATATGTGAGAGACTTGGCTAGATCATCGGCCGTGGAAAAAGAGAGCCCCAGTGCTTAGCGACCCAAAGACAGTGCTTTCAACACTGTTCTAAACAGTACTGGTGGCCTATTATAGAATAGCCGTTTGCAGCCACTAGCATTTTCACGCGCTGAACACATGCTAGAAAAGGCTCGTTTTTCGTGTTTCCCCTCCTTTGCTGTGCCGAGTGCACTTACCCAAAACAGTGCCGATCGCTGAGCTCCGGGGCTCATCTCCACCTGAACACTCCCGACACCACTTAAAAACGCCAAAATAAACTCCAAAAGGTCGCCATTGGCGCGTCGCACCAGCGCCCACCATTGCCAGCATTGGCCAGCACTGGCAGCTGTGGAAGAGGAAAAACGCCAGCCAAGACTGCTTAGCCCCGGCCTGGCCAGACTGCCCCTTCCAAGACAGCCCTGTCAGTGGACCTATCGTCCGGCCGTGGACCTCTCGTGGACCTGTCGAGCTACACGACGCCCCATCCAAACTCCACTGTATCAGCCCCATCCTCCCGACGCCGACACCTTTCTCTCGCTGTCGAGTGTGTGTGCCTGTGTGTATCTTTTCTTTCTTCCCAGGCGGCCGTCTTGGCTTTTTCTTGTTTCCATCTTGTACCGCGTCAATCGCATCTTCATCGACGTCGACATCCGATCGGCGAGTCACCGTTGACGATACAACGGCATTGCCATTCTCGACAGCCGTCTATTCAGACTACGGCCTGTGCCGCCTCTGTCGCCTCTTACTACATTCCTGCCTCGTAAGCATCCACCGACAATCGCCTTCACCTACCACGCAACAGCATCCGCGACTCTCCTTCCGCCATGGCCGCCCGCTGGAGCAAACGGCGGCTCACCATCAGTCTCCTCCTCTCTGGCATCTTCGGCCTCCTCTACTACCAGTCCAAGCAGCACACTGTTTCGCCATGGGGTAATGTGCTGCCGCCCGGCTCGGCGCCCCTGCCGCACCCGGAGGAGGCCAATGGCGGCGCCACAGCACCCACCGTGCCGGTGGACGACGGCAAGTTCCACTGGTCGCAGGTCGAGCTGCAGCACCCGATCCCGGTCGAGTCGATGCGGCCGGTGCCCTCGCCCAACACCGTCACCCTCAAGGGCATTCCCAAGATCCAGCACAGCTTCAAAACAGAATCGGCGGCCGCCCGGGACGTGCGCCTGGCGCGCCTCGAGCTCGTGCGCGCCAACTTTACGCACGCGTGGAACGGCTACAAGACGCACGCATGGATGGGCGACGAGGTGCGGCCGCTCAAGGGCACGCCCGTCAGCAAGTTTGGCGGCTGGGCCGCGACGCTCGTGGACACGCTGGACACGCTGTGGATCATGGGCCTGCACGCCGAGTTCCAGAACGCCGTCAACGCGGTCGACCAGATTGACTTCTCGACGACCAACCTGGACCAGGTCAACGTGTTTGAGACGACCATCCGCTACCTGGGCGGCTTTCTGGCGGCGTACGACCTCAGCGACGGCCAGTACCCGTCCCTCCTGGCCAAGGCGACGGAGCTGGGCGACATGCTGTACCTGGCCTTTGACACGCCCAACCATGTGGTGGTGACGCGCTGGAAGATGAACGACCGGCGCAAGGGCATCTCGCAGACGCCGCACCGGTCGTCGCTGGTCTCGGAGCTGGGCTCGCTGTCGCTCGAGTTCACGCGCCTGTCGCAGCTCACGGGCAACCCCAAGTACTACGACGCGGTCCAGCGCATCATGGACCTGTTCGCGGCGCAACAGGACCGCACGCACCTGCCCGGCCTGTGGCCCGTCGTCGTCAACGCCGAGGCCGCCGACTTCACGGGCGGCACCGGCTTTACGATTGGCGGCATGGCCGACTCGCTCTACGAGTACCTGCCCAAGCAGTTTCTGCTGCTGGGCGGCGCCGTCCCCGCCTACCGCACCATGTACCTGAAGGCGCTGGCCGCCATGAGCGAGCACCTCTTCTTCCGCCCGCTCACCAAGTCGGCCAAGCCCCTCCTGTTCCCGGGCGACAAGAACACCAACGGCAAGCTGCCCGCCGACACCGTGCGCACGCTGCCCAAGGTGCAGCACCTGGGCTGCTTTGCGGGCGGCATGGTCGGCCTCGCCGCGCGCCTGTTTGACCGCCCGGCCGACATGGCCGTGGCCGAGCAGCTCGTCGAGGGCTGCCTGTGGGCCTACGAGTCGGCCCCCTTTGGCATCATGCCCGAAATCATGTCCGTCGCCCACTGCGCCACGGGCGCCGCCAGCGCGCCGTGCGTCTGGGACGAGAAGACGTGGCTCGGCGAGGTCGCCGCCAAGCAGCGCCCCGGCGGGCCCAAGAAGAACCAGGGCGACGTCGACAATTTCAACGTGGCCAAGGTCGTCGACGACCAGCGCCTCGTGCCGGGCGTGCTGCGCTACGAAGACCGGCGCTACATTCTGCGGCCCGAGGCGATTGAGAGCGTCTTCATCCTGTACCGCCTAACGGGCGACGCCGCGCTCATGGACCGCGCCTGGGGCATGTTCGAGTCCATTGTCAAGGTGACGCAGACGAGCATCGCCCACACGGCCGTCGACGACTGCACGCGGCCCCTCGAGACGTGGGCCGACAGCATGGAGAGCTTCTGGCTGGCCGAGACGCTCAAGTACTTTTACCTCATCTTTGAGGACCCCCAGGTCGTCAGCCTCGACACGTACGTGCTCAACACCGAGGCGCACCCTCTGCGGCGGCCGGCATAGACGTGCTGGCTATACGACTTGTGTTATCTCTTTTTGTCATTGATTGTGTACTTTATTTTTCTTCGGGGTTTATGTAAGCCAAAGTCAACGACGGGTTGACAAGGTCGGCTGTGTCTGGACAAGGGTGTTCAGTTATATACTGCTAGAGTAACTTTCAATTTGGCGTTTTTTTCTGGTGATGAACGAACTTGTATGGTCTGAACAGAACAGTATGCACGTTTGCAATCCTAGCGGTTGGCATTGATTCGTCCACCGTGCATGTCGCGTGCATGTCGTCGTGTGAATATGTCACATTGTTGACTTCACCGCCGAAATTTCGTCCATCCTGGCAACCCATGGACAATATCGTACAGGAGGTCGACAACACATCTTGGCTGTCTACTGGCGAGCTTACTTTGCCATCCCAGATGTCCAACACACGGACAACTTGGCGATGTGTCTGTATCGTACTGAGTCGGAAGCCGGGACCGGCACTCGGGAAAGCCTGGCCCACACTGGACGACGTGGGGAAACAGCATTGCATTCGGCGCATTGTCGACATATGCAACACGCTTGCAAAGTGGCAAGGCACGAGCATCAGTGGCGTCGACGGTGGCCAGCTCGCCGACAATCATCTCAACAAGCCGCAAAACGGCTGGGTTCGTCCCCAGAGAATGGATCCGTACCAAATTCTGTGTATCTAGCGGAATGGACCTGCCGGTGGAAGACAAAGACGAGCGGTGCGAATGGCGTCGACGAGTAAATAGAGCCCTCCGGCAGTATGGATGGCGTGGTGGGACTTGCCTTGATCTTGACCGTGCCTTTGCAGCACCCCATAAAAGACAACATCACACTGTCTTCTTCCACGTACGGCCATAGATATTGGAAAATACGGGATCCCGTCCGCTCTCCCCTAGTCAAACCAATAATCGGCGGATTAGTAGTTGGGTCGGTGACGACCAGCGAATACCCGCTGCTGTACGTTTTTGTCCGTTCGTTTTGCCTTTTTGGCCTTTTTGGCCATCCTTTGTCATTGACTTTCTTTTTTTAACTTCTCTACATATACTTATATATACACTTTCATACCGTGAGTTTTTCGAATGACACGTAGTAATATGTTATTCAGAACCCCGTCAGGTCTTTTGCCCAGATACAAAAATGGAAACGAGTCGTCTACGATGTAATATCTGTAACCATCCGTGTGTCACAGATAATTACACTTTACGCCCGACATGGAAATCCGCGGGACGAGCCGTCAGTGGTAATTTATTATCTGTATCGGCCGCAGTTACCATTTCGGATGTCCATGTGAATTTCACGACTGTGCACCGTCTCTCTATGCGGTCTCATTTCGTTAAAATATCACAACCTTCCCTTCTCTACCGAATTCAATACCTCGGTGACGTCATGTTTTTACGCGTTAACACGGACGCTAGCATGGCTCCAGGGGTACCAGTCCTCGCGTATTGGAATTGAAAGCGACAATAATAACGCCCAGGGAATGACAGTGCAGAAGAGTATGCCGATTCGGGGCGGCTCGGAACATAGCCGGGAGCTGGTCAGCGCTTTTTAAGGGAGGCTTTGACTTTTAGGGCGTTGTTAGCGGCGAAGACGCAATCGTAGCGGCGTGTTGCGGTGCAAAGGCGCCTCGCAGTTAAGGCGGCTCGGCACAGCAAAGCCGAGATCCGCAACGACTATCCCAAGTCCCCTAAAAGTCGCCAAACGGTCGCGTTGCTCGGGGCGTAACGAAAATGACGAAAACCGAGAAAATGACTACACATAGAAATAGATCTGGTTATCCGACAAAAGAGTCATAAACCAGACATCGACTTGGTAAATTCGAAGAAGAGTGATACAACGAGACGACATTCTGAAGGATACCTAATTTGGTAGACTGAGAGGCCCTGACAACGCTGACTGCGTCATCATACCTGGAACTTCATATTAGTCAAACAGGCAAATCGCACTTTCGATTCTTCCCAAGACCTTTGTGCCGTATTGGCGTCCACTCTTTAGTCCGTTTGCATTTTGACGCGCCTTTTTTTCGATTTGCCAACCTTTCTTTTCCTTTGTCCGCATACACACCTCGACGATGACCGCTGGTCTGCTGTCGCGTGCCTTTTGGCGGCCACAGCCGATGCGCCCGGCGCCTGGGCGCAACCTGAGTCAACTCGCCGCGGCCAAGCCGCAACCTCTTTTCCCTTTTCGGTTCCGCTTACAGAACGGCCTCCCACGGCCATCACGACGGACACAGACGACACAGACGACACAGACGACACAGACAGCAAAGTCGGGGCAGACCCAACAGCAGCCCCGTGAACCACGCACGGCCAAAGTCGAAGCGCTCCCGGAGGCCGAGACGCACAAGAGCCTGCCGTCGCCCGGTCCGCCCAAGGACGACCCCATCCCGCTTCCCAGCAACGTCACACCTCTCCCGATGTGGCAGCGCCTGGGCCCACTGACCTGGGCGGCCGACTCGTACGGGCGCGCCCAGCGGCGACGGCCCTATGTGACGCAGCTCTGCAGCGCGCTCGTCATTGCGCTGTGCGCCGACATGTCTGTGCAGCGCATGAACCGGGAGGCGCCGTACGACCCCAAGCGCACTGCGCGGTCGTTGGTGATTGGGGCGATCTCTGCCATTCCGGGGTACAAGTGGTAGGTCAATCTGCGTAGCTGGCAGTTGGCAGTTGGCAGTTGGCAGTTGGCAGTTGGCAGTTGGCAGTTGGCGGTGAACGGAAGTCGTCAACCTTCTCTTCCTCCCCCCCCCCCCCCACCGACGTCGAACATCGTCGTCCGCTAACCGCCGCTCCTAGGTTCGTCTACCTTGCGCAAAACTTCAACTACGGGTCGCGTGCCCTCTCCCTCCTCGTCAAGGTCTCCATCAACCAGGTCGTCTTCACGCCCATCTTCAACACGTACTTTTTCGGCATGCAGGCGCTGCTGGCCGGCGAGTCCCTGCAGCAGTCGTGGGAGCGCGTGCAGCAGACGGTGCCCACCAGCATGTACAACTCGCTCAAAGTGTGGCCGGCCGTGACGGCCTTTAGCTTCACCTTTGTGCCGCTCGAGTACCGCAGCATCTTTGCGGGCGTCTTTGCCGTCGGCTGGCAGACGTACCTCATGTACCTGAACCGCAAGGCCGAGAACGCCCAGGGCACGGCCGGCGAGGGCGTCGCAACAACAGCCATTGCAGCGCAGAGTGAGCCTCCGGCACAGTCGGCCATCGGTGCGTCAGCGGTTGCAGCATCTCTTGCGGCCAAGCCATAGAGTAGTTCCATAGAGTTGGCGATACGATTTACTACATAGGACCTTTCATGTGCTTTAGACAATGGACATCATAAACTTTACATTTAATTGATTCTTCCCTTCACCTTTGTAGGAACAGACTCGTGTCTAACTTATGACTTTGCCGCCTCCTTGGATCCCACCAGCGCCCGCATCTCCTCCTTGACGCGCGTCACCGTACCCGCACCGCCGTACACCAGGCCCGTGTACAGCATGGCCACGCTCGCGCCCGCATTCAGCAGCCGCAGCGCCTGGTCGCCGTCGGTCACGCCACCCGAAGCAAACAGAATTTTGCGCTCCGTGTTTGGTCCACCACCACCAGCCGCCTCGCTCCGCGTCTGCTCGTCCAGCCGCTGCCGGTACCGTGCCACGAGCGCCAGCGTCCGGCCGAACATGGCCGGGCCCGAAAAACCGCCCGTCTCGTGCAGGTTGGCCTCCTCGTGGCGCCGCAGCCGCAGCTTGTCGGGCACGAGGCCGTCGCGGCGCTTGGTCGTGTTGCCGACGATGATGCCGTCGACGCCGCTGGCCATGACGGCCTCGACGATGCCGTCAATCTGCGCGTCCGCGTCCTCGTCCGGCGAGACCTTGACCATGACGCGCGGCGGGCGGGCCCGCAGCGTCTGCAGCCCGGACTCGACGGCGGCCGTGTGCGCCGCCGCGCTGGTCGCGGGGGCCGCCGTGGCCCGGGCCGCGTCGACGACGGCCGCCAGAATGTGCGTCAGTGGCGCCGCCGCCTGCAGGTCGCGCAGCCCGGGCGTGTTGGGGCTGCTCACGTTGACGACCAGCACGTCCGCGTAGGGCGCCAGCCGGCGCACGCAGTAGACGTAGTCCTGCGCCACCGCCGCCACGTCGTGCTCGTCCGTGTCCTTGTTCTTGGCCATCTGCACCGCCAGCACCTTGCCCGCCCGCAGCGACCCGACGGGCACGCCCGCCGCGCCCGACAGCACGTCTGCCTCGCGGATGCCGTGGGCGCGCGCATACGCCCGCAGCCGCGTCCGCAGCCGCGCCGCCAGCGCGTCCGCGCCCACTGAGTTGAGGCCGTAGCGGTTCACCAGCCCCGCGACGCTCGGCACGCGGAATAGCCGCGGCCGCGGGTTGCCGGCCTGCGGGCGCGGCGTGCACCCGCCGACCTCGACGACGGCGGCGCCCAGGTCAAACAGCGCGTCGGGAATGTCGGCGTCCTTGTCCAGGCCGGCGGAAATGCCAATGGGATTCGACAGGGCATACTCAAAGGCGCGGCCTTCGAGCACGTTCGTGCGGATGTCGTCGGTCCGGTCCCTGGGGTGGAGGCCCAGTCGGTAGAGCACCTTGAGGGCCTCGGTGCCAATGTGGTGCGCATCCTCCGCGTCCGGCCACAGCGTCCGGATCAGCGGCGGCACGATCCAGCGGTGCACCGAGGCGCGTGTGTCGGTGCCGTACAAGTAGACGGCAAACAGGGTGGCACCGACGGCGGTGGCGTAGACGGCAGCGCGCAGGCCCGAGCCAGATGAGCTGCTACCGGAACGTGGTGGCGGTGGGGGTGGCGGAGGAGGAGGGGGGGGGTATCGTGGCAGCCTTTGCGACTGTCTTCGCGGCGGTGTTTGCGGCAGTTGTAGTGGCAGACTTGGCAGTCCCCGTCGCCGTCTTGACCGTCCCGGCGGCACTCGAAGCTTTGTTGACAGCCTCTGCAGTGGGGGCGGCCGTCGACGCAGCGGCCTTGACTGCATCGCCCGTCGTCGAGTATGGGTAGCGTCTCCGAGCCAAGTCGCGCCGGGACATGTGTGCTGGGCGCAGAACGGACGCCAGCGTGGGCCGTGCACGGAGGTAAAGGGGGGCCATCGTCGAAATGTGTCGGAAACTGACGTCGGACAGAAAAGTGGCGAAAGACAAAAGAATGAAATGCCAATGGCAGACGCAACCGACGTGGAGAGCTTCGACAAAGAGACGGATCGCAGCTAAACAAAGTTGGCTGAGGCATGAAGCTCACGCGATTTTTTTACGGAAGAAGTGCACGTGATAGTAACATGGCGAACACGTGACATTCTTGAACATCGACACAACTACGAATTAAGACATGCGAACAATTCTCTGAGCAAGACTAAAGAAGTTGAAAGGAACTAGACTGGCCAGGTCAAGGTTAAGACTAAGGATCCAGGGTTATATGACCGTAATCCAACACTGGCAACACTACCGGCGACGACGAGCTAGTCCTTTGTTTATAAGATACTGGAATCTAAGTTATGTTGATTTCTAATAATCAAATACGTCTGGGTAAGGGAACTATGGTATTACGGACACAATAAGAGTGCTGGTGTGGTTGTCAGAGTGTATGGCTCAACCTTCAGCTTCGATCCCATGTCGCAAGCTATCGTGTTTCAACAGTGTATTATTGGTAGATTTTGACATTTTATGTTTTCTTGTTCTGTTTATTATTCATTTTGTTGCTTACATAGATCAAGACCAAAGTATACAGTGAAAGCCCCGTCCTTAACCGACTCCATCCTCGAATGTACAGCCTATTACATGAGCTCCCCTCACGTCGGAGGCGACGGCCTCTGTCCCAGCCCGCCTCCGCCAAGTTCGAAAACCCGCGCCGCTTTCAACACGCCGAGGTCGTCAAAGCGTTTCCCAGCGATCTGCATCCCGACAGGCAGCATGCACTGCCTGTCGAGCGACGGCGCCCATCCACACGGCACACTGATCGCTGGGTGGCCCGTCGCGTTGAACGGCGCTGTGTTGTTGATGGACCCGGCGGCGAGTCGAAGCAGGCGTTCCGCCGACGAGCGTCCGTCCGTGTCGCGGTCGGTCATGTCCGGCAGAGGCGGTGCCACGGCCGGCGCCGTCGGCGACACCAGCACGTCGTAGTCTGCGAGCGCTGCGTCGTACGCGGCGCGCAGCTGCAGGACATGCCGTCGAGCCTTGTTCTGCGCCGCATACGGCAGCTCCTCGCCCAGCAACATCTCGACCATGGTGGCCAGAACGACAGACGGGTTGTGGGCGGTGACGACGTCGTAAAACTGCTGACTTTTGTGGTGGACGCGCACGTCCGGTGCAATGTGCGGCAGGTCGTGTGCCAGTATGTCCGGTGCCCGTCCGCCAAACGCGTGCGAGGCCATCTGGTTGCGCACGGCGGCGGTCCAGATGGCCGCGCCGAGACTGTGGAGCGGCACCGAGACGTCTTCGACGACGGCACCCATTGCCCCAAAATGATTGTAGGCCGCGGCGCGGACACACGCGGCATTGTTGCTGTCGGTGCCGGGGATGCTAAACGATTCCGTAATCAGGCCGACCCGGAGAGGACTAGCACGCTCCGCCGTGGCTGCCTCTGTAAATCTCTGCAACTCCTCGTGGTACGCCACCACGTGTTCCCGCAGAGGACTCTCCGGCCCCATGCGCGGGTCGAGTCCGTCGTAGCCGGCGAGCACAGTCAGACAGAGGGCAATGTCGTCCAGGCTGGTCGCCAGCGGGCCCACGTGGTCGATCATCGGCAGCAGCCCTGCAACGCCCGTGTATGGCACGAGGCCAAACGTCGGTTTGAGGCCGTAAATGCCGCAGTAGGCCGCCGGCACGCGGATGGATCCGGCCTGGTCGCCGCCAATGGCAATCAGAGGAGCCTCCAGGGTGGCGGACACGGCCTTGGTGGCCGCCGCTCGGACCTGCTCTCCCACCAGCGCCGCTGACCCGCTGCTGCTGCCCCCGCTGTTGTACCCCCGCTGCCATGGGTTGTGCACCGGGCCCCAGATGGACGAGAACGACATGGGCGACAGCGAGAAGTGCTCGCACGTCGTGGTGCCTTTGAGGCGGGCGCCGGCCAGCAGCAGACGGCGCACGACCGTGGCGTCGATGGGAGACACGGGATACTCGTTGCCGGACGAGCCAATAAACTCGGGAAGGGTGCCCAGCGTCTGCGGCAGCCCCCCAACCGCCACGGTGTCCTTGACGACGACGGACCTCCCTTTGAGGAGAGAGGTCTGTGACGACTCTGATGACGTCGCCGAAGCCGACGACGCCGGCTCGACGACGGCCGTCACGTCGCACTGGTGGCACCAGGCATTGAGCGGGTTGTCGGCCGGGTCGGGGCGGCTGTACTTTCTCGGCGACGCCGCGGTCGCCGAGTCGTTTTCGTTCCGCGTTGGCACAATACGCAGGCGTGGATCAATGTAGTCGGGCAGAGCGTCGATCTGCGTGGCGATGGCATACGACGACCGCAATCCGAGCAGGTACGCGGCCTCGTGCTGCGGTGCGACCTGGAAGCCGTTGCGACGGGCGAGGTCGTGCAGCTTCTCGCGTGTGACGACAGGATCGTCTCTATGTCGTGCTTGTGAGAACAAAAAGAGGAAGAAGAAAACCAGAAACAAAAAACCTGCGAAAGCAACACAAGACTCACACTGTAGGATCGGACAGGGATGCCAGAGACATGGTGAAGGTAAAGAGATACTCGTGTAGGTGGCGAATGTGTTGACAGGATTGTTTGGTTGTTCGTTTTCGTCGTTGTTTTCACAGTTTACACAAAATACGCTCTGCTATTATCAAATATAACAATCGCACTCTCCAATGGGCTCCGTGATCGCTTTCTTGTTCACACGAACGATCGTACATACAAACGAATAGAACAGCACCTGTGCTGGCATTGTCATTGGTGTTGGCATTGTCGTCATTGGTGTTGGTGCCAGCCGACGTCGCAAATGCTTGGAAGCGGGGATTGTTCGGATAATGGGCGTTATGAGGAAATAGTGGTGACGGTTTGGCCGACGGACATTGTCGGACAGTGTCCTTCGGATAAAGCGCAGTGGATGTGGCCTAGTAAGCTTGTAAGTTGCAAGTGCTATTGTTTTATTATTATAGTACGATATTTATTATTATTGCTTATTCTTTATGTTTTTTTTTTTTTTTTTTAAAAAAAAAAAACAACGTACATTTATATCTTCCCAAAATCGGGCCCGTCTATTCATTCGGTAATACTTGGAGCTTGGTGATTTCGTGAGAACTGGAAAAAGGACAATCTTTTATAAGTGGTCACCAAGTTCGTCTATTCTCTTCAATGCATACTGCACAGCATGCTGAACGAACATTGAGTGCATTCCATCACACAACAGCACAATATACATCTTATTCGCACGACAACACCATGGCCTCCGACGATGTGCAGTTCCCGACCTACCCCGACATCAAAGGGAAGGTCGTCTTTTGTAAGTCTGTGCTCTCGTCCAAAGTCAGCTAGTCACTCGCACTCACTCATTGCTTGACCCATCGACCCAGTGACCGGCATCGGCCAAACCGGCGACCAGAGCATGTGGGGCAACGGTGCCGCCACGGCGCGGATTCTTGCCCGCAACGGCGCACGCATCTTTGGCTGTGACCTGAGCCTGGCCGCCGCGCAGCACACGCAGTCCCGGATCCGCGCCGAAGGCGGCGAGATCGAGGTCGTGAGCGCAAACGTCACCCAGGACGCGTCCGTCCAGGCCGCCGTCGCAGCGTGCCTCGCCGCCTATGGCCGGATCGACATTCTGGTCAACAACGTCGGCCGCTCGGAGCCGGGCGGCCCCGCCGACATGGCCGAGGCGATCTGGGACGCGCAGGTGGACGTCAACCTCAAGTCGGTGTACCTGTGCTGCCACCACATCCTGCCCCACATGGAGAAGCAGGACGGCGGCGCCGGCGGCGGTGTGGTGGTCAACGTGGCCTCCATTGCCGGCCTGCGCTACATTGGCAAGCCGCAGGTGGCCTATGCGGCGACCAAGGCGGCCGTCATCCAGTTTACCAAGGCGACGGCTGTGCTGTATGCGTCGCGGGGCGTCCGGCTCAACGTCGTGGTGCCGGGCCTCATGGACACGCCGCTCGTCGGACTTCTGGCTGACAAGTACGCCGGCGGGGACCTGGCCGGGTTCAAGGCGAAGCGCAACGCCGCCGTGCCGATGGGCCACATGGGCAGCTCGTGGGACGTGGCCATGGCGGCTGCGTTTTTGGCGTCGGAGCAGGCACGCTACATCACCGGCCAGCCGATTGTCGTCGATGGCGGCATTACGTCGTCGACGGGTTAGTGGGGTGGTCGGGGTATAAGTTGTACTGTGTCATAGATATAATAGTTGCTATTGAACGAATATAAAAGAGTTACTTTGTTAACGTCCTCCACTTGGAACAGCTCGAATGCCAGCTAAAGCTGCTTTTGACTTGTTGTTCCTTCTCAACACCCCCACCCTACTTCTTCTCCAGCAACGCATACACGGCGTGGACCTCGGGCACCTTGGCCTCGAATTCTTGGCGGGCCTCGTCCCACACGCGCTGCTGCGCCACCTTGCCGCTGCGGCGGTTCATGAACGGCGGGTAGGCGACCGCGTCAAAGTCGTGCAGGATCTGGCCGTTGGCCGCGGCCGGCGCAGAGGCGCCGTTGACGAGCGCGGCGGCGCCGTAGATGGGGTCGCGGGCGCTGATGTTCATGATGAGGCGGGGAATCAGTTTCGCCTGGTTGGGGTTGGTGAGCGGGGTCCAGGCGGAGCCGGGGTCAGCACTGGTGATGGTGACGGCCGGCGGCTGCCGCTGGCCGGTCGCTGCGCGAGACGCCGTGCGCGCCGCCAGCTCGCGCGCAAAGTACAGCAGCAGGCCCTTGGAGCGGCCGTACTGGTGGCCCTGCGCCAGGCCGTCGCGGCTTGTGCTGAGGCGGCGCAGGTACGACGCGCCGGGCTGCCGCGGCAGGCCCATGGTGAAGGACGACGGGTAGATGCCAAACGACGTGACGAACGTCAGGACGGGCGGCTGAGGATTGCCGGGCGAGGCCTTGAGGTGGGGCAAGAGGAGGAGGGCGATGAGCGCCGTCGACAAGAAATTGACTTGGACAGAGGACTCCCAGCCCTCGGGCGACTCGCGGCGGTGGAACGCGAGAATGCCGGCCGTCAGGAGAACGTGGTCGAGGTGGTCCAAGCTCGCTGCGCGCTCGGCCAGCTCTCGACAGCCTGCATAGCGCATCATGTCGATCTGCCACACCAGAATCTTGGGCACCGACTTGTTCTGAGCGCGCAGATCCGCCTCAATCTGCTTTTGCACGCCGGCACAGTCCTGCACATCGACGAGCACCAGCGTCGCGACGCCGTGCTGCGCAAAGAGCGTCGCCGCGCGCGACCCGTACGCGCCATTGGCGCCCGTCACCAGGGCCGTGCGTCCGGCGTACGACGCGGTCCGCACCGTGGGCCGGCCGCTGCGCTGCTTCCACAGCAGCTGCACAGGGAAGTACTCGGCCAAGAACAGGGGGAACGCGAGAGTGAGCAGACCAAGAATGGCGGCCACGATGCCGCCGATGACGAGGGCGTTGGCCATGGGAGGTGGAAGAGGTCCAAGGTGGAAGAAGTGGAAGAGCAGGAACAACAATGAAATGATCGGTGCTGTCTGTCCACAGATTGCTGGTTGAGCTGTTGATGCTGGGCGCAGTCTGCAAAGGGTGCGGAGACGACATACGTTTGACACTCGACCTCATACGATATTAACGAGGAGCGCCCCACCCAGCGGTGGCTGGCATGCAATTTCCTATTTGGGCTTAGCTTAGTCAGCTATGTTTGACAGAGGACCACAGCAGCTTCTTTGTATTTAGCTTCTTTGTATTTACGGCTATAGGTCTTTCATAGTAAACAACGTCGCTGTCCTTTATTTTCCCCTTTTGATTATGGACAACCCCCACCACGCCTATGCCTTCCCTGCCGACTTGAAGACGTGCATCATGCGCTCAATCTCGCGCGAGTAGACCTCGACGCCCTCGCTCTGCAGCGCCGTCAGCTCCTTGGTGGCGCAGTGGTCCTCGACAAACTTGTGGTACGCCAGGCGCACGTTGCGGTTCTGGTTGATCTTGACCATGCCGAGCTGCATCGACGTGTGGATGAGCGCGTCGGACAGCGGGTGCGTTCCGTGCAGCACCAGCGGCACGTCTGTGCCGACGGCCTCGTGGATCTGCCGCAGACGGTCCAGCTGCCACCAGGCTTCGGCGCCGCCCGGTCCATAGGGCCCGTGCACGTTGCCGAAGCTGGGCGCCAGAAAGTGCGTGCCCGTCTCGCGGACAAAGCGCGCCGCGTCCTGCGGTTTCGTGAGGACCTGCTCGAGCTCCAGGAACGGGATGCCGTCCTCGCCGCCCTCCATGCGGCCCAGCTCGGCTTCGACGGTGACGTTCTGCCGGGCGGCGCGCTCGACGATACCCTTGACGTAGCGAATGTTCTCTTCCTCCTGAAACAGCGACCCATCGACCATGATGGAGTCAAAGGCGCACTCGTCGAGCGCCCGGTCGGCGTCCGCGGGCTGCAGGCAGTGGTCGAGGTGGACGGCCACCGGCACGGCCGCGGCGTGGGCGACGTCGGCCACGTAGCGGACAAACGCCGGACCCTGGAAGTGGATGGACCAGGGGAAGAGCTGGATGATGGCCGGGGAGCGGCAGCGTTCGGCGGCGCGGATGACGGCAAGGACGCCCTCGACGTTGTACCTGGTGGCTGTTAGTGGGGTGGAGCGACACGCACATGCCACTGTAGAGGTGAGCTTACACGCAAAAGCCACCGACGGCATAACCGCCTTTGCGTGCGGCGTCGAGGATCTGCCACGTCCTGTTTTCTTCAGGGTAGACCATTGTGAGGAGAGCAATTATTGGCAATGCGTTGATTGGGGTCTGTCAATGGTTGGAATGTTGTCAAGCAGCTACTCTCCTGTAAGCTCGGGATGTCCAGATATTTTGTGCCACAAAGTGTCACAGCAACAAACAATCTGGCTGCGACACCGGACGGCTGTCGCGGACAATGGCCAGGTTTCGGCAGGTTGTGCTTGTGCTTCGTCTTCGGACAAGACGACTCAGGGGAGTTGTCGGACATTGGCGCCACACCAAATGCGAGCTAATTCGGAGTAATCTGGTCACAAGGCAACACAACTTAAAACTGGTCAAAAAATCGACGGCGCAGCTTTTCCATCTCCAGCTCCTGTGGCCACGGCTCCAGAAACCGGCCCACCTCCTCCTGCCAGTACGGGTTGTGGGGATTGACGTGCCACGCGTTGGTGTACTCCCAGTACGCCGGCATCCATGCAGCCGTCTCCCAGTCGATGATGCCTGTGACCGTGTCGCCGTCGGCCAGGATGTTGTTGGCGCTGAGGTCGCCGTGGGTGAGCACCGGCGGCTGGGGTTCTTTGTAGTTCTCGTGGAGCGCGAGAAGCGTGCGCAGGGCGGCAAAGCGCTCCTTCGTCTCGGCGTCCCAGTCGGGTGCGTCGGGCGGCACCTCGACGTGGCCACTGCGCAGTGCGCGATGAAAATCGACGGTCGTCGCATACGGGCCCCAGTACCGCTTGTTGGGCAGGTTGCCGTCGTAAAAGCGGCCGCCGTCGATGCCGCTGACAACACTGGTGTCTGTTTCGGCACCACCAGCATTCGACCGCTGCACTCTGCGCAGTTCGGCCACCATGGCCTTCACCTGCCGCAGGATGGCCGCCTTGGATGCGTCGGAGTGGTAGACCCAGTCGCGCGACAAGGGCTGGCCTGGCAATCGCTCCATCAAGATGTAGACCAGGCCGCGATGCTCGAAGCTGCAGTACACCTTGGGAACGGGGATGGAGGTGTTCTCGCGCACAAGCTGCAAGGCGCGCGCTTCGTTGAGGATGGTGCGCTCACAGCATCGCACACACAGCTTGGACGAGATGCAAATGACGCCCCAGTGGCCCTTTTGCCACCGTCGGTACCACTTACGATCGGCAATACGTACGAGCAGCAGCGTCGAAACACGCATCCAGAATGTGTTATTGATCGGCGCGGCGTCCATGGTCGCATCGTTTTGTGTCTTTGGAGTACCGGGCACTTTCTGCGCCATGGCTTGCTGTTCAAGGCGTCCATGATCCAGTTTTTGGACTATTGTTGACGAAGACATTCGCGATGTCGCGATGAGTGGTGATTGACACGCGGTGTATGGCGATCTCAGGACCCGGCATTCGACCTAATTAGTTGGGGTGAAATGCCACCAGCGTCAAATTCTGCCACTGGACACCGCCCTTGCTAACAGTGGCAGGAACAACCTCTGCTGCTGGTGGTGCCTTCCCGGGCACGGATTATGCAAGTTCTCTGTGGCAACAACGCTTTATTTCGAACCGATCTCGACAAAAAGGAAAGAACGAGGGATCCAAATCCTTAGCGCCTAATGACCCGGGGTTCGCTCAAGACCTGTATTGCCATTGCTTTCTTCTCATACTTGTTGTCGTAGTCCGAATCTTTGCAGCATCTAGAGCCGCGCGCTTCTCGAGTGCGGGCTCTGTTGCAATTATGGCGACCCAAATGCAAAATGATCAGGGATGGCAGGTCGCAGGTTTCAGGCCATATTCACTCCGTATTAAGCGCCCGAAGAAACGGGCAGGAAGGCACGTCAGCCGTTGGACGTGGCTTCCTTTCGTGATTAGATACAAAATGTACCCGTGGGATGTTTTCACTCTACATGGAAAGTAAACAGCAATCAACAAACGTACACCCTCGAAGAACCAGGCAGAACTCAATCACAAACACATTCAAACACCAACAAATCCAAAACTATGTTCTCCAGAAAGTCTTCCGGCAACAAAGACCGACTCTACGTCGCCCACTACGTACGCGGAGGTGCCCCCAAAATACCAGGCGGAGAAGACAAGTAGGTTCTATCTTTCCCTTTTCTTTCTTCTTTGTTCAATTCATTTTCATATCAAGATTCTAACGTTGTACTTTTTCTTCACCACTGCGAAAGGTTCCATTGGGCCATTCTCGTAGGACCAAAGGAACAAGATCGCAAGACGCGTGGCCGGTGCTTCCACGCAAAAGAGAACATCTTGGCCAATCCCATGGTGTGGGAATTCACGGAAGAAGATACCGACACGGCACAGACGATGCAGCTGCTCACACGGACGCAGATTGGAAAGGTCAAGGATATGTCCATTGTCCATTCTCGAGGAAATTTTGCGCTCCGTGCCCATCCGCGCTGGTGCGGTGGAGGGCTGGAACTGTGTGTCTTGGGTTCGCGAAGCATTGGGGATGATTGAGCAAAATGGCAAAGCCATGGGAACGGCTATTCTGGATTGGAACACGGTCCGCGACGCGCCATGACATACACGCAAGAGAAGATTGATAGGCACCGTTTTGATGGCAAGGCTACTTTCCATTATGATAAAGAACGCGCGGCGACCTACGATCTGCTCGAGAAGAAGGAGTTGGTTCCGTAAAGTCCATGATTTGGGTGACACCAGTGATGAAATTGGGTCATCAAAGTACCTTGTCAGTCATGTATGATATTACTCAAGCGGTGGTCAACTATTGTAATTCCAAACTTTAGCTCTACTCGATTTATTCTTCATATATGGCACCGTCACTCCTTTACAGTCTTCTTCGCAATCTCTTCACCGGCCACAGCAGAGAAGAAGGCGTCGCTCAGGTGCCCGCCGCACCAGGTCATCTTCTCATAGCCGTCGACCTTGTAGGGCGAGCGCGTGACGGCCGGCGTCTGGATCTGCTCGTAGTAGGCGCCCATGCCGCCATCCGTCCACAGCGCCGCCGCCCGCTCAATCTCCATGTTGACGCCCTGGATCATGTACATGGGCTGGACCTGCCAGACAACGCCCCAGTCGGACAGGATCTGAGACGCCCGTCTGCGGCGCTCGTCGGTCCAGCCGGCGCTGGCGGGAAACGGCCACTCGCCGCCCCAGGCAAAGGCAAACATGCGGTCGGGGCCGAGGGCGGCGGCGACGGCCTCGTGGTAGGCTTTGAGGTCGTGGTAGTTGGGCTGGTCCATGCGCGCCCAGGAGAGGTCCGAGAGGGGCGCCACCACGAGGGCCCGCTCGACAATGGTCTGCACGGTCTGGCGGAAGAGGTACTGGCCCTGCGCCGAGCGGGGCAGCTCCCAGTCAAAGGGCACGTCGAGGCCGAGCACAGACTGGGCGGCCGCGCGGCGCTGCTGGAGCGAGGTGCCGTAGCCCGTGCGTGCCGTGTACGCGGCCACCTTGGCCGCGGGCACGCCGGCAGCTGTGGCGGCAGCCGCAGCGGCCTCGTCAAACGTCGCCAGGCCGGCCTCCTGCATCCACGACGCGCGCGCGTCGGCCACCGACTGACCTGCCTGTACGGCCGCCGCGATGGCCTGCTGCAGCGTGTACTGCTTGTCGAGAAAGGCCGGGTTCGTCGCGCCGAGGACGTACGCGTGGTCGCGCGCATCGGCCACGCTCGTGATGAACTCGGCGTGGTCCGTGTCGCAGCGGGCAAAAATCAGCGTCTCGGCGCCCAGCACGTCCAGCTGCAGCCGGATCGCCTTGACGCGGTCGCTGTACTCGGCCGTCGGCACGACCGTCCGGCCCTGGCCCGTGGTGAACTTCTTGAGGCCCAGCGCCAGGTCGTCGATGTGGATGGCCGCCGCGCCCAGCTCGGCCAGCGCCTTGGCGGCCTTCATGCTCACCGTCAGCGACCCAAAGCCCATGTCGCCGTCGGCCACAATCGGCATCAGGTAGTCCCAGTGCTCGGCGGCGGCGCGCTCCGGCGCGGGGAGCGACATGCGGTACTGCCGCTGCCGCTGGTCGTGCCACACCTGCGACCGGAAGACCTTGTCGACCACCTTGGGCACCGTGTCCCACGGGTAGTCGGCGTGGTCCATGCCCGGGTACGCGTTCTCGGAAAACCCCGAGAGGCCGCCCGACACGTACACGGTGCGCATGTACTTGGCCATCTGGCTGACGCCCACGGGGTCCGTGGCGCCAAACGTGAGCTCGGACGTCTTGTTCCTGTGGTGGTCCTTGAGGAGCGCCCACAGCTTGAGGGCCGCCGGCGACGACACGCACGGCAGCGTCTGCGAGCCGCGCAGGGCCGCGACGGTGCGTGCTGTCCACGGCCGCTGCACATGCTGCTGGCGCGGCGTCGCCCACCAGGCCTCAATGTCGCGGACGGTGGCGTCAAACGACGCCTGCTCGGCCTCGAGCGATTCAGTCGAGGGAATGGTCATGGTGTTTGGTAGGTTGAGCAAGACGGATATGGTAGATGTGCCAGTGTTTGGTTGTACATTTGCAAGTCTATAAACATGTTTGTATAAAGTGAATCGTCCCGTTTCTTAAGCACATTACCATCTGGCTCCTATATCGGACGGAAAATGATCCTATTGTACGTGCATGTGGTGTTGCTCGTAGTCGTTTGTCCGCGAAGATCGTTTGTGAAGGGGTGGAACTAAAAAGGGAAAAGAAAACAACCGTTAGATGATAGTCACACCAGCTTAGCTACTTGTTCTATTATTCGGACTCTGCAAGCTGCATCAGGTCGGACTTGTCCCATCGGCAATAAGAAATCAGTTGAATTTCAAATCGGTATAAAAAGGCCAATATCAAATAGAGCTAGTGCAAGCCCATCAACCATAAGGCGCCTTCTCTCCATTCCCATTCCCTCTCCCATTCTCCATTGTCCGAGACGTTCTTCCCAGTCCCCGGCAGACCCCGGCAGTCCACGGCGTCACACAACTTGATGTATCTGCACCCCACATAAGCTCAGATGGAAAGTATGGGGACAAAGTATGGGGAAACTACGGCGTACAACGTATCCAACGTGAAGTGTCCGTGCAAGTAGATGCCTTGGAAATGAGATGCATTGGTCTGCTACGACGGAGATGACCACCTATCGGCGGTTGTACTACTAACTGCTCCATGTGGCCCATCATCCCCATCATCCCCATCATCCCCCATAGTTCCCCGTATTCGTTCTGCATTCCCCACGTCTCCTTGTCTCCACCTCTGTCTACAGGATTTTGGACAGAATCTTCTGCAACTGGGTCTTTTGCTTCTGCTGCGGGCTGTCGCGCTCGTCGCCTTCGACGCGGCCCGTGTACAGGTCCATCTCGTCGAGGGCGACCATTTTGGTCTTTTTCACCAGCTTCCAGAACGAGAAGAAGCCGGCAAAGATGGGGATGCCGACGTAGGCCGACACAAAGTTCTGGGCGTTCCAGTTGCCGTGCGTAAAGACGGCAAAGCCGTTGAACAGCAGCACGACGACGAAAAACACGAGGCCGCACCAGGCCGTGTACGGCTGGCCGGGGCCGCGGAAGGGCAGCGACGACCGCTCGATGCCCTGGGCCAGGAGGGCGCGGCGGAAGCGCGTGTAGGCGTAGCAGAGACACGTCCACGTCAGCAGGTAGCTGGTGGCGACGAGGCCCGACAGCCAGTGGAAGACGTTGGACGACGCCGACGACACCGTCATGTAGGCCAGCAGGCCAAAGACGGCGGTGGCGCCGACGCAGTAGTAGGGCACGCCCTGGCGGTTGCAGGCGAGCAGGAACCGCGGCGCCTGGCGCTGCTGGGCCATGGCGAACAGGTAGCGCGAGCCCGTGTACAGGTTGGCGTTGGCCGACGACGCGGCCGACGTGATGAGGACGGCGTTGATGAGGTGCGGCAGGACGGGGATGCCGGCCGACTGGATGGCAATGACCCAGGGCGACGCCTTGACGCCGCTGCCGCTGACGAGGTCCGGGTCGTCGGACGGCACGAGCAGGCCGACAAAGAAGGCGCCCAGGACGTAGAAGAGGGCCAGGCGCCACAGCACGCGCCGCACGGCCTGCGGGATGGCGCGCGTCGGGTTGTGCGTCTCGCCGGCCGCGACGGCCACCTGCTCGGCGCCGCCAAACGCGTAGGCGGCGCTGATGAGCGTGCTGAACAGCCCCAGGAAGCGGCCCGCGCTGCCCGTGGCAATGTACTCGTTCATCGCGCCCGGGTGCACCCAGTAGCGAAAGCCGATGCGGTCGTGGCTGGGGCCGCCGCCGAGGTCGAGCACCAGCCCGAGAATCAGGAGGCCGATGATGGTGACGATCTTGAGCGAGGCAAAGAAGAACTCGGCCTCGCCGTAGACGGCGACGGCGCAGAAGTTGAGCGCAAACACCGCGACCAGGATGATGGAGATCCACGCCGCCGGGTTGATGTCCGTCCAGTACTGCACCAGCAGGACGGCGCCGGCCGTCTCGCCGGCAATGGCGATGGCGCAGTTGTACCACTGGTTCCAGCCGACGGAAAAGCCCAGGGCCGGGTCGACAAACCGCGTGCAGCTCTGCGCAATCATGCCCGGCAGCGGCAGCAGCGACGCCATCTCGCCGACGCCCTGCATCATGGCCCAGATGGCCATGGACGTGAAGAGGTAGCCCAGGAACAGCGACAGCGGGCCGCCCGTCGCCAGCGCGTTGCCGATGCCCACAAACAGGCCCACGCCGATGGTGCCGCCAATGGCAATAAACTGCACGTGGCGCTCCTTGAGGCCGCGGTTGAGGTGGCCGTGGTCGCCGGCGGAGTGGACGTCCTCGACCTGCGCCTTGGCCTGGCTGTCCACCTGTTCGAGGTCGTCGCCGGCGTTGGGAGTCCCCATCACGACGGAGTCCTTTTTTTCGTCCATAAAAGGCGATGCCAAGTAGTAAAGACAGTAAAGAGGAATGCAGTAGCCAAGTAGAGTGATGGATACATATAAAATGGACACGGTATGAGCGCCGTAGGAAAGAAACATCCACCAGTCGATCACGTCCCGCCTCAGAGGCAAAGTCGGCCTTGATCTTTATATCTAGAGATCGAGTGACCACGGGGTGTGCCATGCTGGACCTCTTCGACACTTCGTATCGTATCCTCCTCATCCGTCGTCGTCTCTCCTCCTTCCCCTGCCTCCTCACCTTCCCAGTTTCATTGCGCTAAGGAGCGTCTATTCCCATCCTAGTGCAGTGCCTGGGGTTTAGTGTACGATACGCCCATCTTGGGACGTTCCGTTTAGTCAAGTTGACGACTCGCTGCTATCAACGACTCCACAGATGAAGATTAAGTGATCGGACAATGCAAATAAGAAAGCGGGGAAGCGCTAGTGTCCTCCATGCGTCCTATTGTCCGAAGCGTATGGAGTTGCCGAAACATCGACAAACTTATATATCGTGACATTCGAGCCTGTCAATGTTTGTTGACCGTGTCACTCGTCCATCGTCGCAACAAAATCCCACGTCACCACCACTATCACCATCACCATCACCCAGCACAATGGCCTTTGTCCAAAAAGAATTCTTTACCCGCCCGGCCCACCCTCCCATTGGCGCCGCGCCTGTCTCCCTCGCCGACGCCATCGCCGCCAGCACCACCGGCGACGGCCGCCCCGACCAGTGGTACACCATCGGCCCGGGCATCTGGGAACTGCAGCTGAATGGCGATCCCGCCTCCGACCACAAGGCGGTCCTCCAGTGGTACGAGCCCAACACGCGGTCCGTCGACCCGGTGGCCGTCATTACACACACGTACATTGAGGAGGTGTGCTTTATTCAGGGCGGACTCACGGATGTGACGCTCGGACAGGGGTGGGGTCCGGGGAGCTATGCCTACCGCCTGCCCGGCATGAAGCATGGGCCCTACCAGGCATCGTCAGAAGGCTGTCTGCAGTTTGTTAAACTGGTGCCAGTGGAGAACCAAAAGTAGAGGAGGAGAGGAGGGGGGGGGTGTTAACGCAGATGTAAGGAGAGGACTAGGTGAATACACTGTACATATTGTTCAAACTCAGAATCATTTGGCAGAGTTGCATGTCCACTGAGATTCAATCGTGTAGTCCTGAAGGCGACTGCAGAAGTATAGACAATATCACCCCTGAATAACTCCTTTTGTGACCTTCTAGTCACTCACTTCGGAGGACACGCCACTGAGAAAGTACGCAATACCTATTGTCCGATGGAATAGTGCAGAGTTGCGTAGTGACCGACACCGGCCCCTGTATGCACCATATATCTATGTTTGTGACAGCACTAGTATTCCCTTTACATCTTTCTTTGGCCGATAGCATCATACAGGCCACAGCATTGTCAAAAACGGCCGTCAACAACACATCATCACCCACCATCAGGCAATGGGCTCCATCGACCACACTGGCCTGCCCGAGGCACTCATCCTCGGCGCTGTCCACCACGCCACTGATGTGCTGGACCGTCTGCAGCGGGCGTACACTGTCCATGTCCTTGCGTCCGGCGTCACGCGCGCGTCCTTCTTCGCCGACTGTGCCGCCGGCCGCTACGACAACGTCGTCGCCATCGGCCGCTCTGTCGACTCGGTTACCTTGACCGGCCGCTTCGACCCCGAACTGGTCCACCGGCTCCCGCCGTCGGTCCGGTTTGTATGCCACAACGGCGCCGGCTACGACCAGGTCGACGTGGCCGCCTGCCGCGCCCGCGGCATCGCCGTGTCGAACACGCCAGACGTCGTCAATGCGGCCACGGCCGACACCACGCTCTTGCTCATCCTAGCCGCACTGCGGCGGGCCCGCATTCCCCAGGCGGCCATTCTGGAGGGCCAATGGGCGCAGCCTGGCGTCCGTCTTCCGCTGGGACGCGACCCGGTCGGGCTGACGCTCGGCATTGTTGGACTGGGCGGCATTGGCGTGGCCGTCGCCCACCGCGCTGCGGCGTTTGGCATGCAGGTGCAGTACCACAACCGGCGGCGGGCCGCAGATGCGTTCCTCAGCAACAAAGGTGTCCGTGTGACCTACGTGCCCACGCTCGCCCAGCTGCTCCGCACCAGCGACGTCGTCTCGGTGCACGTCCCGCTCTCGGACGCGACGCACCACTTGATTGGCGCCGCCGAGTTTGCGCAGATGAAGGCCGGCGTCGTCTTTGTCAATACAGCGCGCGGGCCGGTAGTGGACGAGGCGGCGCTGGTCGATGCTCTGGAGAGCGGGCACGTCTGGAGTGCCGGTCTGGACGTGTTTGAGAACGAGCCGCACGTGCATCCGGGTCTCCTCCGAAACGAAAACACTGTCCTTTTGCCACACATTGGCACAGCCACCAAGGAGACTCGCCAGGCTATGGAGGCCCTCATGCTGGAGAATGTCGAAAGCGGACTGGCAAGGGGGCAGCTCAAGACGCCAGTACCGGAATGCAGAGAGATGGAGAGCAACTGAACGTAGTATATTGCTACAGTATTTTAAATTATATTACATACTTGAAATTTCTGTCTACTACGACGAGTCTGGTAGTCCCAATGGCACAGGCCCGTCGTATTGCTGACTATCAATGGCATCAATCATGTCCTGCCACGTCACCAGATCCGTCGGCCCCGGAAACGAAAAGGCTTCCGAGAAGGGCGGCTCGCCGCTGGCTCTCAGCCGAAAGTCTGTGCCCAGCCAAGCCGCGTTCGGATCCCACGGTGAGAGGGAGACGTCTTGCAGCAGCGGTTGCCACGCATTGGCGGGCGTGCCTCCTGTTGGGAAGCCGTTGAGACCGGCATTGAGGCCGGGCTGGAGAGGGGCAGAGGCGGATGCGGGCATGGGGGCTGCCGGTGCAGCAGCCAGAGGTTCTCGTTCGGGTTCGGGTTCCGGTTCGGGTTCTGGTTCACGTTCTGGCCCTGGCTCTGGCGGTTGCGGATACTCCTGTGGTGGCAGAGACGTTTCCTGTGTCTCCCCCAGTCCCGCCCGTCTCCGTAACCGTTCAATGCACAGCTCTGCCACCTTGACTTCGGCCAGACGGAAGTCGTTGACCCAGATCTCGTTGCGCTCCTTGTCGCAGAAAGCTTGCAAGTCGTTGACGACGGGGTGGATGTCGACCCGCGTCTGGTTTACGTTTTCATTCTGTGCCCTCTTCGTCCGTTGTGTCACGGATCCCCCCGTGCGTGGAAACGTCCTGGGAAATGGCCTGGGTTGCTCCTGGATGGCAAGCAGCCCGAGAACAATAGCGCTGTTGAACAGCTGCGGCGCCCCGAGACACCAGACGTAGTGGTCGGCCGGCCCGCCGCGACCCTCGCCCGCGACGTCGTGCTCCAGTCGCGTCTTGAGGTCGGCACACGCCGATGCATAGCACACCTCTCGGCTGTAGCGGTGCTGGTCCGTAACAGAAATGCGCCAGGCGTAGGGGCGGTGCAGTGTGATGCGGGAGAAGTGGAATGCAGTATGGAGGTAAAGGCGGTGCCATTTCAAAAAGGGGCGGCTGCTGTCCAGCGAAACGTCCGTGTCCTCCAAGGCAAAGTAGGCCGGCAACGACTGCTTCCAGGCGAGCAGCTGCGCGTCGAGGCGCATGACTTCGCGGTACGACGCCGCGCGGAGGCCAAAGGTCTGTTCCTGGATGCGGCCAATGATGCGGGCCAGCCTGTACGAAAAGATGGCCAGGACGCTGGGTGTGGGATGCGTGGTGAGCGGCTCCGCCAGGGCGGCATTGGCTTCGTCGTGCCCGAGATCGTCGAGAAACACGTTTTCCGGTTCTTGCGTCAGGCTCAGGTTGTCCAGGATGCAATAGGGACGCCCCAGCGCCAAGGAAATCATCCGGTCCAGCAGGTACAGGTGGCACCACAGCCTCCGCCTGGCCTCGGTCACGCGCCGTGGCAGCTTCCAGTGGGTGCCGTCAATGTGGACGCCCTGCGCAATGGCGAGCCGCGATGCGAAGCCTGCCGTCAGCCAGCCTTCTGTGATGCGCTGCGAGAACAGACAGTACCGCGTGGCCAGGATACCCGCCCGCACCAGATCGGTGCTCTCCCCGTAGAACGACGGGGCAATCACAATGGCCCGCCGGCACGCCCAGAAGAAGCTCATCGACGCGTCCTCGTACTCGCGCTGCACTTCTGGTGGCGCGCCGCCCGGGCAGTCCAAGTAGGTGCCAATGGCGAGGACGATAAACAGCAGCGCCAGCCAGCGGATGTCGACCGTCGTGACATCGTCGAAGCCGGCCCTCCGCGAGTAGAAGCGCTCGTACTCGCGGCGGAACGAGGCCGGGTGCACTGCGTCGGCGGTGACGCTCACATGGGCCAGGAACTGGTCGACAAGACGGTCGACTGTACTTCTCTGCCGGGGCAGCATCCCCAGCAAATCCCAAAGTTGGGAAAAGGGCCCGCCCTCGTCACGGAACGGCCGCGCAATCGAGCTTCTGAGCGACATGTTGGCACCTGGCTGGACATACGGCGCGGACGTGTCGAGCAGAGCAGCCGCCGCCTGCGGTCCAAAGTAGGAACTGCCAAAGAACGTGGGGGCGCCGCGGGATTTCCACAGCTGGCCCAGCGGGGCGACATTGCCTGCACCGGTGTTGGTGGTCGTGCCCGTACTGGTCGGCCCCGGCTGACTGGCGGACCCGGCGCCGGTCACAGACGTCGTCCCAGAGCTGTTACGTGGTTGTGGGCGGCCCTCGTCAATGTTGTCCGGCTGGGCCTCGAGAGATTGTGAGTTTTCGGCGTCCTCAACTGTCGCCCGTGTCGATGTCGATCTGGGCGCCGTCGTGTTCTCTATCGTGTTCTCAGCAAGGCCAGACCCAAGACCACCCGCTTTGTCCAAGCCAGGTGCCGTGTTCGTGCTGGGAGTGCCGGCCGTGGTGGCCGACGCCGGCGTGAGAGGATGGGACGGTGACGCGGATGGACTGCCGGCACGGCCTTGACGTAGCGGTCTTGGTCGTGGCGGTGGTCGCCCCGTTCTGGCTGCTGCCCGCCGTGTCCGTCGGCGACTGCTCTGCTCTTCGCGTTGCTCGTCACGAAGCACGCGCGGCCGGCAGAGATTCTGGACCTGTCGGAGACTGCAGTTGTGACACGGGATGGTTCCGTCGCACTGCTCGTCAGTGGTGGTCACGGAGATGCGTGGCCGAACAGGGGAGCGGTATTGCCTACCTTCTGCTTCCTAGTGTGGCATTGTGAACAAGCCTTGGCAATACGGCCGCGTCGCCGGGGTGTCAGCACGCCCTCTGAAACTCCGTCAAAAATGCCTTCAGAAGCGCCTGCACCCATCCCCACGCCCAAGGCCATGGACATGATGGCTTCGGCACCCGCTTCGGCCGACGGATCGTTCGGAGATGTCTGCATCCTGACGGGGTATGAGCACGCGCTGTGCGAGGAGAATAGTGGGAGTGGGCTGTTGCTGCATAGATTGTGATTATTGTGTGGTTTGCATCGGACAGTCGGACTAGAAGAGATGTGCAAGCAAACGCGACCCTTGTTTACATCTTTATCTTGGATGTGGGAGGCAAACGGTTTACCGGGGAAGGCACGACCAGTATTTGCCAGGCGTCTTGTTTGGGAAGCCACGGCTTGTGTCGTCGAGTGTCCCGCCGGGAAGGCGCTAAGAGACAATCTCCGATGGCGCAACGATTGTCCGAAGAACGTATCAGTCGCCAAAAGAGGAAATGGTCAGAGGGGGATCGTTAGCCGTTATCCATTGTCCGAAGGCCAAACTCAGTCTGGATTAGTCTTGCTGTCAGGAATGCAACAGCGAGAGAGCGAGTCACTGACACCAATTCTGTCACCGAATACTCGGCTGCAGGCTACATCATATGCAAATAAATAAAAAACAAGAGGCGCACAGGACTTAACCAAAACATCGAATTGGCGTTGGCAAGAGGGCAGACTGCCCAGCAGCGGTTTGGGACGAGGCTCTTCAATGGTCCCTTCTAAAGGAGGAAAAAACATGTATTTACAGCGACGCCCAACTAAGCTGGCCGACATAGTATCAGGTTACCCTAACCAGTAACGATTATTAAGAAACTCTTCGGTAGTAATTCAACAGTATCAACAGTATCAATATGGTTCATGCCTATGTAGGGACTAACACGTGACCTGCTGGGCTGGTATCTCACACAGCTCACATCCCAAACGTAAACTCTTAAATAATCTTCCAACATCCTCTTCTCAGCCGCCACTCACAACGTCCTCAACTACGACCATCAGCCCTGACTCAGCACTAGCGATCCACAATCGATCCCCCTTCTACGATGGAAGAGCCTTCCGCAACTCAATGGCCAGCTGCATCACGTTCGATGCCATGAGCTGCCTGACAAAAGTCTCTTTATAACAGCAACGATGAACGACGACGAAGCACCGGCCCCCGACGTGCTATTTGCAGGCGTCGACAACGTTTTTGAGTGTCTGGTCCACCTGGACAAGAACCAGGACGTCCTTGTTGTCGGTGACGTGTCACCCACCAACTTTCGCGCCATTGAGACCGAACGCAACCGCCGGGGACAAAAGTTTCGTCTCTTTTACCAACCCGCGTGGGAATTGGTCGTCGTCACGGTGCCCACGCTCGTGCACTCCATCATGCACACCATGCTCTACGATACGGTCCGCGATGCGCTCAGGGGTATGAATGCCCATGCCGGCTGGATGTCGGTAGGTACGACGACTTTCAACGCAACCAATGGCTCGTCTGGTCAAGCAGACGCCGCGGGCTGGCCGATCGACAGCCGCAATGCAGACGACTGGCCAACGTTGGTCGTCGAGGCAGGTGTCTCCCAGACGTTGCGCCTGTCGTTGCTACAGGCCAAGATGCGTTGGTGGTTTGACGTGGCCACGTCAAATCACCAAGTCAAAGTGGTCGTCCTGGTCATGTTGGACGCCGCACGGGAGGCCATCTGCATCGAAAAGTGGGTGAAAACGCAAAAGCCGGGCCGCCCTGGAGCCACAACAACGCGCCAGGCTACGTGCTCTGGCTTGGCCGCACCCCAGCCCGTCTGCGCGCAGACCATCGACATAACCTGGGCGGGGCCCGCCCCCATTATGCAGATGCCAAAGCAAGACCGGGCGCCGGCACACTTCTGCGTAACCGGCGGTCCGCTGGTGATTGGATTTGGCGAGATTTATCTTCGCGTGCCCAACACCGAAGAGCACGACATTGCCATCGCCACTGCACACCTCCAACAGTATGCTAGTCGTCTCTGGCAATATGTGGTTTAGAGAGGAAGGCTGCGTTTCTTTGTTATATACTGTTGACACTGTTAACACTGTTGAATTACTATCAAAGACTTTCTTAATAATCGTTACTGGTTAGAGTAACCTGATACTATGTCTGCCCACCTTAGTTGGGTGTTGCTGTTAATATGGCCATGTTTTCTCCATTAGCAGGGACCATCGAATTCTAAGCGAGCCTCGTCCCAAACCGCTATTGGGTAATCTGAGAAGAGGGTGTTGGAAGATAGAGTTCACGTTTGGCATGGGAGCTGCATGTAGTGCACGTGATGTCGAAAACATCGGATGAATTTTGACAATTGTTTGTACACATAGAAAATGCAAAGGGTGTTCGAAGCGCACAATAACAGACGCTGACCATCCAGTTCGGCTTAGTAAAAGTCCGACGGTTGGTACGTTGTCGTCTGCTTCGCATGCACGAAATCTAGTCATTCTCCGAAGAGCGGCTACACCATAAATACTGTGCCACCACTCTGCACCGCGACAAAGAAAACACACACACACACAAAGCTAACCAACATGTCACAACCAGCTTCGGCGCCCCCCATCAGGGCCGTCTTCCTCGATTTTATGGGCACCTGCCTGGACTGGCACAGCAGCGTTGTCCGTGCACTGCCGACGTCACTCACAGAAGAAACCCGGTCGGATTTGGCCTTGGCGTGGCGGCAGGCATTTTTCGACGACATCCGCAGCCGGCCCCCCGGTGAGGCCCCAGAAGACATTGATGTGGTCCACGAGCGGCTGTTGAGGCGGTTGCTGGAGGAGGGGCTGCGCACCAATGTTGCCCACGCCTTCTCGGACGCCAGCATCACGGAGGCCGTTCAAGCATGGCACCAAATGACGGCCTGGCAAGACGTGTATGCAGGGCTGGCAGCGGTCCGCCAGCAGCTGGGCGTCGAAGTCTTTGTCCTCGCCAACGGCACCACGCGCTTGCAGCTGGACCTTGTTCGCTCGTCGGGCCTGGCGCCCGTCATCGACATGCTCTTTTCGAGCCAGCTGCTGGGCGTGGCCAAGCCGACGCCCGAGATCTACAAGCGAGCACTCGACTTGGTGGGCCTCGGCCGCGACGGTCCCGGAGGAGCGGTCATGGTGGCGGCGCATGCGTACGATCTGCGCGCGGCCAAGGCAGTGGGACTACGGACGGTGTACATTCGGCGGTGGACGGACGACTTGGACGAAACGGACGACGAACTGTTGGTGCGGGAAAACGATGGCTACGTTCTGGATGACTTTGCAGGATTGGCGGAGGTGTTGAGAAAGATGCAGTCAGCATCCGATGGTCGTTGAGTCAAATGTTGAGGCCAGCAAATCAACCGCGGCATATTTGCCAGCGAGCTGTACAGCGAGTGCCGGCGGCCGCTGAGGAGGCCGACATTGGGGCTGCGGTGTTTGGGTACAAGAAGCACGCAGACGGTGACGAGGGTGTCGGCACTATGGACCTGACAGAGGCGACGCCATTGCTGTTGGGGACGATGTAGAGGTTGTGCTGTCTGCGTTTGTACTGCTGTCTTTGGTTTGGTTTTGTTGTTATGATTATTGTTATTTTGGATTCTGTGCTTTGTATGAGATTAGATACCGAAATTTTATGCATTTTGTAATGTTAAGTAGAAAGTTTCTTTTTAACTACTTTAATAGCAATGCGTGTATTTTTTATTTTTATTTTTATTTTCATGTTGCTAACAAAGTCCTTTTTCTACATTTTCTAATAAATCAACAAAACCTGGGGAAATATTGATGGATAAAAAAAAATCACTTGGAATACGCCCGGGGATCATACGATACCCGTTACCATGTCTGGATTGGCCCTGAGACTTTTTCTCTTTCAAAGCACATGGTCCTCGTATCCAAATTAAGCTTTAACCTTGTTTTCCTCTTTCACCCAGCCTTTCTTTGGTTAGTCCACCCGTACATGTAGATTTCTTTCTCGTATTGCGACACAGGCCATGTGCAGAGCCGATTACCGAGACAATTATTCGACTTTGGTCTTGACAGTGTACGTTTGATGTTTGACATGTCCCGCCAATGGCCGCCAACAAGTGCACCAAATGGGCTCAGTGGTGACGAAGAGCAGCTTCCCCAGACTCGACCATGTAGCGACGTCACAGAAGGCGGAGTACCGACTCGCGCCTCTTGGTAACTGCCGTAGTTCATTCGCACGTTGTACGACATGTGTTTGTAATACAGAGCAAGACCCTGCACCGGGTACATTCGTACATGCCCGTTTTTGCTTTGCAGATACGTGGTAATTACATGGGGACGGTGCATCGCATCGTCGTGGTTGCCGGTATGGATAATGGACACAAGATAGGACTGGAGTCAGTTCGAACCGGAAGTCACACAGAGCTCACCGAGACTTGTGCTAATGTGGCACGGGGGTCTGAGACAATGGATACGAAATAGACATTGCCGAACTTGTTGCGACTGAAAGGCTGCAAGTTCTGTTGCATCCAATTTGGACACTTTGTACGAAGCACGACAGAACAGTTTACAAGGCCAGAAGCAGGATAGACTCAGCACAGTGTCTCATGGCGATAGTCTTACAATTTAATTGCGCGGTAAACTGGACAGATGTGCCAGTTCTCTCCCTGCCGCGGTTCTGTTCCCTGTTTCGTTGTCTTTCCTTTCTCCCTCATTGTCGGTCAAATCAAATTGGCGAGAAATCGTGACACCTACAGTTTGTAATTTGCTTGATGCGTGCAACCACTCCGAATATAGGATAGGTTTTCAGGGGCCGCAAACTGGGGGCTGTATCTGGAGTTGGAGACCATTTATCACGGTCCAGACCGTGGCTGGCTAGAATATCCAGATCTGGCCCTGTGCACTTCACACCCCTGTATCCTTCGCTTCCACTGGGCTTGGCGGGTGAACTCTGCCCTTCGTCCTCTTTTCTTGGCCTGGTGTTGAAAGAGAAAGCGATCTACTGTCTACTTCGTACTGGCGCCTGGGATTGAAGATGTCTGCAGCGAAACAGGGATGCAAAACACTGAGAGGTACGCCCGATGGCCTCTGACGACTTTCGGTTGCGTGTGATATTGTCGGCTGACCCTTTCTCCTTAGCAGTCAGCCTCCATTTCGATTCCGTTGTCAAAAGGGGTAGGGAGGATGAGATGATTAGTGAATGCGACCAAAAAAAAAAAAAAAAAAAAAAAAAAAAAAACGCGACACATGCGAAATACGACTTGTAATTACGACCTTTAAACATTCTCCCATTTGCCAATATTCTGTATCTTCGCTCTAGCGCTCCCTGGCCCCTGTTCATCTTGTGGGCCCCTCGCGCTGGAAACGTTGACCGGAAATTGCCCTTTGTCAGTCTGCTTAGGCCTTTTTTGTGCTTTTTCTTTGTCGACTCCTTCTCACCAAGAACTAAGATATTTCTTACCAGTCGTTCAGTGCTTTTCTTAGGATACCCCTCAGCCCCTTTATCGATCGCCTATTTCTGTACATTCCTTTTTTATTTCCCCTTCTTTTCAACGCGGCTCAGCGGGTGAGCCGGTGGTTAAGGAACTCTAGGGTTCAAAGAAAAAGGGGGAGACGACGAAAATGGAATACGATTTCGTCTTTTCTTCCCACCCGGTCACCATTCGTATTACCACTTATTCTGTACTTCGTAGTTTTTGTATCTGACGTGACAAACTGTACAAACATCATTCTGACCCATTCAACCATTGTGTCGTAGGGCATGAGGGCATGCAATCAACGTTGCTTCACTAAAGGTACGTCTTGGCGACGACCTTCATTTCTGGTCCCATAATTCTTTCCACAATTCTGCCCACCTTTTTTCCAGCACTTCCCACAAGCCACATTTTCCCCCGTCCTCCAGCATCATCAGCATTCCTCAGCCCATTCTACGACCCGCTGAGCAAATGAGCTGCTTCACAATTGTCCAGATCGCTCCCCACTGGCCACAAATCTGCAACACCGCCGAGACCATGTCACAGAATCGAGAGAATCTCGGCGGCCGATGTTTAGAGCACGCCGTTTCCCGTCATTTCCATTCCAGTTGATCTTGGCTCGCTTTTGATGTACACTAGACACTCAGACACTGTACCGAGATTCACACGATCGTCCTTTTGTTTTGGCCCGCTGTTTTGTTTCAGTCAAACAGCAAGTCATGGCATCCGTTTGCGTCTGTCTCGGACGAGCCTCAGACGCGCCTGTTTGTCTTTTTGCGTCTACGGCGTACAGACGTCGTTCTCAGCTGATTGTGTCCCGAGAATAGTGTGCATGTTCGATTTCATCTCAACATGGACTCCCGCTAGATTTTGTATCCCTACCCTGCATGTACGCCGGCGCATCCCCCGTAGACATGCATGTAATGTTGCGAGCACAGCCACAACCGTGGTACGAAATAATTCCGCACCTAATTACTGTCAAGGTAATTGTGTGCGTCTTGCAAGCTCGTAATTCTACGACCAATACGACACACCTCCCTCCCTCCCACTGCATTCTGTGGCTTTTTTGTGCCAAATTTAATCAACCTTATTTTGAGGGGAGCCGCCCGCTGTCATTGTATCTCACCTTGTTCCGCCGCTTGAGACTTTTTCCTCATCACGGACCCTCTATGCCCCATTTGGTTGTAGGTCGTGCCTTGCCTTGTCTGGCCTCTTCGTTTCTGTCTATTTCTTTTTCGTTTCATTTGCTGCGGAAATTTTAGTATGCTCGGTTTCGCGCTCGCCTCGTAGCTGCGCCGTTTGAGTCGTGTCGGCCGTATCGTGGCTCCAAGTTGTCTCGCTGTCTCGTTGTGTCGATTATCGCGTTATGCCCTTTCATGACCACAACCAGCGTCACTCGCCACCTCCACGTTTTTTCTGCCCCCTTCATCTGCGATAATATACGACTACTGACCTTTCTTCGAACCGCGTCGCGTTGTCCACTCTGTATTTCGTACACTGCTGATCTTTTTCCAGTCGTCCTATTTGTGTGCACCTGAATGCCAACGACCTCTTAGTCAGCCGTCAGGTCGTCATCCACCACCATCCACCGCCGACCCTTGGGCTCACCCCCCCTGTTGACGGATCGACACTTGCCCTTGCCTTCCATCATCTTGGCTCCAAGTGCTTGACTTTGCGGCCTATTTGTCCCTTTTCTGAATCCGTCCCGTTCTCCTTTATTGTCTGGTCATTCTGTCGACCTTCTTGCTTCCTGTCGTCTTTCTATCCTTGCCCTTTCACTCGTTCTCGCTCTGTCTGCGCTGTCACTCGCTTTTCGTCCGGTCTGCCTTCCACCGAAACCATCTCCGCATCGTTCTTGTTTTGCTCGTTCTCGTATCATTTACATTCATTTTCACCATACCGCCTGCTCCACCCACTCCGCCCTTTGATTTGGTGTTTTACGACATCTTCGATACCACGAACTCGGCTACGGAGAAACAAACCGAGAGACGAGACAGGACGATAAGACAGGACGACAAGACAACAAATACGACGGCCCTTCGCATCGAAACCTACTGGCTGCGGTTGACTCACGGCACTCGTCTCCGCTACTCTCGACCGTATACACTTGTACCCTCGACAATACCCACGAAAACACTCGACTCGACTCGTATATTACGACCTGTCCCGAACTCTCTCATTCTACCCTCGACGACCACGACGACATCAGCAGCAGCGACGACCTTCACCAACCGTTGACGCGCCTATGAATCAATTCTAGGTGGTCGTTCCGTGTCTCCTGCCCTCCCCGTCACGCTTCACCATTGCAAGCACACCGTCACACAGCGCAACATGGCCAACGCCGCCCTCCGGGGTCTCCGGCGATGGGCACACGCCCAGATGCAGCCGCTGTACAACCAGCTGCCAACCGACGCGGACAACGACCGAGAAAAGGAAAAGGAACAGGACATGGCGATTGAGATTAGCAGCGTGGGCAGCAGCCGGTCCGGGAGCAGTGGAAGCGGCAGCAGCAGAAGCCCAGAGAGCCCACAGACGTCACACGGCGAGCCGCGGTTTGGACATGGGCGGACAGCGAGCAGCGTCAGCAGCGTCCACCGGCCACGAACACGACTGGCCGCGGCGGTGGCGGCCGTGATGGCGGTGCCGCTGGTCCTGCTGCGGCTTGTCTACCTGCTGTGGCTGCTGGTGACGGCGCCGTTCCGGCGGATCCTCCGACTCTTTGTCCCGTCGGCATCAACCTCGACGGCGACGGGCGCATCGTCGTGGCGGGACCTGTACGAGCAACTGGAGGAATTCCAGCTGCTCGTCCCCTCGTTCCTCAAACCCAACGCCGGCGGGGGACCGCCCAAGCGCATGCACCCGACGGCCTGGCTCGACGGCCTGCGCGGCGTCGCCGCCTTCTTTGTCGTCTGGCACCACGCCAGCCTGCTGTGGTTCGGCTGGCACGTGCACGCGGGCTACGGCAGCGCCGCGGGCGAGCGCTACCTCGTGCAGCTGCCCATTGTGCGCCTCTGCATCTCGGGCCCGCCGCACGTCGCCGTCTTCTTCATCGTCTCGGGCTTTGCCCTCTCCTACAAGCCCCTCCGCCTCTCGCACCAGGGCCGCGTGCGCGAGGCCGACGCCGCCATCGGGTCGTCCGTCTTTCGCCGCCACACGCGCCTCTTCCTCATGCCCGTCGCCGTCTCGTTTGTCGCCTGCCTGATGACGTACTTCGACCTCTACGGCGCCAAGAACTGGAAGGGCGTCGCGCTGCCGAGCCGCCGGCCGCCGCAGGCCCACTCGCTGTCCGGCCAGCTCATGCACTGGCTCCGCAGCGTCTCGCAGCTCACCGACCCGCTGTCCAAGTCGCTCCACCGCGGCGGCACCTTTATGTACGACCAGAACCTCTGGACGCTGCCCGTCGAGTTCGACTGCTCGCTCGTGCTGTTTCTGTGCCACGCCGCCTTCAACCGCTTCCGCCCGCGCGTGCGCATGCTCTTCGTGGCCGGCATTGCCCTGTTTGCGATCCTCTACATTTACTGGGAGGCCTACCTCTTTTTGGTGGGCATGCTGATTTGCGACCTGCACCTGGAGCTCGAGGGCGTGGGCCAGCCGAAGCCGCCGGCGGCCACAGATGCGACAGCCACCGGCAGCGGCAACGACGGCTCGACCGTCGCCATGGGCGTCCGCCCGTCCTCCGCTCGCTCCCTCCTCGTCCGCATCGCCATGCGCCCCGTCGCGGCGCTCCGCTGCCTCCCCCGTCCGTCCGCCGCGTTTGTCAAGCGCCACCGCACCGCGCTGGGCGTCGCCGCATTCGTCGTCGGGCTCTATCTCTTGTCGATCCCCGAGGCCGGCCGCGGCGGCGGCAAGACGCCCGGCTACATCACCCTGTCCCAGTGGGCGCCCCGCTACCACCGCGCCAAGGGCAAGGTCGACGACTGGTACATGCCCCTCGCCGCCACCATCATCGTCGTCGCCATCGAGCGCACCCCGGCCCTCCAGCGGGTGTTCATGCACCCGCTGCCCCAGTACCTCGGCTTCATCAGCTTCTCCATGTACGTGCTGCACGGCACGGTGCTCTGGACCGTCGGCCACTGGACCGCCCGCAAGGCCGTGGCCCTGACCGGGTCGGCGACGGACTGGCAATACGGCCTCGGCATCGCCATGTGTGCCGTCGTCGTGTGGTTCATCATCATCGTGCTGTCGGACCTCGTGGCCCGGACCGTGGACAAGCAGGCCGTGTCGGTGGGCCATTATTTGTATGCCAAGTGTGTGCGGCCGGAGCCGCCGCAGGACGTCCTGCCGACGCGGCGGGAATGAAGCGCGCGTGGTTTGTTTGCTTTTTTGTTTGTAATTGCTCTTCTCCATTTTCTTCTAGCAGGCGAACATCTCGGGGTTACGTTCTTGTCCAGTCCATTTTCATTTTTCATTTGTTTTGGTCACACCGTCTTTGTCTCACAGGAAGCGACAAGACACGCATAGAGCGTATAGCCATGTAGGCGTTTCAATATTCAATATTTAATATTCAATATCAATATGTGACAACAGAGAATCGCAATGCGACAAAGCAAACAGATCGCAGAGTCTGCCCAATGTGTTTAACTGTCGTCAGTGAAGAACCAGGGGAAGTAATACCCTTCGAAACAGCATTGCCCATGCCAGCTGCCTGCATTGCAACCACGGCAGATGCTTTGTGCTCTGTTTGCTGGATTTCAAGGCTCGTGTCACTGATGTGGTGGCATCGACGCAAAACGGCGAATATTTATGTCGCAGTAAGATACAATACACAGCTCATTACAGCGACTGCCCGCCCCTATTCTGCCACGTGCTCGAGCCGGTGTTTTTGTAGCGACAACCTTCCGGCGCTCGTTTCCAGACCCTGTATGTCGTACTTTTACAGTGGATAATCTCCTTTAATTCGGTGGACAGATGCCTCGGCTATTGTCAGTATTTACTCATCTCCAGCACAATTGGCCCTTCTGAGCCGCATATTTACAGTGGTTCGTGCAGCCAGAGCCCCCACTTGAGCTGCCCAGCGTACGAAGCCCGAACTACAAATAAAGCCTGGCTTCTCCACTGAAGCAGAGTGACGACAGCGGCGTAGGTGTTCCTGGCCACTAACACATAAAATACGACGTACGGCATAAGTGGCGTATGCACTGCTCGTTTTCGTTTACATCTTCCCCGGCTCACCAAATCCACATACTGCCACTCTCTCAACACGTCGTTTTCCTTCCCGCAGCTAATTGCTCATTATTACTTGTTGCAGTCACGTCTCGCCGCCCCTTTTGGGCTCCTTATGGTACGACAGAATGTAGACACAGCTGCACTATAAACTTTGTATTGACTTTAGTGGTGACAGTGATTTACCCCTGGTGGCTTACTTTGTACATACCGTAGTTTTGCTCGTGCAACGGCAACTAGGACAGCAAGTACGACCGAAGCAGACGCTCCATTAACATCGTGGGAAGGAGCGATGCCAGGAGTGGAGCATGGCCTCGGAAGCTTTCTCCTGTGCGGATCGCAACGATTGGGACTCTTGTGCAGTCCGTCGAGCCTGTCTCGGATCCCACCGATCTTTAGTGCTTTTGTACATGTATTCATCGCTTTATTTTATTTTTTCTTTGTGCCCCTGTCTCGCGTTAGCCAGATTTGCAGGTCCTTCAACTTCTTTGTATATGTGCTGCCCCTCTCCGCTGCGTCATCGTTCCTTCCTTTGTTTTGCTCCTTGCTGTTCCTTCTCGAATTGCAATGCGTTGAGCTTGTACCTTCCACTTTGAGCCATTGGTGCTGCAAAGCCCCATCTACATCATCATCGTCGACCTCCTTTTCCCCTTTTCCGCTTCGCTTCTTCCCCTCTTCCCTCTCGCCATGGACATCGGCACAGAACAGATCCCGTCACCGCCAGGCCTGCCGCTCATCGGCAACCTGCGCGACCTCGACGTGGCCGCCCCCATCCAGTCCATCAATCGCCTCGCCGAGCAGTACGGCGACATCTTCCGGCTCAACATCGTCGGCACCACATCCGTCTTTCTGTCCAGCAACGCCCTCGTCAACGAGGTGTGCGACGAGAAGCGCTTCAAGAAGAACGTCGGCAACGTCCTCAAGCAGGTCCGCAACGGCGTCCACGATGGCCTCTTCACGGCCTTTGGCGAGGAAGAGCCCAACTGGGGCAAGGCCCACCGCATCCTGACGCCCGCCTTTGGGCCGCTGTCCATCCAGAACATGTTTGACGACATGCACGACATTGCCACCCAGCTCGCACTCAAATGGGCGCGCCGCGGCCCCAGCGAGCCCATTCATGTGACGGACGACTTTACCCGCCTCGCCCTCGACACGCTGGCCCTCTGTGCCATGGACTACCGCTTCAACTCCTTCTACAGCGAAGAGATGCACCCCTTTATCAGCGCCATGGGCAACTTCCTCGTCGAGTCCGGCAACCGTAGCCGCCGCCCACCGCTGCCGGCCATGTTCTACAAGGCCGCCGACCAGCAGTATGCCGCCGACATTGCCACCATGCGTGCCGTCTCCGACGGCGTGGTCAATGCCCGCCGCGCACAGAACCCGCCGTCCGAGCGGAGGGATTTGCTGGCCGCTATGCTGAGCGGCACCGATCCGCGGACCGGCGAGACCTTGGACAATGCCTCCATCACCAACAATCTGATTACCTTTTTGATTGCCGGCCACGAGACGACCTCGGGCATGCTGTCGTTTGCGTTTTACGACCTCCTGCGGCACCCAGAGGCCTACAGCCGCGCCCAGCACGAGGTCGACGACGTCTGTGGCACCGGGCCCATCACCGTCGACCAGCTCCCCAAGCTCAAGTACATTGCCGCCGTCCTGCGCGAGACCCTGCGCCTCAACGCCACCATCCCGGCCGTTGGCGTCACCGCCCGCAAAGACGAGACGCTGGCCGGCGGCAGGTTCTTTGTCAAGGGCGGCGAGAACCTGGTCATGCTCCTCATGCGCGCCCAGGTCGACCCAGTCGTCTTTGGCGACGACGCCCGCTCGTTCCGCCCCGAGCGCATGCTCGACGAGAGCTTTGAGCGCCTCAACAAGGCGTTCCCCAACTGCTGGAAGCCCTTTGGCAACGGCGCGCGTGCCTGCATTGGGCGGCCCTTTGCCTGGCAGGAGGCCTTGCTGGTCATGGCCATGCTCCTGCAAAATTTCAACTTCCGCTTCGACGACGCAAGCTACCAGCTGCGCCTCAAGGAGACCTTGACCATCAAGCCCGACGGTTTCTTCATGCGCGCCCAGCTGCGCCAGGGCCTGACACCCACATTGCTCGAGAAGCGACTCGCGGGCACGCCCACCGACAGCAGCAAGACCGCCTCGGCCTCGTCTACGCCCAAGAATGGTGCCGCTGCCGCCAGCACCACTGGAAGGCCTCTCAACGTGTACTACGGCTCGAACAGCGGCACATGCGAGGCCATGGCCAACCGCATCGCCGCCGACGCACCTGCCCACGGCTTCCACGCCGATGTCCTTGCACCCCTGGACGCCGCCCACCAGGCCTTGCCAACCGACGGCCGCCCCGTTGTCATTGTTACTGCCTCGTACGAGGGCGAGCCCCCAGACAATGCCGGCCTCTTCGTCAACTGGCTGCGCAACGGCAAAGCGGGCGACGCGGTTGCCAAGGGCGTCTCGTATGCAGTCTTTGGCTGCGGCCACCACGACTGGGCACAGACCTTCCACAAGATCCCGACGCAGGTCGACAGCCAGCTGGAAGTGCTCGGCGGCGAGCGGCTGGCCACCATGGGCAAGACCGACGCCGCTGAGGGGAACATGTTTGAAGACTTTGAGACCTGGGAGGACACTGTCCTGTTCCCGGCGCTCAAGGCCAAATACAACGTGGGTAGTGGCGATGCGAACGGCAAGGGTGGTGACGCTGCTGCTGCCGCTCCCGTACCCGACCTGCGCATCGAAATCTCCACGCCGCGTGCGTCGAACCTGCGCCAAGATGTGCGTGAAGCCGTCGTGGTCGCCGCCCGCTCGCTGTCGGGCGAGCCAGGCGAGCCCGGCCGCAAGATGCACGTCGAGATCGAGCTGCCGACCGGCATGACCTACAATGCCGGCGACTACTTGGCCATCCTGCCCTTCAACCGGCAGGCGTCCATTACGCGCGCCATGCGTCGCTTCCACCTGCCGTGGGATGCCAACCTCACCGTGCACACGAACGACGGCGGCTCCGACTCGACACAGACGAACCTGCCAACAAACACGCCACTGCCGGTCTACGGTGTCCTTGGTGCCTACGTCGAGCTGGGCCAGCCAGCCACGAAGAGGGTGCGTCTCCATTCCGGTCGTATTGACTTGAATTGCTAATCCTATCTTGCTCCCGATCTTCCCATCTCCCTTCATACCGTCACCCTACCTACTCATACTAACTGCAACATTAGAGCATCCTTGCCCTCGCTGACGTGGCTGACGGCCAGGCCAAGACGGACCTGCAGCGCCTCGCCAGCGACGACTACACCAGCGAGGTCAGCGCCAAGAAGGTGTCCATCCTCGACCTGCTCGACCGCTTCCCCTCGGTGGACCTGCCCTTCGGCACCTTCTTGGCGCTGCTGCCGCCCATGCGCGTCCGCCAGTACTCGATCTCGAGCTCACCTCTCTGGAACGCCAATCATGTCACCCTGTCGTACGCCATCTTGACGGCCCCTGCACTGGCCGACGAGTCGCGCAAGCACGTGGGCGTCGCGTCCCACTACCTGTCGAACCTCCAGCCGGGTGACCGCCTTCACGTCGCGGTCCGCCCCAGCCATGCCAGCTTCCACCTGCCGCACGACGCGGAGAATGTGCCGATTGTGTGCATCGCCGCCGGCACCGGTCTCGCACCCTTCCGTGGTTTCATCCAGGAACGTGCGGCCCTGATCGGTGCCGGTCGCCATCTGGCACCCGCGCACCTCTTCTTCGGCTGCCGTGGCCCGGCCGACGATTTGTACCGCGACGAACTCGACAAGTGGGAAGCCCAAGGCGCCGTCACCGTCCACCGCGCCTACTCGCGCCAGACGGATCGTAGCGAAGAAACACACGGCTGCAAGCACGTCCAGGACCGCCTCTGGCACGATCGCGAGGACATGGTCGAACTCTGGCAGCAGGGCGCGCGCGTGTATGTGTGCGGATCGCGCCGGCTCGGCGAGGGTGTCAAGCAGACGCTGCTGCGGATGCGCCAGGAGGCGCGTGCGGCCGCGGGCAAGCCGGAGACGGAGGAGGAGACGGATGCGTGGTTTGCGCGCATCCGGTACGAGCGGTACGCCACGGACGTGTTTGACTAGAGGCCCGCCGAGCCGGGACCCGAGCCAAAGGGGAGGATGGTCGTAGCGTAGCAAGCAACAGCCGTGCCAGCAGTCATGTAAAAACGCCCATAGTCTCCCAATCGTAATGAATCTTTGCCGTCGTTTTGACTCCTTTTCCGTGTCCCTCTTTTCTGTGTCTCTCAAATCATATCCTCGTCTTCGTCGTCGTCGTCGTCGTCGTCATCGTAGGCACCCGCGGCACCACGAGCGCCACCCGCACCGCCCATCAAGTCTTCTTCGTCGCGCCGGCTCGCCTCCGCGGCCGCGCCCAGTTTCCGCACCCCGTCGTGCACGGCCGCCACCAGCCCGCGCGCTTCCGCCAGCTCCATGGCCCCGATGCCGCGCAGGTTGACAATCGCCGGCGCCGGTTTGCGCGCCAGCGGATGCTGCGCACGGGCCGCCACCGCGTCCGGGCCGGCCGCCGCCACGGTCGCGAGGTGCCGCACTTTGGCGGCGCGGGCCTCGGCGAGGTCCCGCAGCAGGGCGCGGACCTCGCCGACGGGGGCGGGCAGGTCGTCGGGGGCGTGGGCCAGCAAGATCTCGGCGACCTCGAACCAGTGGTAGGGCAGATAGCCGGCGGGCGCGTCGGCCGTGCAGGAGGGCAAAAAGGGCGGCGACAGCGAGATGGGGGCGCCCAGCAGCGGATCGCCGACGAAGCCATGGACCGACTGGCCGTTGTGTTGGCCCCGCTGGCCACGGTCACCGTAGTGGCCGTGTTGGCCATTGACCCGCCGCGCGTTGCCCGCGCCGTCGGCTCGCACGGGCGGCGGCGGCGGCGGCGCAAACTTGACGCGCGTGCCGTCGCCGTCGTCGCCGTCGTCGCCGCCGTCCTCAAATCCTTGCGTACCGTGCCGCTGGTTGTCCCGCTCGGCGGCCGGGTCGTCGGGTGTCTGGTTCTTGGTCTCGAGCACGACCAGCTCGCGCAGGCTGGCCGGGTGCAGCCAGGGCGGGGCGACGATGCTGGCGCGGCGCTGGCGCTTGAGCAGCAGCGCCAGCCACAGCGGCAGGACGGCGCGGTAGGGCGGGCGCAGCTGGGGCGTGGCGCCGCCGAGGAGGGGGATGGGGTCGAGGCGCTGGCGGGGCACGACGGTGACGTGTTCCATTTCGCAGACAAAGGCGACCTCGGCGGGGAGGAGGCCCGGCGGGAAGGACGAGGCCATGGCAAGAGAATTAATTGTAGGTGTGAATGGGCGCGGATTGACGAGAACTGGGGGAATGGGAAGGTCGTCGTCTCTTCTGTTCTTCAGAATCCTTTTTCTTACATTGAGACGCGCTTGACGCGTCCCGGTCAGTTTAGCTTAACCTCCCCGCGATCTGCACATAGTGGGGTATGCACCTAACCCGTGTTTACTCGACCGCTGCCCCTTTTCGCAATTCACTCTCTGCGATGTCATACAACCTCTTTTCTCATTACAATTCTGGAGTTCTACAATTTTACTTTCCTGGAACTTTATTCATATATTCATTTGCACCCCGATTGACACATTGTCACTCCTGTTTTATCTACCGCCATGGAATCCCCGATGCACGCAAAAGCCCCCCAACCCAACCATCCAATGCCATCCTGTATAACTGTGAAGTTGCCCATCTTTCTTTTGTATATTTTCCCTGGCCGTTCCCATACCGTACTGTTCATTCACTTTCCGTTCAATAAATGACCACCAGACCACCAGACCACCAGACCACCGGACCACCACCACCACCCCCTTATCGATCCCACCTGACCGTCTGTGTCAGCTTCTCAAACTTGCCCGTCGCCTTGTTCTTCACCCACGCCGTCATCTGTACCTCGGGCTTTGTCTCGTCGAAAATCGCTTCGCGTTGGCGCAGGCGGAGCCATCTGGGTGTGTTAGCAGGATGTCATCAGATGTCATCAGCGGGCATCAAAGGGCATAAGAGTGGGTGGTTACATGCGCGCTTCGCGCAATCCGACGTACTGTTCATAGAGGCTCCCTTCGGTCTCGTTTTCGGCTTCAATCACCCGGTTCCAGTCCGCAATCGCCCACAGAATCTTGCTGTCCCAGAACCCGTCGCGGCGCGGGTACGCAGCCAGCAACCGGATGGACTCGTCGCGCACGGCCTCGACGCGGCACTTGCACGAGACGACAAAGAGGGCCATGGTGGGGCCGTTGTCCATGGTGAAGAGGTCGCCGCTGCCTGTGCCGCCTGTGCCACCTTGGCCGCCTGTACCACCATTGCCGCCATTGCCGGGGCTTGGGCTGCCTGATGGCGGCCCGAAAATGGAGGACGCTCCACCGCCAAACGGCGACCAGGCATACCGCGGCTGCTTGGGGAGGATGAGGGTGGCCAGCCGGTTCAGCTCGCGGAACTGTGGAGTCAGCTGGTACATGGCCTCGTAGTCCGAGTAGACGAGGGACGAGACGCCGATCCACGCCAGCAGGTAGGGGATCTTGAGGCTGGCGGCACGGAAGTAGGCGGCCTCGGCGGCCGCGGCAGCAGTGGCAGACGCCGGGTCGCCGCTGCCGCCGCTGCCACCGGGGTGTGCGCCCTGGCGCCGTGTAGCCTCGTACAGCGGATAAAACGCGGCGTACCAGCGTTCCAGGCAGTGCAGGTAGTCGCGCTGGATCTCGCGGGCGCCGGGGACGTCGCAGATGTCGAGCATGCGGCCTGCCGCAGTGGCGCGGGCGGCGGCGTCCGGATTCTCGTCCATGTAGCGCTGCAGGGCGGCGACCATGTAACGGGGGAACTGGAGGATCCAGTGCTGGACAAAGTCCCACCAGCGGCGGGCGTCGTCCAAGGTATCGAAGCGGGCGGGGATGGTGGCGGGGTTCAAAGCGTCGAGGGCTTGGAACTTGATGTCGGCCGGGCGCGTGCGGCGCAGGCGGAAAACACCGAGGGACCAGGCCTGGAAGTCGAGGCGGCGGAAGACCTGCATGACCTCGTCTTCGAGGACGTAGGGCGCAGGGGAGCGGGTCAACACGCGGGTCAAGCTGTCCGAGGGGCGGTCTTCGCTGAGAGTGGTGCGGTGTCCGTTGTGTCCGTCGTGTCCGGTGGCTGTGGTGCTTGCCGTATCGGCGGTGCTGTTGCTGTTGCGGGTGCCGGCCGGGTCGTTCTTCTCCGCCAGCAGACCGAGTTGACGGTCCCGCTGGCGCTGGCGCTTCCGCCGTCGCTGCCACTCGATGTCGCTGTCGGTGCCGGCCAGAAAACTGGCCTCGTCGGGCGGACTGTAGGCCTGAGCCTCGGACAGGGCACGCGGCGGCAGGTTCCGGGCCACAAACTGGTCGACTATCTGCAGGCCGCTCGTGATGTGGCGGAGGGCGGCCTCGCGATTGCCCTGCAAAGCCTCGAAGCAGACAAACAGCAGGCAGCAGAGCACGGCGGCGCGTTCTTTCTCGGCGGAGGGAGGTGTCGCGGGGTTGTTGTCGGTGTAGAGCTCCTGCACTAATGTCGGATTGTTGGAGGGCCCGGTGGAGATGGAGCCGGGGGCCGTGCGTCCACCGCCGCCCAGACGAATGAGGCGGAGTGCGTGGCCATGGTACGTCAGAGCGTTGCGGTAGTGAGGCACGACGCTGCTGGCGGAGACGGAGGGGTCGGCGGGCGATGGCAGTGCAGGTGCGGCGGCGCCACCGTCTGGCAGTTGTCCGCCAGTGGGTTGGCCACCGCCAAGCATGTGGAGGTAGGACTTGCCCAGCAAGGCTGGCGACATGGCCTGCGCCATGGCGCCAATGGCGATGGCAGCAAAGCGGACGGCGGGCTCGTCTCGGCACAGCTGCGGGATGGTGCTGGTCCACAGGTGGGAGGGGAACCAGCCGCCGCCGAGGTTCGGCGCAAGTGTTAGCCAGCTGTCAAAGTAGGCCTTTTCCCATTGCGAGGCGAACATGACGCTGTTGTAGTTGGGTTCGAGCGGGAAGGACGACGACGCAGCGCCGCCATTGATAAGGGCCAGGTCAAAAAACGGCTGGGCAAACGTGTTCCGCTGGGCCGCGACAGCGCCTGGGGCATGGGTATAGTAGACGTCATAGGCATCGTTGGTGCAGTACTCGGCCTCGACTCCGTAGCCGTTGTCGTCGCCGTCGTCTTCGTATTCGCGTTTGTATGCTGTCCGTGTACGCGGGTATTGTGGCGTGGGTCGTTTTGGCTGCCATGTCGGCTGCCGTGCCGACGGCTGTGGGCGCGAGGCGACACTGGCTTTGCCGTTGACGTCGCCCAGATTGGTCGGGTGGTAGAGGCGGGCTCGTTGCGTGTCGATTTCGTCGTCGAGGCCGGGTTCGCGCTTTATGTATGGGGCAGTCGGTCTTGCTGTCGCTGCTTGCCTTGGTGTGACTGCTGCCGAAACGGGTACAGGCACAAATTCGGTGGCCGAGACGTCAGAAGCCGGCGTTGTCCGCCGGGAGCCTATTGTGGCCGACGAGGAGGACGTGGAGGGTGCGCCGTCTGGGTTGGGGTAGTTGTTTGTATTTGTGGGAACGCGCAGCCGCGGGCTGTTGGATGTGCGTGGCGCGCCAGGCGGCGTCCCAGCAGGGGTTGTCGTCGGCGTCGCTCGAGGTGTCGTCTGTGGTCGTGCCGGTGATGTCGTCGCCGGTTGTGAAGCAGCCGCGGCGGCTGCCACCGACGCAGTTGCATCTGCTGGCACCGATTCGTATCCTTCACAAAATCCCTGCCACTTGATGCATCGGCTACACGACGGCTTGGCCTCGTCGCATTTGACGTGCCGTTTTCTGGGTGGTCAGTATGTCGTCCAGTTGTCCGTACTCTCACCAGACGTTCTCATGTCGATTGTCACGATCCGTTGTCCTACTCACTTGCCTGCATCGCGTTAGGTCTGTCCAGTACCAAGATGAAAAAAGAAATGGCAGTCGTAGCTCAAAACAAGACCTCAAAAGGCATCACGAAACGTACATGTTTTGCACCCTGTCCGAACTTTGGGGACGCTGGCGCGGGTGGCGCGAGGCCGATGGTTCAGGGCAAACGTCAAGACCTTGGGGCCCTGCTGTTGCTGTTGTTGCTGTAGTTGCTGTTGCTGTTGCTGTTGTGATTGTTGTGAATGTTGCATCGGCTGTGTGGACGGCGGGCCAGGCGGCAGTCTGCTCAGTGTCAGTGTCGGAGAGAGAGTCATCGCCATTGTGAGATTGTGAGGGGGAAGTTGAGGCTGGCATTTGGTGTTGAGAGTAGAAAAGGGGATGGAAGCCGAGAAAGTTGAATTTGAATCGAAATGGGAAAGAACCAAAGGATGACTTCTTTCCATATTTTGCTTTAGACTCACCTGAAATCAGAAGGAGCGCCTGCCGTGGTTCGCACCTTCTGTGAGGACGAGCCACTTCCGGGTGCAGTTGCATCTGCCGCGCCACTCCCACTGCCACTGCCACTGTTGTCACTCCGGTTCGCTGTAACGCCACTGTGCTGCAAAGACGACGCCATAATTGTGTCTCGGGCAATCTTTCGTTTTCAGAGGTAAGTTTTCGGGTACTCTGTTCTCTGCACGCTCGTGTGGCATTATCGTGGTGCGTCGGATTTTGGCCACCCAAACGGCGATTTGTCGCCTTCTGCTCCCTTCCCAGGGAAACCGTAAATAATAAAAAAATGAAGGGGCAAACGAAGAGAAAAGAAGAATAGCGAGTGCCAAGACAGGGTGTGTTGTCTGTGACAAAGCAGGATATAGCACAGACGGCGACAGAGGGCAAAACTGGGAGGGATCCCGTCAGCGGTCTCACCCCCTGACAAAGACAAGACGAAGAGATAACCAGTCGGGCAGGGCGACCGATGGCCAAGGGCCGGCGCTATGTGGCCCCGAGGAGAGTCTGATAAAAAATGTATATCAGAAAGGGGGTTGTCAGAAAACAATGCACCTCGAAGAGGGCCTGACCCGAGGGACAGGAAACGAGGTCAAGCTTCCCGGACCGATGGGTGTGAGAGAGACGCGAGAGATGGTGTCGAAGCAATGGGATGACAGACAGATTGGGGGCCAGTCAGCCTTGTCGGGATGCGCTTCGTGGGTCTTTTTTTTTTTTTTTTTCTGTTGTTCTGACTGTTGGGTCGATCTGACCCAATACCAGGCTTGCCAGGCTGCTTTTTTGTTTGGCACCTCTTTTTTTAATCTTTTTTTTTCTTTTTATGTCCTTTCCTGCCCCTCGTCCCCGTCTATTCGTCGTTGCTGTACACACTTGACAGTGGCACCACGCTTCTGGGACGACGTCAAGGGACGAAACGAAAAGAAATGGGCAGCCAAAACAAGAGTATCAAAGGACAGACACAGACGCAGACACAGAGTAGGCTTGAGTGAGCGTGTCCGTCTGTGCTGTGGGGCAGGGGGGGTGCAGTGAGCAAGGACGGAGCAATGTCCCAACACAGCGGGATGTGTGTGCACAAAGTATTATTTCCGTACTGACACAGACCGTTTCTGCGTACTCGGCTCCGGTTCGTCGTGTCCGCCGCGTCGGTCGCGGGCCGTCCGTCAAGGTCGATTGGAGCGTGTTGCAGGTGGGAAACGGGTGGAAAGGGGGATTGAATGGAATGGAGAGCAGGTGGGATTCGACAGAAGAGGAAAATCGTAAAAACGCAGTCGCGAGAAAAATAAAGAATAGCAGGAGGAGAAGGGGAGGGGATAAAGGACTTGGGGGAAGGGGGAGAGGAGAGAAGAGGGGGAGGGCAAGGGGGCATGAAAAGGGACAAGGACGAACAACCTTCATACTTGTTTCTTTGTACTTTGCAGAGAATCCAAATTCAGCCCAAGTTGGCTCGGGGGACAAGGACCAGAAGACCGGGCCATGAACCGCGTCCCAAACGGCCAGGGTCGTGTCACTTGCGGTTGTGCAGGGAAGCTGCAGGGAAGCTAAACTTTGTACGGAGAACGTCCAACGGAGGACGCCAAGGTTGGGGTGCCATAGCTCCGAGCTCAGGTGATGGTACGTTGTTGCGTTGCTTTTGCTTTCTTTTGCTTGCGATTTTGCTTGCGAGGTACAGAATACACCATATAACATACAACAACACACGCCCTCTTCTGTTCCCAACGGCGTCCTCCATTTTATTTCAAAACGCCAATCTTTCACAATCTTTCAGCACTCCCCGGACAGGCACTAGGCAACTTACGGCACTCTCCGTGGGACGTGCATTTTCCTTTGGCGAGGTCAAGATGGAGGTGGGCCGTCGTTGCAATGGGTGTGAGAATGGAAAAGATAACATGAGAGCTGAGCTGGGAGACTGGGAGGATGGGCATTGCACGACAAACGAATGCACGACAAACGACGTATTCGTCCAGCAAGCTCTCTTGTTCCTCTCGTTTTAATTGCCATTGCCATTACCATTACCATTGACGACTGCCCTTCTTGTTCTCCATCGTTAATGTCCAACGCGAGCTCATTAGATCCAGCCCATTCCCCTTGTGGAGCCGCCGTTGCCGTTGCGTCTCGAGCGTGGTGGCTTCTCCAATTCGACCCGGTCTAGGCGCATCAAAAGAGGGGAATCGTGCGTGGGCCGTTCACCTAGTGAGGACGATGAGCGCGTAGCTTGTCTAGGCATGCGTCCGGCCGACACTTGCTGGGCGCCGGTTGGTCGGTTTGCGAGCTGGCGCACTGGCTGTCGTCAAGAGTCTCTTCGCTTCCCCGACCATTTCCATGTCTGTTGGGAGGGGGGCTGAAAGGGATGATCGGCTGCGGGCATCTGGCCAATACCTGTCGATCGAAACTCCGCAGTCAAACGACAACATGCATGTACGAAATACCGTTGCAACAATTTTGGCCGTATTGCGAATACGAGATGTTGATCAATCTTTATTGCTGCTTTTCCTCTCCAGCAGTGCCCGTTTGGAACGTGCCGCCAAAGTGGCCGCTTCATCTGGCGAGCCCGTTGCGAATCCTTCCGTAACATGTCCCAATTTCAAGCGGCTCAGCCGTGTTATTTTACTGGTGGCCCTACAGGGCGGCAAGATTGGGCCAGCGCAAAGAGATAGGGAGACAATGTCGATCGCGAAAGCCACCACAGCCCACCAATGCTGTCCCACTGAATCCTTCCGCCGGGGCTGTGGCTCGTGTGGGTAGGGATCGCCAAACAATGACACGACACCCAACAGTCGCTGGCAGCACGTGGTCTGCCGGCGTCGTGTTTGGGCGCTGGGCCGGCAGTTGATGGTGATGCGACTATGGACCAGGACGACATCACGACAGCTACCACTGCGCTGGGAAAATGACAGGATTCGTTGTCAGAAATAAGAATGAGAAAGCTGGACGATGAAACGAAACAATGTCGACTGTGCGATTCTGATTAGCGAGTACCACCCGAGCCACTTTTGGCGGATCGGTGGAAGCCACAAACAAAAGGGTGGAAGACAACAAGGGGGAGCGTGTTGTTCAATACGCAAGCTCCTCCGAAATGCCCTTTTCCGGAGCGGACTTGGACCGGCGCCCCGTCGATCGAGATCGACCGAGTCGAGTGAGAGTGACTGTTGTCTCGTCCAAGGCGCAATGCCATTCGTCTCCTTGCACTGCCTGCCGCGTCGTGACATTCTGACTCTGACATCCCAGCAGTAGGATGCGTCCTGCATCCTGCCCTATGAGGTGGAACTTGTGAGAGGGTGGCACGGTGGGCAGGGAACTGCACGTCGTAGGGCAGGACGATCCCCGGCATATTCAGGAGGACAAGCTGCGGACAACAAATCACGGAAACAGATAGATTGCCCATCCCACCTATTTCTCACTTCACCGGGAGTTCTTCGGCCATTGTCACGGCGTCCCCGAATGAAACAGCGGGGTAGGTGCTGGGTGCTGTGCTGTGGTACTGTGGTGCTGTGGTGCTTGGCTGCTGTAGGGCTGCTGTAGGGCTGCTGCAAGGGAGGCGCAAGTCGAGTTTGTCCATGTCGCATCCTGGTGATAAGCAACTGCACACAACGCCCTGGCAGACTCATCCCGACAATGTGGTCAAGACATTCGTCAGCACGAGTGGAAACGAAGGATCGAGACAAGCAAATGGGAGACAACGTTGCCTTGGGACTTCCCGCCATCGCGTCATTTGTCATCTGTGCTATTTGGAAGATGACTGCTGACTACAAATATACAGCAAACGTGTGCGACTGGCGCAGCGTGCCAAATTGCACGTCAGGCCAATGAGAAGGGGAGAGACGGGCAAGAGCAGATGAAAGGACGGAGGGTTCGGCAACGAGAGTCAAAACTGCGCCGTGGGTGTGGCGGCCATCCCGGCAGAATGGAACCATCGAGTGGACAACGGGACGTGGAAGGAAGAGCAAAATACTGGAAGGAATGCGGTTTGCGATTGTCAAATCAAGTCATGGCCAATCACAGCGCGAGGTCAGCCGGAGAGTGTACCTTTTCTGTCCGAAACAGAGTCTTGTCGTGCATCGAGGACAGGCCTTGTACATTCAGCCTTACGGCGAGGGAGGTGAGATTTTGGGGCCAAAGCGGATGGTCAAGGCACTGGGCGGTTCCAGTTTGGGGCTTGTTGGGATTCTTGTTATTCGTGGGATGCGAAGCATGGTACGAAAGTACGTTGAAGGGTTCCATACTTTCGTCCGTTCGGATGACAGCTCCGAGCAGTCTTTGCTCTCCTGCCTCACGCTTGAAGGACTGACTCCAACCGTTGACAAGAAAATCGAGACTCACAATCAGCTTTGGTCTACTCAGCACATTGCATTACACAGTGTTATTTTATTACTCGTCACTCTAAGTACAGCATATGATCATTGGAAAGGAGGTCTTTTTATATGTATTATCCAAGAATGTTGGTATAGTTATGTAAGGTCGACGGCCAGCATCACCTCGGTCTCCATCTAGACATCTCTTCCACCCCCCTACATGCTCTCCTCGTCCTCCTGCCACGCCCGCGCAGGGATGGTGGAACCGTCCCTGTCCTTGATCAGTGACGTGCCGCCACAACTCAGACAGAATGCGTACGCCAGCTGGTCGCGCCGCACAAAATGGCTCGCCGGCACCAGCTGCCGCCGGCAGTCGGCCCAGCCGCAGCGGCTGCGCAGGTCCTCGGGCTGCTGGACGCGCACGGCCGCGTAGGCGATCCAGTAGGCCGTGCTGACGGCCGGGTCCATGCAGCCGAGGAAGTGGTCGAGGCGGGCGTCCATGCCGCAGCAGAGCATGCCGACGGCCTCGAGGGCCGCCATGGGGGGGTCGTACCACCGATTTTTGGGTCCCGGTCCTTGCTGCTGTCCGTACATGGGCCGGCCGTCGTAGTCGTAGTCGTAGAAAGCCTCGGCAAAGGCCGCATCGCGGAGTGCTTGCTGCACCTTCGCCCAGACGCCTGCGTCGTAGATGCTCTGGGCAACGGACGCCGCCTTCTTGTTGAGGCACCGCAGACACAAGTAGTGGCCGCACGGCAGCATGTGCAGCTCGCCGACGGAAATGTCGTACTTGCTGCAGTCGCGGCAGGGCGAGGAGTGCCAGTCGTCAATGTCCAGGATGTGGAGATGCCCGCCGCAGTTGTGCGCGCCGGTCAAGTCGGTCCGCGGAAGAACGCCGTCGAGGGCGGCCGGGAACAGGACCGGGCTGTTCACGTCGAGCGGGTTGTTGACAGGGACACTCAGGAGGTCGGTCTGGTCGGAGCACGGACTGCTGTCTGTGGATGTGTCGGTGGACGTAGCTGTGGACGCATCGGTTAGTCTCGCTACAACCACCTGGTCTCTTGTCTCCGTCTGCGTTATCGACCGGAAACCCCGCTGTGAAGTACGGCGGGTCTTGGGACCTGTCCGCTTGGCAGCCCGAGCGGCCCAGATGGCCTGTGAGCGAGTCAGCGACCGAGTGCTGGCCTTGGCCCTGCTCTTTGTCGCCCGCTTGCTCTTGTTCTTTCTCTTGGCGTGCGACTTGTGGCTGGCCCATGAGGTGTATGCGGTGTGACGCTTCGATGTCGAAGACCAAGTGCCAGCACGGTGGTTTGACCGCCCTCTGCCTCGGCGCTGCGCAATGGTAACGGCCTCTTTTGGTGACGTAGAGTCCATTGCGCAAAGGGAGCCCAAGGTGATGTTGCTTGGTGATGTATGTTGCCGTATTTTTCTTGGTTTGAGCTGCACTGATAATTCCGTATTGTCGTCAACGATGCCGGAAATATCAGTGGATGTATTGTTGGTTTGTTGGTCGACTGCAGCCCACAAGCAAGCACGTTGGCATGCGGGCTATTTGTATGCAATGCATGTTATTGTCCTGTTCATCATAGTTTGTTGTCTGCTCGTCATGTTCAGGAACGAAATAGAGTAAATGCTCTGTTAACGAGATGAACTGTTGCGCGAACAAATGTATTGTTGTATGGTCTTTGCTATGAGGAGAACCGTTCGTCTTGTGAAAGGCTATGGCAATGTTTAACAATGCAATCATTGTTCTAAACAGTACGAATACTTACATAGACTACTATCCGTTGTTCATGTTGTTCATGTCGCTGTTTGTATTTGTCTTTTTTTTTAAAAAACAAAATGTCCGACTTGGACGGTTTCTTTTGAAAATAACGTGTTCGTTTCTTTAAGGCAAAGAACTCAAGGATACATATGTTTATTTTGTTACAAATGTCACCTATCTTTGTTAAATTTACACTAGATTGTTCATCCATTTATTGAGTTTGAGACGACCAAAACAAAGAACATCAAGGACCGTCAAAGAGCCACACAAAGAAAACAAATTCAAAAACAGCCACTAATTAGACACCACTCAGGCTCTGCTCTCCCTCGTTTGTTTCTATCCACAACAGTCTCCGTGTCGTCACCCCCTCCTTGTTCATCTCCGCACCGTACGTCCGTCCTGCTGCCATTTTGCCAGGTCCTGCTTCAGGCCGTCCATGACGCCTTGCACGTTGGTCAGGTCCGACTGCATGGACACAACGCGGTGCAGCGCCGTCGCCAGATCAAGGGCGCTGAGTGTCGTGCCGTCGACCATGCGGTGGTCGTGTGCTCGGCGTCGGCCGGTGTTTTGTGTCTGTCCTTGCCCGTCTTGGTCACTGCCGGTGCCGCGCGGCAATAGAGACGCCAACGCGTGTGACACGCTGGAGGAAAGGGACACGATGGGGCGGGCAAGGAGGCGTTGCAGGACCGTGGTTGGCGCTGCGGCGGTAGCGAGTGAGGCTGAGGCGGAGCGGGCTCGCCGAAGGAGTGCACGTCCCCCGTTGCTGTCTCGTCCATTGTCTCTGCCCTCCTCGTCCGAATAGAGCCAGATGTCGTCGTCCCGGCCCCCCGTCGACGGCAGCTGTGGATCGTACGCCGTCTTGTCGGGATAGGTGGCCATGGGCAGGTACGGCACCCAGGGCAGGCTGTCCTTTTTGAGAACGGCCGGCGCACGCCGCTTGTGCTTCTTTTCCCACAAGAAGTACGAGTACAAGCCGTCGTAGTCGTCGGGGGCCTTGTCCATGGCCTCTTTCCATGTTTTGTAGGGCGCTCCATCACTGTTGTTACTATCTCCGCCGTCGTCGCCAACATCGTCGATGAGAGCGTTTCCATCCTCGTCCACTTGGTAGTCTATCTCGCTGTTCGCGTCCGACTCGTCCCACGCGCCGCTGCGGTCCATGCTAAGGCCGAGCGTATCGAGCTGGGCTTCGTAGGGCAGCGCCTTCCAGGCACGGTCGCGTTGCGCGCGTTCCCTGACACTGGACGTGTCCGAGTCGGTGTCGCTGTCGGACTCGCTGCCCACGTTGGCATACCGTCTCCTCAGAAGGTAGTCTTCTTCCTCCTCGCTGCTGTCTCTGTCGCCAACCATGTCAAGTCGTCGCCGTTTCGAGCTTCTGCCGTCGTTGCCGTCGTTGCCGTCGTTTGCGTCGTCGTCGTCACTGTCGTCGCTGTCGCTGTCGTCGACAAAGTGGACCCGTTTGTTCTGGTTTCCGTCGACAGGTGCTGGGTGCCCGACTGCCGGCTGAACAGCCGCGCCATCGCCACCAGCATGACCACCAGCATGGCCATGACCATCGCCGTTACCATCATCGTCGCCATCCTCATCTGAATCCACGTCCGGGTTGATCCATCCCAGTCGCGGCAGCAGATCCCGGGGCCGCACAAACCCGTCGGGCAGCTGCCGCAGTCCTTTGTGGGGGAACTTGTCCGCCGCGTCGTCATCGGCCACTTCCTTGAGAAACTCCTGCACGCTCACTGGAATGTCCGGCGGTGCGCCCGGGGCGTCCGGATACAGGGCCGGGCTGTAGGTGCGCAGCCGCTGTTTGTGGTACCCATCCGGCATCACGGCGGCCTGGGCCTGGAGGATGGGCCGCAGTGTTTTGAGGTGCTCGATCAAGTTGGTGCGCGCGTCCGGACCGAGCATGAGATAGAGCTGCTGGGCGAGGAGGTAGAGGGTCAGTTCGGTGCCGATGACAGGGGCGGCAGCAGGGTTGTTTCCCGGTGGCGGAGGAAGGTTGGCGACCTGTGCCTGCTGGCCGGTAGCTGCAGCGCCTCCTCCGTCGCCCGGGACAGCGTTGGCTGCAGCTGCAGCTGCAGCTCCGGCTCCGGTTCCGGCTCCGGCTGCGGCGCCTGATCCACCACCAGCGTTTTGTATCGGCATGGCTGGATTGGCCTGTACGGAAGGGTTAGCACTTGGTCCTGCTGGAGTCGGATTCAACGGCAAAAGTCCTGCACGAGCTTGTGTCTGGTTTTGTTGTGGAGGAGGTACTGCCGGTGTTGGACCAGGTGGAGGTGGAGGTGCTTGAGCTGGAGTAGGCTGAAGAGTGGGAGGTTGGTTTGTATTTGCATTCGCGTTGGCGTGTTGTGGTCCAGGAATGGCAGGAACGACAGGCACGACAGGCACGACAGGCACGACAGGCACGGCAGGCACGGCAGGAGCGGCAGGCACGGCAGGAGCGGCAGGCACGACAGGCACGGCAGGAACAGCAGGAACAACGGGCACGGCAGGAGCGACAGGCACGACAGGAACGACAGGCACGATCTGTGGAGGAATATTCACTCCAACGTTGGCCACGACATGTTTTGGTGCCTGTCCCTGCTGTCCTGGCTGTCCTTGCTGCGGCTGTGCCGGCCCTACATTGGGCTTTTGCACCTGTCCTCTGATATGGGACTGAAATCGTGCGGCCTGGCCATTGTTGGCAGGTTGTTGTTGAGGTTGCGGTTGAGGTTGAGGTTGTTGCTGTTGAGGCTGTTGAGGCTGTTGAGGCTGGTTTGGCGGGTTTGGCGGGTTTGGCGGGTTTGGCGGGTTTGGCGGCTGTCCCGCATTGTGTGCTTGCTTTGGAGGCATCGTGATGGTCGATGTCCAAGTGAATGTGGTGTTGCGGCTGTTTGTGCTGGTCGCAGATGGAGTGACGATGCCGTGTCACGACACAAATGAAGGAGATTTAGCTGTTTGATTTCATGTCTCAACTCTACATTTCTACGTCCTCACAGCTGCGCGCTTTACTATCGTCGCAGAACGACCGTATTGTACTAATACCATTTGCGACGAGGAAACGTCTGTTGGTGAGGGCAAACGCTGAAAGCGGCTTGTGCAAGGGATGAAAGACGGAGTGACGGCCGCAATTGGCTGCCAGGTCCAAACAAATCCAAGCCTCTCAAAGAGAATAAAGCAAGTCCATTTGCATGGAAACGGAAACAAGGTACTTCTTTGTTCTTTAGTGCGTGTGCTTTCGAAAGGAGACACGCTTCTACAATCTACGACCGAATGCGCATCCGTTTGCTTCTGTATGTTTACAAAATCTACGCCCGGGAAAGGAATACCAAATAAATGGGAAGAAAGGCGGGAAACACCATGTCCAAGTAAAAAAAGAAAGTGAATACAAACGCGACCACAAAAGAATCAAACTTACCAAACCTACCCAAGTGACAAAGAGACAGAATGCATCCTGCTCCCACGCGCGATGCTTACCAACGCGATACTTACCAAGATGCGTCGCCATCCCGATCGTGCGGGTTCTCGTAGTCGAACCGGTCGTCGTCTGGTCGATGTCGCCGCACCACGTCGTCAAACAGCGTGTCCACATCCACAAAGACCGCCGACCCGTCGCCGCACGCCGCGCACCCCAGCCCAAAGGCCGACCGTGCGAGAGCCAGTTCGCTGCCGTCGTCGTCGCCGTGGAGCGTCCCCACCGACAGGCCCTTGGCCACTCTGTTTTCGTCCATCAGGCGCTGCCACAGCGCGAGGACCCACTGGTCGGCGGCGGTCTGCTGGGCTTTGCGGGCGGCTTTGCGGGCGGCGGCAAATCCAGACGCACCGAGGGGCGGCAGGTGCTTGTTCCTTTGTGCCGAAGCGGGCGACGCACCGCGGACGACAACATCCCGGACATCGGCGCCCCCCGGAACGTCCCGACGAATCCACACGCGGGGATCGGCGCCGTGGGCAAACTGGCTTGGCGGGCGGCGGTAGTGACGGCGGGGCAGGAGGGCCGTGTTGGTGTCGATGGTGGTGTCGGTGTCGGTGTCGGTGTCGGTGTCGATGTTGGTGTCGGCGATATCGTTGTTGTTCTGCTCGACAACAGCACCGCCATGGATAAAGTCGGCACCTACCCACGGGTCGGGCAATACGTTACTCTGTACGGAAGGGTTAGTGTGACGGGAGAGGTCAGAGGATGACGATGGTGACGAAGACAGGGCCAGACGCGGCGCTGGAGGGAGAATCCACGACAGCGTGGCCGCCAACACAGCAGCCATCAGCATCGTCCCCAGGATGCGCTGGAAGTGCTCGCCCACCACAATCCGCGTCTCTTCAAAATTGGAGTGGTCGCCGTTGGAGCAGAGCCGGCGCCCTCGGGGCACACCGGACGACCACGGCGGCGGTGGTGGGGGCAGAGGCAGGCCGTGGCGGCTGGCCTCGACGGCGGAACCAGCCCATCTGACCCACTGGCCGGCCCACTGCACTCGCAGCACAAAACGGCCCCCCCAGTACAACGTGCAGTCCAGCAGCAACGTGTTGTGCGCGAGCAGGAGCCAGACGGGGAACGCCGGGGCAAGGACGCAGGTCAAGCCATGACGGGCCAATGTTGAGGCGACGGGCCAAATTTGGTCCATGGAGGGAAGCAGAGGAAGGGGATATGAGAAGAAAAAAGAAGCAAAAGGGAAAAACAACGTAGTACAAAGCAAATCAGAGGGTGATAGGTCGGCGGGATTCAATGTCTGTAGAGTGGGTATTTTTCGAATGGCAAGGATTGGTGATGGCGGTTGTGGAAAAGAAATGCAGAGCGCGAGTGCAGGGAGTGAGTGCAGGCTGCAGAGAACAGGTGCAGGGGTGTCGTTGGGTGGACAGTGTCTGTCTTCCTGTCAAATTGATACGAGTACGACGTGAAACGGTGTGCGGATAGAATGATGGGTCTTGAGGTGTGAGAGGTGTGAGTGAGTAGATGTGCGCTGGGTTGTGAAGATACAGAATCATACGATTCAAGTTGAGTCGAAGCGAGGGGGACATGTTGGGAATCACTAGAATATCTTTATTTGTCTTTCGTTTTGATTTCGATTCCTGTTCATTGCATGTTCTGATGAACAAATAGTGGAAATTCGACTTTATGTGCTTCGTAAGTTTGTTTCTTTCTTTTCTTCTTTCATTTGTCTCCTCTTTTTTCTTTACAACATTCAGACGAAACGAAGTGTCTTTGTACATTTTTTTTTCTTTCTCAACTCTTTCCACCCCTGTGGTGCATCCCACGCTATGAATAGGCACACAGCGTTGCAGTGCAGCAGAACCCAAGCCTGCAGACAGCCCAGTCCATCCACAGCAGAAGCAACTATCCCCCCTCCCATGTCCCTTTTCCGACTGTTCTCCGTCTCACCCGTCCCCGGCGCGTTCCAGAGATTATGCACAAGTAACAATAGCCGCTGTTGTGTTGCAGGGCGCCATGGATGGGTCTGGGTCACTTTGGACGGCCACGAGGATGGGACGAAAAAGGACAGGGTTTTGGTACAGAACGTGTTTGTCAACTTAATTTCCGCCGTTCGGTCGGGCCTTGTGCTTGTGACAGCGTAAATGAATTGTGAATGCAGTCGTAAATGAAGCTCCCTCCCAGCCGGATATCATTGACAGGTCATGGGTGCACGACCAACGAATGGAACACCACCCTTGCATTTGCGGGAAGCAGGGATGAGCTGTCGAGAGTGCCGAGACTGGCTGGCTGGTGCTGGGCTGATGCGTGTTGCCTTGCACTTTGCTGCTATGTCTTTGCCTGCACCTCTTCCCTTCTCGACCGCTCCTTTTCGTATTTCGTTTTCGTCCTTTGCTCCCGCCTTCGTCGCAATCAACGGTCAAAATTGGAAATACGACGGTTGAACGGTTGAACGGTTGAACGGCCGAACGGTTGCATAGTGTAACAGCTTCAGAGGGTCAACATATGCACAGTTGTGGTGGGCGGAGTATGTGGTGTCCGTGTCTAAGACATGTCTCGACTGTCATGCAAGAGACTGCAGAGGCTGCAAAGGCTGCAGAGGCATGCACAGGGACACGTTAGGCATGCAACGGCTGCAGAAGTGCAGAATTGCAGAATGCAAGCAGTGAGATGACGGAGTACTTCGTACATGTTCGATATACAGGGAGACAGAATGCAAGCTTTCTGCCCGCCGCAGAGTTTGACTGTCGCTGGCTCTGAGAATCTTCACGTCATCTTTCCCGATTGTCGACAATGTACTTGTACAATGTACTTGTATTATCACCATATCACTTTGCATTATGATTCTTCTTCCATACCTCGGCTTCTGCCCGCCTTATTTGTGCGACTAGAGCATAACTGGATGCAAACAATGCCAGCCGGCGCTGCGAGCCGGCGGTGCTCCAACGTGCGACGGGCCGTGTCCGTCGGCGAAGGCCCAAAGGGAACTGCGTTTTCTCGTCCTCCACGACCTCTCAACATCCACTTACAGCGGACCCGTTATGATGATCGACTGGCCAGGCGCAGGACGCTACAACGAGGGCCTCTACTACAAGTATGTTGTATTCTGCTCACAACTGTTGTCTCTCTACTGCTGATTCGTGAAATGTACGGAGTAGGACGTTTTATTGATTCTCTGCATCCCCAGTCTCTGATCTCTTCTCGACTCGATTCGTGGTCGGAAATCACCGCCATCACACCCCCAGCCTCTTCCAGGCACCCCGGTCCTCTTAGCCTCTTTGGTTGGAACGGTGCCTCTCGCTTGTGCCCGCTGCGTCCGCCGCGCCCGCCTTTTGTTCCCATACGTCGTAGTTGGTTCCTTGTCCGCTGCCCCCATGCCATGTTGGGCTGCCACCATCATCCCGCAGGGGTTTGTCGCCTCGAGAAGAGTTCCCGTCTGCACACACGCATTCCCTGGCGCCCTTCCCTGGCAAGGTCCGGCTCACGCAATTTCCACAAAAACGCACAAACCACTCGCCAATCGACCCTCTTCCCTTCTTGGTTCGTGTCTGGAGATGATTTTCTGATTGTCGAGTGCAACATTGGGGAGAAGGGCAAGGGGCAAAAGAAGGAAAGAAGGACATAAGAAAGAAAGAAGAAAAGAAGAAAGAAAAGAAGAAAGTTTGTAATTACCTTGCACCCCGTAGAATGTGTATTGTGACAAGCCCGGACACGGAACAACGTTCCCTTGCAGTGACGAAACACTCCACGTCGTAATCGTTTCCGAAAAGAGTCGTCTGTACTTGTAAAATGTCGAGCTGTGTTGTATAACTTACGTCGTATGTCGCAACGAGGCACAATGAAACACCTCATGTCGTCGTCGGTTGTCGCCGTCATCGTCGAAGTCTGTCGCCCATCCCCATTGCCCATCATCCCCAACGTCCGTCCCGGCCAACCCCAAAAGGCTAGAGTGGCGGGCAGAAGAGACAATAGGAGAACATAAACCCAGTAACTCTCCACAAGAACAACGCAATTGTCTGTGCTTTTGCTTTCGCGTCACAAATTCTCCATATACTTCGTACACAGTATTGTTTCCCCTCTTCAGCTGCATGGGTCATGCTACGCTAGTGACGAAACGGGACGAGACAAGAGAGGAAAGAGCGACAGAGGAGGAGAAACAAGGAAAGTGAAAAGGGAAAGCGAAAGGGAAGGCAAAAGGAAAAGGAAAGACAGGAAAGTGCAGCTGGGCACATGGACGCTACACGACGATAAAAAGGAAGGCGCACAGCAAGGGACCGCAGCTCTTTCCTAAAGAAACAACACTACCGCCGATGTCACCCTGCTCTAAATCCACATCACAGCAGGGAAAGAACGAAGGAGCTTGTCGAAACTGTCAAGAGGAAGCCGCAAAGGCTTGTCTGAGCTCAAGTGGGCCTGCTGTCGCTGTCTCTCGTCTCTCTCCTCACCCTCACACTCGTCCTGAAGACTGGCCCTCCTTCATCTACATATCTCGCAGCAGACCCTCTTGTTTCTGCCTTGTCTTTTGTCTCTCGATTTGCCTTTTAGCCATGTCGACATCACTCTATCTCTGGTAGCTGAAATTGGCGTTTGGTGACTGGTATTTTCGTCCTTGATCTCATCCCCTCGACAGGCGACATCGAGCCTTTTATATTATCGTCGACCGCGCGCCACTCCTCCACTCACCTCGCTCCTGCGCTCAGTTCCGCTCAGCTCACCGTGACTGTAAGACCGTTCTCACATTCTCACACCAACACGCCCCGATACTGGCATAAACGTCACACAACACCTCTGCCTGATTCTGGCCCCCTGGGCCTTCTGATCTCTGCGGATGATGGCCCTCTTCGCCTCCGCCTCCTTGTCGACCGTGGCCCTCGCCCTCGTCGCCACCACCGTTGTCTACTATGTCTTGAGTGCTGTCGCCGCCGCCCGAAGGCTGCGTGCCTTCCCCGGCCCCCGCGTCGCCTCCTTTTCGTACATCTGGATGGCCAGCACCGCCCTGAGCGGCCGCATGTGGGAAATCTACTACAAAAAGGCCACCCTCCGCTACGGCGACGTCGTCCGCATCGGGCCCGGCGAGCTGCTGACGAGTGATCCGGTCCTCATCCGGCGCCTCTCGGCCACCCGCCAGCCCCAGTACCGCCGCTCCGACTGGTACAACCCGAACCGCCTCGACCCCTACGAGCACAGCATGTTTTCCCTGCGCGACGACGTCGCCCACGACCGCCTCAAGGGACGGACGGCCGCCGCCTACGCCGGCCGCGAGAACCCGGCGCTCGAGGCCGAGGTCGACGCCGTCCTCCTGCAGTTTGTCGACGTCGTGCGCACGCGCTACGTCGCCACGCGCAAGCCCATGGACCTGGCCGTGCTGGCCCAGTACTTTACGCTGGACAGCATCACCAAGGTCGCCTTTGGGCAGGCCTTTGGGTTCTTGGAGCGCGAAGAGGACGTCCACGGCTACCTGCGGAGCATCCTCGACATTGCGCCCGTCATGCAGACGAGCAGCGAGGTGCCCTTCCTCAACCGCATCGTCACGTCCCCCTTTGTCCTCAAGCTGGCCGGGCCCAAAGTCACCGACAAAGACGGCATCGGTCGCATGATGGGGTGAGTACCCCGTTCAGCCCCCATTTTCTCGTTCTCGTTCTCTTCCACTTCACCTGCTAACCCTTCAGTGTCGCCCGCGACATCGTCGCCGAGCGGTTCGTTCCAGACGCCAAGGACCGTCGTGATATGCTCGTACGTTTTTTTCTTCGTCTTGGTCTTACTCTGTTCTCGCCTCTTTTCGCGCGTGTCTCCATGGCGCACGTGCACTAACCTGACCAACCCAGGGCGCCTTTGTCCGCAACGGCCTCACCCAGCGCGAGTGCGAAACAGAAGCCCTCTTCCAGATCATTGCCGGCTCCGACACCACCGCCACCGCCATCCGCATGACGCTCCTGTACATTATGATTACGCCGCGCGTGCACGCCCGCCTGCGCGCCGAGGTCGACGCGCACTTTGCCGACCTGCCGGACGACCAGATCGTCCCCAATGCCGTCGCCGAGGCCCTGCCGTACCTGCAGGCCGTCGTCCTCGAGGGCCTGCGGATGCACCCGCCGTTTGTCGGCCTGCCCTTCAAGGAGGTGCCGCCGCAGGGCGACACGCTGCCCGACGGCCGGTTTGTGCCGGGCGGCACGCGGATTGCGCCGAGCATCTGGGCCCTGACGCGGCGCAAGGACGTCTTTGGCGAGGACGTGGACGTCTTTCGGCCCGAGCGATGGCTGCCCGCGCCCGCGCCCGCGCGCGTGGCCGACGGCGAGCGCAGCGAGGGCAAAGACACCAACGACAACGCCCCGGAGAACATTGCCAACATGCGGCGCACGCTGGACCTCATCTTTGGGTACGGGCGCTGGGCGTGTGCGGGCAAGTCGCTGGCCTTTTTGGAACTCAACAAGACGCTCGTCGAGATGATGCGGCGCTTCGAGCTGCAGCTGATGTACCCGTTGCGCCCGCTGTCGATGGTCAACCACAATTTGTTTTTGCAGAAGGAAATGTGGATGCAGGCAACAGCGCGGTCGAAGTGACGTCGACTGCGAGGCTTGCATCGTGGGGAGCACACAAGCAGAAACGCCAACGTGAACACCAACGCTCCATAAAGCCACCTCCTGTTCATCCCCACGACACGTGTCTTGGTTCGGACAGCGATGGTTGTTAAGAGTCCGTTCTTTGCTTTATTGTCTCGTCCTCCGAACCCATCTCCTCATTTTGTTATATCTCTTCCCGTACGTTTGTATATGTTGTTCTTTTTGCCATAATGACCGTCATGACGATCCATCACCCCATCTACGAATGAAATTATCGCCGCGATTAATGGATTACCCGTTCTTGCTATAGCAAAATCATCCGCACTAAATTAAGCACACTAGTATTATGATAAACTGTCTAGATGCCGTCCTTGGACGTAGCATAACGAGAGAAAAGGGAAAAGTATAGGAAATGAGCGACATGAAGAGAAAATGAGCAGACAACATATGATACCCGAAAAGCAAAAGCCGAATGCCTTGCTGTATATGTACAAAACGACGCCCCTCAAGACTGGTCTTCATCTAAGGCAGGTCCTTGAAGAGGGCCAGTAGCTTCGGGTAGTCGGGCGATCCCAGGCCCGTCACTGGGTCCCAGCCCTCTGCCGCCGGGAAGCCGTCGGTGCCGCAGCCCGGGTTCGACCCTGAGGTAATGTCGTTGAACACCTCCGGGTGCTGGTACAGCACGGGGTTGACAAATCCCACCGTCGACTTGCCCTGGCCCAGCCGCTCTTCGTTGACCAGAGTCAACACCGATGCCCACACGGGCGCCGCCAAGGATGTGCCGCCAATCGTGGCCCACGCACCATTGAGCACCGTCACGTAGTGGTCACCAATGGCCGACACATCGGGGAAGCCGCGGCCGCCAATGTGGTAGACACCGTCGCCAGCTCCGCTAAAGTTGCCGTTGCCCATATCATAGTAACCCGTGAAGCTCAGGTCCACCTGGCTGAAATACTTGGCCACAGAGAACGCCTGGTACGACGGCTGCGGGAAGTAGTTGCTGAAGCCACCACCCGAGCCGAAGCGCGACGTGGCCCGCTCTGTCAGCTTGGGCACATGTGACGACGACGTGCCAGAGGGCGCCGTGTAGTTTCCGGTGCTGTTGCTGCTGGGTGGCGTCAACGGCTCGGCCAAGTCAAACTCGGTGCCGCCGACGGCCAGTACGTAGGGGCAGGTCGCTTCGCTCGCGGGGTAAAAGATCTGGCCAACGCCGCCACAGCCATCGTAGTTGCCTCCGTCGTACGCGCCCGAGGCCACGCCATCGTCACCCGACGAGATGACAACCGTCACGCCCTGCAGACCCAGCTTGAGGATCTCGGTGCACTGTCTCTTCCAGTAGTATGCCGGAAGGTCGGCCTCGCCACCGCCGTAGCTGATGCTGATCACGTTGGTGGGCTCGTAGACACCGCACTGCAGAGTGCCGTTGTAGCCGCCGGGAGCGGTATCCGGGTACGACGGGTCCATGCACTCGGGCTTAACGCAGTTGCCCGTCTCACCAAAAGCGCTGAACGTGCAATACGAGCCGTCGATGGCGTCGAAGAACGTGTTCCAGAAACCAAGGTACGGGGTGTTACCCATGGTCATGTTGGACTGGATGCGCTCATCGTCGACCTGGAAGAGGACCGCCTGCTGCGGGTAGATCAGCGGCATGGCGGCCTGGAAGTCGAGCTCGGCTTCGCCGCCAGCAGTGTCAGGCTGGGTGTCGGCCGTTGCGCCGTCAATGAGGCGTGGAATCGGGTACGTGCCCTGGGGAATGTTTCTGGGTGTGTTAGCTGTGGCACGCTGTAATACGGGACCGTAGACGACATGGAAGGGCCAGAAACATACGGTGAGACGACCTCAAAATAGTCGTCGAGATCTGACTTGCTGTAGTGCTGGTTGAGGCCCTCGAAGATGCCGAGTTCGTTGCCCGGCCTGGCCGTGGTACCTTTGGGTATGCCGTACTGGGCTACAAGGAGGAGTCAGCATTCTAACCGATATCTTGAACAACCCCATTTCCTCAACTTACTCCGAATGCAGTTAGGCGTCACGTATTCGTAGCAGTTGCTGCTGTTCATCGGCGGCGGCTTGTTCAGCGTGAAATCGGTCCCCATGGTTGGGCCGCCGGAGTCCTTGTTGGCCGACACACCGCTGTTGAGGTACGTCGGATCGGTGTGCATGGCCTTGGTCCGGCGACGACGGTCCACCAGTCCCGTGTCCAGGTCCCGGCGCCGACGCTGCTTGCGTGCCGTCTCCACATCATGCCGCAGCCGGATGCCAGGGATCACGTAGTCAACGTGCTCCTGCACAGACCGCGGCAAGTGGTAGTGCTCAGCCGCGACATCGCGGGTCCGCGTCTCGCCGTGCTCGTAGACGTGGTACTCGGCCAGCAGGAGTTCCTCGGCCTCGGCCACTGTGGCATCAAACTGGATCCACTGCTTGTTGGCCGACTGCGTGATACGGTCAATGTGGATACCGGCCGACGTCAACCACCCGACAACAGCGTCGACGGTGGCACGCTCGGGCGCGAAAAAGTCGACCACCTCCTTGGAGGACATGTGCTTTCCGTAGCTCGCCGAGGACGGGTCGGCAATGGCCATCAGCCGCGCGTGGGCGCTGCCATCGTCGACGTTCCGCTGCTTGAGACCGATCCGCATGGGCAGCAGGGCGTCTGCAGGGGCACGCTCGGTGCGCTCCCAGCGGCGGGCCCAGGTCTTGGGCTGGCGCTCGTGCAGGGTATGCGTGTCCGGGATCATGCGGCGGAAGCTTTTGACTGTTGAGGACGATATTGGCTCGGCGCCCTTGTTGGTCGGGTGGAAGACGCCGCCGGGCAGGTCCTTGAAGTGGGCTCGTGTATTGTGCTTGTGGGCATGCGCGTTATGGGCTGCGTGAGCCTCGGCGTGGGCTGCGGAGTTGCGGCTGCGGTGTTTGGTATCATGGGCGTCGTGGTGAGCCACGGCACGGGTGTCCAGCACGGCGTGCACCTGGTTACCGATTTCAATGCCGACGTCCGGGGCCGGAACCGGACCGGCGGCGGCCTCGAGGGCAAGGCCGCCGACGAGGGCCACGCACGCGAGGGTGTTGAAATACATGGCGTTTAGCGAGATGCTGTTATCATGGGTAACGGCGAGGATACGAAGAGAGTGCGTGTGCGTGTCAATCGTGAGTGATGTTCAAAGAGCGAGAGAACGGCAGCTCAACGGAAAAGTAAATAGAAGTGACTGTGATGTGAGCTCAAATAGAAGGAGTGAAATGCAGAAACACAGAAGGAGCGAAAGGACGGCTTTGGTCGATGTTGGAAAAGCCCAAACGAGAAGGAGTGACGGGTGGTACGAAAAGACAATGAACAAACGAGGAGGGAAGGAGCAACACAGAATGAGTGACCACGGCCAGAGAGAGAAAAGGGAAGGAGAGAAAAGAACGAAGAAAGGAAAGAAGAAATGTCTTGGAAAGAGCAGGTGCACAGAACAAAAGGACAACAGAAAAGGAACGAAAACAGGAGGATGGCCACGAGAAAGCCTGGGTTACATGACATGGGGACGTACAACCCTGCTTCTCGGCATCAAGATCATCTTTATCTGCCGTGCTCCCTCGATGCCACTGAAAGCTGGGCGACCGACTCTGCCATCTTGCCTTTTTTTACCCATTTCCACTCTTTGTGCCCTCTTTTCTGGGTCTATTCCCTCCTTGTTGCCTTTGGCTCCTCTTTTCTTGCCCTTTTCGTGTGCTTGTCGTCTACCTTTGTCTTCTTGGCCGACTTCCCAAACGGGAAGCTTACACGGGAGATCGCTAGAAGCGCGATGACGACACAGAGGCAGGGGACGGGGCCAAAGGGCAAGAGAGGAGACCCAAAGGATGGAAAGGGAAGGGCGCTGCCGAGACTTAGACATGCCCACATGCCGGACAGCCTTCCCTGCGCGTACGACTCGGCCGGTCACTGTTGTTTCTTCTGTTTCTACTGGCCTTCCAAGCCTAGCTTTGTGGCATCATCGTCGGTCCAATACCTGGACCCGCCGGGGCAGCCAGCGCGGCCGTTGAAACAAGGCGACAAGAGATGAGCCAAGGGAGCCTTTAACCAAGGGCGGCAAGCTTAATTTGCTGCACTACGATGTACGAGGTGGTCGTTTTACAAGCTCACAGCTGTATAGCATAGTGGTCGAGGTCGTGTCTCGGTCGTGCAAGGAGAATCTCAAGTCGTGCGGCGCTACTTGGCATGTTTTGTTTCGCACCAACCCCTGGCTTTGGTTCCTGGACTAGTTTGCGCAGCGCGGGGTGCCGTCGACGATCTAACAACCTAGCTTCTGCACAGAAACTCAAAAGACGACAAGCAACCAGTAGGACGTCGTCAGGTCGTCTTGGCGGGCAGCTGTGGCGAGATGAGAGGGGACATGATATGCACAAAAAAGCAGGTATGCAAATAAACTACGATGAAACGAGACGCACCAGGAACCAGAAGAACGATGCGCTCTCGGCGCTGCACGACGAGAATGGGGAAACGAAGACGGAGAAGCAACGGTGCGCTGACAAAACTTGGAAGAAAAGCGGAGAGGCAGCGCACATCATAGGCAAACCTGCACGACTTGTGAGATACTTTTGAAGGCATTTTCATCTCGCAGCGGTAGAAACACACGACAAGACTCGCGGCACACCGTTTGCGTACCGAGTTGTTTTATCTGCCGCACTCAGCTTCTTCTTCTGGAAGGTCGACACTTACACCCGCTCAAAAAGGCAGCTCTATTTGCTCGCCTCGTCAATTCCTGCGCAGCAGCAACTTAACCGTAACGGTCACTCCGCCGCAGGAGGTCTGTCCCTTTCTTTGCCCGTTTTGATAATGATCGTCGCCTGTGTCGCCGCACATAATCAGGCTCGACAGGGCGCTCGCCCCCTTGTCAGGTCCCTAGCCGACTCTCTGGAAAACGGGATGACGGGAAAACGGGATCGGCAAGCACGGGGCGCCTCTCTTTATCTTAACCTTCTTTTTTGTTGGTGAACTGCGACATCCGCCACCACACGGTCTGATGGTGTTCTCTGTATTTATGAGGAGAGTCCACTCAAGACACCTGCCCAGTGTACATATCCTCCCTGGCAGTCCAGTCGCCGTTGCACAGATGTTGTGAGAGTACATATGCTAAATGAATACATACGCACACCAGAAGTTCTGCTATCTCCAAGAGCCTTACACGACAGTTCCTTACAGCAACGAAGAAGCAGAGCCACGCATCCATTCCTCCCTGGTTTTATCCTGTCGTAGATAAAAATGCAACGCGGCCCCTCCCACTCCCTCCGCATAGCTGCTCCCTTTCTTAAACTCTGCCTTTTCTTCATGTCACCCTCTCGTCTCATCGTTGACACATTGACGTCCCGCTATCGTCTTCTCCCTAGCTGCGCCAGCGACCTTGGGTTCCACATACCGTTCTGTCAGTCAATCTTTCACAGACTTTCTATTCCTCTGCATGCCAACGCTGCCACAGATCTTCTAGAAGAAGCATGCACGAGGCAGCAAGGAGCATATACGGAGTAGGACATATGCACGCAGCACATACGAGCATACACGAATACAGCGTGCAGCGGTTGCCACGCTGTCTGACACGGTCCGACTAAACAACGCAGCTGCCGTGATGTCGTTGCGATATGTGTCGTGCCCTCGAGGTACGGAAACATTGTGCATTGTCTGCACGAGCTACGAGACGTCCTTTTGGCCGCTACCGGCATGCTCGGCTGCAAAGTGCCGTCTTGGCTCTGTACTGTTTTCTTCCGTCGCGTTGTTTCTACGGCAAACTACATGCTGTAGAGAGACCATCTCGAGAGCAGTGGACGACAGCGATATTGTTTTTGTCGTATTTGCTTCGCACAACAGTGTCGTAGAAAAAGTCCCAAGTCAATTCCGGATGTATGCTGCCTCTGGTGCACGTAAATGTCACATGGACAGGCTCCTGGTCAAGCTTCGTCTGTTTCCTGCTTTCTTATCTTCTTCCTTGACGCCGTGATGATGAATCGCGGTTTCCTATTTTAGCCAAATGGCCTTCCGACCCAATAGGGCAGGCACCCGCCCGGCTTCCCCGAGTATGGAGCCCCATTGCGCCTCGCTCGGCAATGTTGGCGGTTTGGGTCGACCCGTTGATGCGTTGTTGGGGCCCTGGTATTTGCCCCAGTGCCATTGAATTTGCCTCTTGGGGACAGGAAGGCTGTGCAAATCGCTTGTCCACGAACACGGGAGCACAAAAGACTCCAAATCAATCCGAGTCCCTCGGGCGCGTCGAGCAGAAAATAACGCGCATATGTGCTTCTTTTGTCGTCCAATTCTTAATCCTCCCGTACGACGACGAGCCAATGGGGATTCTATGCAGACATCTTGAACCAAGCCCCCAAAAAACGACGCCCAGAGTGCTGCAAAGAACGGACATATGGTCAAGACCTGTGGATTTGAGCCGCACTGTGTTCGTTCAACCAGCTGAAGGGCACGTGACACTCTCTCCCTCCTCCAAATCGCACTGTGCGAAGCAGGGAGCAAGTGTAGACCATTTTCAGGGTCCAACTCGACTGTCAAAGTTATCCCCACGAATCACCTCACAAACGTATGTCCAAATTACTGAAGAAATGCCAGGGACATCGAAGCAATATTCATTTGCGGAGAACCTCGTCAGAATGCACACGGGCGCGATAGTTCCCCATAGCCGTAACGGTCCAGCCAGTCTAGATCCAGCATACCAGGCCTTTCTGGCCCACTCGAACCCCTATTCTCAGCCCCTTATCCTATTGTTAGAGCCCCTGAGGGAAATGGAGACCTCCTATTTACTAGTAACGAAACTCGATATCCAGTTGTTCATTTGCATAAGAAGAAATGTAAATACGACAGACCAAGGTGGAGATGTTAACCATGAAGAATCACAAGGCAGAGGTCAGCTTAACGGGCGATAAGGGTCAAGTACACAATAAATTGCAATGTTTAACAGGACCAGCTTTATGAAAACGGCAAAACGACGCCAGTCGATTTGATTACCAAATGTTGTGCTGCATTCAAAGGCATTGAGAGCAGTTTGCTGAGAGGACGACAGGATAAGGTCTACAGTGTCAGGTGGCTATAAATATACTATGTTCAAACCTAGATCGATTGCCCCCTCCATGTTGTTGCCGCCACCTGTTTTGCCCCTGGCGCCTGGCGTTTCCGCTACAGATTAGCGCATGCTTACGTCGGTCCAGCACCTAATCGCGTCCGAAACCCCGCCCTGTCTCAGCCTCTTTCCCCATCCACGCTGCACTCACTCTGGCACTGTCGAAGGCTGTCCCGGGGCGGGGACTGCACTAAATTGATTCCAGGATGCTGAGAAGTCGTCTCCAAGCCCCCTCTGGGCCTAGCCGCCATGGTCATCTTACAGTGCAGTCCCTCCCCGCTGTTGCCCTCCGTCACCGAGTCGGCCAAAATTGACGGGTCGGTCCTGCTCTCTAATCCTCCGCCAACTCTCAGCTTCTCCTCACTCTGTGCCTCTTTCCCTTTCTCACTCCTCGTTTCGCATCTACACTCTTTTCCGACTGCTTCTTCATCTTTCCCTCGATCACGATCTTTCGACACGTCCATTGGCAGCGCTCGATTCTCGCCTTTCTGCATTCTGCGCACCTTCATCAGCAGCGTTGGTTTTTGTAACTGCGGCCCATTTCCTTCCGAACCTAGTCTCTTCCACCGCCCTCCGCCTTTCTCCTCTCACGCTCACTTTCCTCGTTTTCCGCATTCGACCTCTCAAACGTCTCTCCTGCGTCTCGAGTATCCTCGACTGTCCACAACCGCTCTTTGAAGACTGTCTCGGTTTCGTGCTCCGCTGTCTGTTAGCTGTACATCGTCCAGACAGTGCCTACGGCAAACACTCGATCAACCTCTCCAAATAAACCCTCCCACCTCCCCACCTCAGACACAGTTTCGCGAACATGTCGACGTGGAAATTGACAAAGAGTAAGACATTATCCAGTCTGCCCCGGTTTCTGCCAAGACAATGTAACATGGATCGTTGTGGGAGGATGCATGTCCCAACGTCAACTCGGAGGCTGCATGCTCGGAACGTGCCAGACATATCGGACGCACCTGAAATGAATCCAAGGCTGATCGTATCTCCCTCCTGCTATAGAGCTGAAGGAGACTCATCTGGGTCCCCTTGCCAACTTCTCGCGGTCGACGTCCACGTCCACCATTGCTCCCGAGAAGGAAGAGAAGCCTGCGGCTACGCCTCCCGTCGCCTCCAGCACCCCGACACCCCCTTCCAGCAACATTGGTAAGCCGAACTCCGCCCGCATCTCGAGTGTCTCCTGGGGATCCTAACTCTTTCTCCAGCTGCCTCTGAAGCACTCAGCCAAACCGATGTCATCAAGCCCCCAAAACCCGGCATCCTGGTCGTCACCCTCCACGAGGGCCAGGGCTTTGCCCTGCCCGAGCAGCACCGCAACGTCTTCAACCCCCAACACCAGTCCTCTCTGTCCACCAGCAATGCCCTCTCCAACATGGTCTCGGGGTCCGTCCGACCCAGCTCCTCGCAGCGCCCAGCAGGCGGCTTTACAAATGGCTCCAGCCGGCCGCAGACGTCCGCAGGCAGCGGCTTCGGCAGCATCCCCACCAACCACGGCCGTGTGTCGGGCAAGTACATGCCGTACGCCCTTCTCGATTTCGACCGCATGCAGATCTTTGTCAACTCCGTCGAGGGCACCCCCGAAAACCCACTCTGGGCCGGCGACAACACCCAGTACAAGTTCGATGTGTCCCGCGTGACTGAGCTCGCCGTCCACCTCTACTTGCGCAACCCCAATGCACCGCCCGGCTCTGGCCGCAGCCAGGACATCTTCCTCGGTGTCACCCGCATCAACCCCCGCTTCGAGCAAAGCCAGCCGTACGTCGAGGACCCCAAGCTGGGCAAGAAGGATCGCGAAAAGGCCGCTGCCGAGCACGCGGCGCGCGAGCGTGCCGCAGGCTTCAGTGGCATCGACTGGGCCGATGTGCAGTACGGGCAGGGCCGCCTCAAGATTGGCGTGACGTACGTCGAGAACCGGGCCGGCAAGCTCTCGATTGACGACTTTGACCTCCTCAAGGTCGTCGGCAAGGGCAGTTTCGGAAAGGTCATGCAGGTGTGCAAGAAGGACACGCGGCGCATCTACGCGCTCAAGACCATCCGCAAAGCCCACATCATCTCGCGATCCGAGGTCGCCCACACGCTGGCCGAGCGGTCGGTGCTGGCCCAGATCAACAACCCCTTCATTGTTCCGCTCAAGTTCACCTTCCAGTCGCCCGAGAAGCTGTACTTTGTGCTGGCCTTTGTGAACGGCGGCGAGCTGTTCCACCACCTGCAAAAGGAGCAGCGCTTCGACATCAACCGCGCACGCTTCTACACGGCCGAGCTGCTGTGTGCGCTCGAGTGTCTGCACGGTTTCAACGTCATCTACCGCGATCTCAAGCCCGAAAACATTCTGCTCGACTACCAGGGCCACATTGCCCTCTGCGATTTCGGCCTCTGCAAGCTGGACATGAAGGACGAGGACCGCACCAACACCTTTTGCGGCACGCCCGAGTACCTGGCGCCCGAGCTCCTCATGGGCCAGGGCTACAACAAGACGGTCGATTGGTGGACGCTCGGTGTGCTTCTGTACGAGATGCTGACGGGCCTGCCGCCGTTCTACCACGAAAACACCAACGAAATGTACCGCAAGATCCTGTCGGAGCCGCTCTATTTCCCGGGCACCGACATCGTGCCGCCGGCCGCCAAGGACCTGCTCACCAAGCTGCTCAACCGCAACCCGGCCGAGCGCCTGGGCGCCAACGGTTCTGCCGAGATCAAGGCGCACCGCTTCTTTGACGCCATCGACTGGCGCAAGCTGCTGCAGCGCAAGTACGAGCCGGCCTTTAAGCCGAGTGTGGTGAGTGCCTCCCCGTGCCCCAACAAACCCGCATGTCCACATGACTAACTGTTTTTTGATTGCTGCCGACAGACCGATGCACGCGACACCGACAACTTTGACCCCATCTTCACCAACGAGGCGCCCCTCGACTCGTACGTCGAGGGCCAGCCCCTGTCCCAGACCATGCAGTACCAGTTCGAGGGCTTCTCCTACAACCGGCCGATCGCCGGCCTGGGCGACGCTGGCGGCAGTGTGCGGGACCCGTCGTTTGTGGGCAGCATCCAGGATAACCGATAAGCGTGCGGCGGAGTTGTCCAGTCTTTTTTTTTTTCAGGTTTTTTGATATTTTGGTCATTTACATCTGTTCATGCTGGTCGTTTTTTTATTTTTATTTTTTTGCTTTCTTTTGATACACTTTCTTGTTTCTTGCCATTCGCCTTCTCGTCGTATCGTATCTTACATGTAGACGACGTCGTCCATTGGTATTCGACCTTTTTGGGTGCTTCACCATCGTTTTCTGTACGGACAATGCACACAATATATGGATGACAGACGACACGGATAGGACGCTGGCCGACATACAGCGGCTGGCGATTTTCACTTTCTGTTCTTTGGGTTTTTCTGAGACATTCCGATAGGACGGCTTCTATGATATGTTGTCGAATGTCGACGTCCATATACACGCAGCCTCTTGACTTAGTGCAATGTGACATACGATGGTATTGTTGTTTCCGTGTCTTTATCATGGTGGTCACAAATCTATCACTGGATGATTTAGATATGAGGGATGTTCTTTTTAAATTTGTAAGCTGCTTTATTGATCACTTATTTATTTGAAGTTATTTCAAGGAAGATAAACAACCAGAATAAATGTTAAAATACGACGCGAAACCTAATTCCTTTTCAATTAAAATAAATAAATAAATAAAATACAGGAACCATTGACGAACTCCTATTTTCATGGTTTTAAACAACTGGGCATTCAAAATGTCTCCTTACTCGTCACAAGCTCTGGATTATGTCGTACTTTGCCAACAATTATTTAATCATCTATGCCTAGGTGCTTTGTCTTGCTTAGGCAACGGCTGTCTGCTTTCCAATTACACACCATTTTATGCAAGATCCGTATCCGAGCAAGATGTAAGCCGTTTTGTCATTGTTGTTGCTGCGCTTGGACGTGTTTGGTCAGCTTTCGCCCAGAACGCGACATTTCGTTACTCAGCTTCACAACTCGCTGTTCTCATCCCGTGCACGGTTCCTTTACTGCTTTCTTCGCCTTCCATTCCGAACCTCCTCACAGCAGTCTCTCAAACCTGAACAGCTTGGCAGGACTGGGAACGTCGGTCGGTATCGGCAATCTGACGCCCTCGGGTTTGCGGGAAAATGGAATGCTATTCATTGACCAGAAAAATATGGAGAGCGAGGCTTGGAGGGAAGAAGGGGCCGATTGGCTGGGCCAGGTAGCGCTGGCGAAAGAACGCAGGTCCTTTGGTGTTAAGATTACTTACCCCTCCTTAGTTCAGCTTCAGCAATAGCCGGCGAGCTTCTGGCTTTCAGGGTGGGGCGCTGTGTGCTGTCAGTGCGCTGTGTGCTGCCAGCGTTCTGTAGAGTGAAAGGCGTTCTGCAAACGGTGCAGCGATAACGTCACTGCAAAAACATACCCCTCAATTTACACCATCTACTGTCGCGGGGCTACTGGTGTTCTTTCTTCCAGGTTCAGACTGACTTGAGCTGGGTTGCTCCTGCCGCCTTCTCGCGAGCGTTCCTGCCTGTACCTTACACTTGTTAAACAGCTCCTTAAGATAAGATCAAAGAGCGACATGTCTCTGGCGGACAAAGACGGACCTTCATAGCTCCTTCCTGCCATTCGCCCCAGCCGCTGCCCAACGGTTTCTTCATATTTCAAAAAGAAGGCGATACCGGTGAGGACCTTCCCCCCCAAAGCGACTGCCAAGCATCGTCAATTCCCGCTCACTAAGAGCCCCAGAATTTTGGAGCCGTAAGGAAATACGGAAAACATGGGCGCGCACGGAGAAACTCTCGCCTCGTGTCTGTGTTTCCCCGATCCAGCCTCCGTTTCGTGGTCGTTGGTCGATTCTCATCCCACGCCCGCCCCCCTGCTGGTTCTGGCCTCGTCGGAAAAGCGATGCGCAGTAAAAAGTAAAAAGCTCTTAGAAGTAGTGTTCGTCGTAGCTATGAGGCGTTCGAAGAAAGAGGAAAGAACGACTGGCCCCCCGATACCCGATTAAACATAAACTCTTTCCAGCTAATTTTGTTCTCACGAACTGTTTCTTTCCCAAGCTCTTGTCCTCCTTCTCTCTCCGAAAAGCCTCACTTTTTCATCCAGTTTGTTTCGTCGGATAAAACCAGCTGTCTCCAACCCCACCACAACCGCGACCTACTGCAATGTAAGTGCTTTTGTTTGTTTGTCCTATCAGGTCCCACTCTCAGTCTACCTTTACGAACTGTGCATGTTCGTGGTTTGAAGCTTGAGAACAGGCGAGGCAGAAGGGCAAAAGAATACGACCGAGAGCGAGAGGAGAATGATACACGAGTTCCTGCAAGAGATGCGCAGTCCATCCGCCGAATTGGTTTGCTCGTCCAAAGTTCCCCACGTCTCGCCAATGGATGCGGTCATAGCTGGCCCAGGCATGGTTGGCGGCGGTGGTGCTGGTGCTGTTCGCCCTATGAAATAAGCACTGCCCTGGCCGCGGCCATTGCTTGTTGTCAAACAGTGCTTTGCTAATAAGTGGTGGGCGGCTCCAACACCGATACAGGCTTCGGATCTCTCGCTCTCGCTGTTTCTTGTTCTTCTGTGTCACTTTCGTTCTTTCTAACTTCAACCATCAACTTACTTGCATTCACCATCCAGCCAATTCTCCCACAAAACTAAAAGCAGCTGCTCTAGTACTTTCCCCTGCTCGACGTCACGAAACCTGAGCGTTGATCCCCGCTTTCGACCGTCTCCAAACTCTCGAGGTACGTGGGACTGTCGTCCGCTGAAACAAGCTGCGGAGCTGTTTCGCCATGCTCTTTGCTTCCGTGCTTGTTCTTTTACTTTGCTCTGCTTAGTTTAGTGCTCCCTTGCGTTTCTTTTTATTTAGCCCTGGTATGGTGTCTGGTCGTCGAGCGTGTGCTTGTCGCAGATGCATCTAGGCTCTGTTTCCACATGCTGTTTTGTCTTCATGCCGGTAGCAAGAGGCAGATAGAGGGTGGAGAAAGAGTTTGCTGGCAGCATCATGGGACGCAAGCTGCGACTGCCAGGAGCACACAAGCTCCATGGCGGACGCATTGGACCGCGGGATGCGGGGAAAATAGTCCATGGTTACAAGAGGGCTGGCTTTTGCAGATTTGCGCTTTCTTTTTGGTCTCTGGCATGCTTTTCTTCACCAATTGCTAACATCAGTATTTTTAACCTCTGGTAGTGAACTACTCACTTTCCACCACTTCTTCCCAACCACGACCATAGACCCCTCCCACATTCACAATGCCGCAGGCCAGTTCTTTGCCCGCCTGGGCCGAGCTCCAGAAGCACCGCAACACCGTTGGCGAGTCCTTTGTGCTCAAGGACGCCTTCGCCAAAGACCCCAAGCGCTTCGACAAGTTCACCCGTGTCTTCAAGCTGCCCGCCGACATTGCCAGCGACGGTACCGAGACCGACATCCTCTTCGACTTCAGCAAGAACTTTCTGACCGAGGAGACTCTGGCTCTGCTGCTGAAGCTGGCCAGCGAGGCCAAGGTCGAGGAAAAGCGCGAGAGAATGTTCAAGGGCGAGAAGATCAACTTCACCGAGGACCGCGCCGTCTACCACACCGCTCTGCGCAACGTCGGACCTGAGCCCTGGACCATGACCGTTGATGGTGTTGATGTCGTCAAGACCCCTGGCGGTGTCAACGACGTGCTGAAGCACATGCAGGAGTTCAGCGAGGAGGTCCGCAGTGGCGCTTGGAAGGGTTTCACCGGCAAGAAGCTGACCAACATTGTCAACGTCGGTATTGGCGGTTCAGATCTGTACGTTTTCTATCCTTGCCGCTTACTGAGATGTGAAGAGTGAGTTCTGACTTCTGACAACGTATAGTGGCCCCGTCATGGTCACCGAGGCCCTGAAGCACTACGGCGCTGCTGACACGACCTTGCACTTCGTCTCCAACATTGACGGCACCCACATGGCTGAGGCCCTCGCCGCGTCCGACCCCGAAACCACCCTGTTCCTGATCGCCTCCAAGACCTTCACGACCGCCGAGACCACCACCAACGCAAACACGGCCAAGACCTGGTTCCTTGAGAAGACTGGTGGCAAGGGTGATATTGCCAAGCACTTTGTGGCTCTGTCCACCAACGAGGCTGAGGTCACCAAGTTCGGCATTGACAAGAAGAACATGTTTGGCTTCGAGTCGTGGGTTGGCGGTCGGTACTCCGTCTGGAGTGCCATTGGCCTGTCGGTCGCCCTCTACGTTGGCTACGACAACTTTTACAAATTCCTGGCTGGCGCCCACGAGCTGGACAAGCACTTCCGCGAGACCCCTCTGGAGCAGAACATCCCTTTGCTGGCCGGTGTCCTGAGCGTCTGGTACTCGGACTTCTACAACGCCCAGACCCACCTGGTTGCTCCGTACGTGCTCTCCCTCCAGTCACAAATAAATAACACCTGCGATGTATGTTCGTGATTGCTGACACTTCCTAGCTTCGACCAATACCTTCACCGCTTCCCTGCCTACCTCCAGCAGCTGTCCATGGAGTCCAACGGCAAAACTGTCACCTCGGACGGCTCGTCGGCCAAGTACACCACCGGCTCCATCCTCTTTGGAGAGCCCTGCACCAACGCCCAGCACTCCTTCTTCCAGCTTGTCCACCAAGGCACCAAGCTGATCCCTACGGACTTCATCCTGGCCGCCCAGTCGCACAACCCGCTGTCCGACAACGTGCACCAGAAGATGCTGGCCTCCAACTACCTGGCCCAGGCTGAGGCTCTTATGGTCGGCAAGACGGCCGACGAGGTCCGTGCCGAGGGCGGCGTCTCCGACGAGCTTGTGCCCCACAAGGTCTTCCTCGGCAACCGCCCAACCACCAGCATCCTCGTCGGCGGCCACATTGGCCCCGCCGAGCTGGGTGCGCTGATTGCCTACTACGAGCACGTCACCTTCACCGAGGGTGCCATCTGGGACATCAACTCGTTCGACCAGTGGGGTGTCGAGCTGGGCAAGGTCCTGGCCAAGAAGATCCTCAAGGAAATTGACGAGGAGGGCAACGGCACGGGCCACGACTCCTCGACCGGCGGTCTGCTGGCTGCTTTCAAGAAGTACTCCAAGGTCTAAATGCAGATTGGAAATGACGACGTGGGTGCGGAGAAGGCTGGTTTGACGGGACGCAATCAAGACTGCTCCGTAAAGAAGCAAAACGACAATGGGGTGGCCATGTTGTAGCACATTGCGCAATATCGTTCCAATTTATACCTGATTGTCGATGACCTGTTGTCAGATTCTACTCGTAGAGATCAAAGTGTGCATTTTGTGACAGTATGCGGTACGGATTGTCAAATGATTTGCTATTCACAATAATGAAATTTTAGTGATTTTATTAAGCACTTTTGGGAGAAAAAAATAAATATATTCAGTTTGCCGCTCAATGCAAAACTGAAATAGAACATCTAAAGCCGTCATAAATATGGCGGGTAGAAGTAGGGACAGTATTGAAAATAAAGTAATCGCGCCAGTAAAGTCAGAAGGCCTCCGTTCCCGTCCGTGCAGTTGACATGTATGTCGTCAATCTTGCGTTTGTAGATCGATCCAGAGAGTATGGTGATACGTCTCTCCCAAAGCGCCGAAAAGAAAGTACTTAGTATTGGGGGTATGATATCGTGAGAACGCAGTTCAGAACACGCGCCGGAGAGAAAACAGTAGAAAATGGAGTGAGAATAAGAGAGAAAGGCCCAGAAAACGGGAGAACGGATTATTTTGTTGCGTCGTCGCGTTAGGACGTAGCGGCCGGCGTGTCGCCGCCACCACCGCCGTCGTTTTCATTTTTGAGTTGCGCCATGCGGTCCCTGTGCAGTAGGGCTCGTTTCCGATTCCGCAGGTCAAAGTCGAGGACGTGGCCGTACCCTCGTCGCTGCAGCTCTGCCTGGATCTTGGCAATGGTCCAGCCAGGGCTGCTGCTGCCGTTGCCGCCAGCAGTGTTGTTTGTGTCACCGCCGCCCTTGCTGTTGCCACCCGTCCCCACAGTCGACGCATCCCGCAACCATTGGTCCACCTCGGCCTTGAGCGCCCGCGGGAGCTTGCGCGCTCGCGGGTCCAGCATCAGGTCTGCCGCCGCATGGTTGTGCTGCATGTGGTCGTCGTTGGTGTAGTGCACGGCATAGCGGTCGGCACCAGGGCGCACTTCTACCAGTTCGAAGCGGAAGGGACATTCGCACTTTTTCGAGATGCGGTCCGTTGTAGGCTTGCGACGGCGCGGCGGCAGGTCGGGGAACAGTTGCAGCCGTTCCTTCTCTCGCTCGCGCTTGGCCTCTTCTTCTTTGGGCCGCAAGCGTGAGCGACCGCCGCGAAAGCAGACCATGCGGATCTTTTGGCGGCGACCGTGGGAGCGCGTGCCATTGATGCGCATACTGTAGCCGCGCGGGATCGTCCAGCCGTCGAGCTCTTCTTGCAAGGTGGCACGCCCGGACACAACAAAGCCCTCGGGCAGGGCCTCGAGGCGGCTCTCGCCGACGCCAGTTGGCTGTAGCTCCTTGGGTAGCGTGCCGCTGGTGCTCCCACCCTCACCGGATCCGCCTGCTTCGTCTATTCGGCCTTGTTGCTCATCGTCGTCGTCATTATCGTCATCGTCGTCATCGTCGTCGTCGTCTTTGTCAGCCGGCCGGCTGTTGCTGGCCTCGAGATCTCCGTCGCTATTGTCGTCTTCAAACTTTACCCTTGACTTTGTCGCGTGCGACGGTTGCGAGGATCGTTTGGAGGAGGATATCGAGGTAGGAGATGGCTTCGAGGGGTCAATGTCGTATGGGGAATATGGTATCGGTGTTCCTGTCGGTGGTATGCTGAAGGACGTTGGAGACGGTACGGAGGACGACGGTGTTGTGGCTGCAGCGAATTGTGTAGCGCCTGGTAATGGTTGGTGGAGTGGTGGTAGTGGTGGCGCTGTGGATGGTAGTGGCTGTCGGCTAATGCCGGTGTTGGCTTGACTGTCACGATGCTGCGTAGGCACTTGTGCATGCGTTTTGCGGACGGTTTGAGGTGTTGCCGACAGCTGTTTGGGGTCTGGAACGGCCAAGACGTTCTCGATGACGTTGAGGCGCTCGTTCAAGGCGTTCAGCGAGTCCAGAAGACTGTGCAGGATGGGGTGTTCGTCGTCCCTAGCAGACGGCGGCTGGTCATGTTCAGGTGGCATTGTGGACGGCTTCTTGGTGGCAGTGTTTGGTGTTGGAAAACATCTGCTATCTCCAATTCGATTGCAGTGCACGCGGCGCGGGCCCGGTTGGGAAAAAAAAGGTATGCAAATGTCAGGAGCGTGTTTCGGACATGGGGCGGGGAGATTGACCGGTCGATGCGCTGTGATGCGTTGCGGTGATCTGGGGGATCGTGCAAGCGATCCTGCGATGTCAATATTTCTAGACGTGGGAAGTTGTGGCAGCCAACATTTGCCGACGAAGTGTGTTAAATTCGTCAACTGTCACTATGTGTTGCTCGTCGTCTCGTTTCTCCGTTCTTCTATTTCTCGGAAAATCCTCTTTTGGGTCGCCGAAAAAGGTATTCCCTCCGAAGTTAATCCATTCGTGGGGACCTGTGTACTTGAGAGTACGGAGTATGCCGTGGATGGGAGTGTGAGATGAGACACAAACGAGCGAGTGATCGAGCCAGACAATGGCAGGAAGGTAATTGAAACAGTGTGCGTGAGGCTGAAGTTGAGACGTCTAGGCAGATTTCACATGGTGAAAAAGAAATAAGAGAAGGTTTGGGAGAGAACGATTCAGAACAAATTGAGACAGAAAATGGAAATGATTCACGGGCAAAGCGAAGGAAGGAGTAGGGCAGAAGTAAGCAGGCAGCCTTGCTACGTATCGAATTGCGACTTATGGAAAGTGCCAACGAGTCAAGGGAAAGTCGGTTACAAAGACAGAGCAGGAAGCAGCGATGCAGATTTACAGGAGCTATTGCGCTTTGCGCTTGCATGTCCGCCTTCTCGTGTTGCTGCACAAACGATTTCAAGCACACTTTTGGAAGTGACTCGATCGGAATGACCAAAGCCGCGGAAGACTGGAAAGCGCCGGAGGCAGGCGCGGGCAGGCTTCTGCGGATGGAGGTGGTAGAACGGTGGTTTGTCAGGTTGGCTCTTTCCAAAAAAACTTTTAGGTTCCGTCCGAGGTTCTGGTGATGTCGATGGGGAAGGAGCTGGGGAGGAGGGGGACTAAGCGGGGACTGAGCACTAATTAGTCTTCGTGGCTTCTTTCTTTTTTTGGGGGGGTGGAGCAGCAGGAACGGAGGAAAAATAAAGGGGAATGGGTGTGCTAAGGAAGGCAGAGCGAAGACGGCGCAATGAAGTGTGAAGCAAGAGCAACCGGCGTCCTGTGGTGTGGACAAGACCAGGGGCAATTGGAGGCGATTCATTATGTCGGAGAGGGTGCCCGGCGGCATTGGTTTGGATGTTGGTGGTAGACGCACGTGACTCTGTTCGACGGGTGGGGCGGCGTTGTTGACATATAAGGAGGTCGTGCCTTCCCTCTTTCGCAAATCGACGGCCATCGCTCTTTCCTTCTTTTTCAAACTTTGTGCCTGCGCACAGCACGTGAGTGCTCCAATTTGAAAAGGAGGGGTCGACCTTACCTTTATATATGGCTGCAGCCAGCTATTCTTCCGATAGAAGAGCTTGGTGTAGTGGTAAGAGCTCAGATGGTTCTTTCCTCGAGTGTCACCTAGGAAAGCATGTTGCTGACCTCCGCACCCCAGAGTACCCGCAAGGGTGCGCTTGATGGTGTGCGGCGCGAAGCATCCTCTGCCTGTACAGTTTCGCTGAGGTCAAAGGATCCTCTCTGAGAAACCTGCCGCGACAACCAGGAAGATCTGGATCGATAACCAATGATACCAGACCGCTAGGGGTGGACTGCGTACGGATCTTGGGGTTCACCTGTCGTGAAGGATCTAGCTCTTCCCGTGGGTCTGATCAACTCATTTTTTTGTGAAAATTTCTAATAATTTTTTTTGTGCAGTTCAGCGTCGCGATGCATCTACGAGTGTAGAATGGGCAGTTGGTACCTGCTTTTGCTCGAATGAACGAGAGGTAGGAACGATTCGACGATACCGTGATGTGAAGATGAGCGGACGGAAGGTGCGATGCAACGAAAGATGTATACTTTGTCTCTTTTTATCTTTATGGTAATGGCAGCTGCGGGCGTCATAAGGCATGGAAAAGGTAGTCCTAAAGCTCAGCTATCCGGGACAACCGTCGAAAAAAAGTTTGGACGGCGTGGGCATTTTGCGCAGCCAATTGCATCCAGATCTTGTGTATATCACAACAAATTTTGGAGGCAAATGCGGAAAAAGGCGAAAGGGCCAAAAATGAGGGATGGGTTGCTCTTGCCTGGGTTCGAACGGGTGTACGGGCGTGCCTTCCTTGCGGTGGCTTGCGGTGGTCGCTCCTTCCCTAAACGCGTCTCATTGATGTGCCGCTACTGCCAGTTGAGTTGCGAGTGCAATGGCGCTGTGCTTGGTCTTTGGTGAACAAGGGGGAAGCAAAAATGGTGAAAGGCCGCAGCATTCAATCCTTTGAGATGTCATTTCGACGGTGCAGTGAATGCTGTCATAGAACCCGATATATGCGATGCGCCGTCGTCACTCAAATACAGCCATCATCCATGTTTAGCCACGGCCATCCACAGCCGCTCTCCACAGCAAGCAGGCCCAAGGGTATCCATCTGGGGGCGGTAGGTTTCGATCAGCTTTGACGATCCTCCATCGGTAAATAGCTTGTCAAGGTTGCCTCGACTCCGGACGAAGCACATACTGCTGCTGTTTCGAACCAGTTTGGACGGAGAAACCAGCCATTGGAAGAGGCATGGACGTGTTCACATCGTGATCGTTGCGAAAGAGAAGAGGATGGCATAAACGCCAAATCGAAGACTCAACGAAAGTCAATGGGAAGACATGGGACATGAAAGGCAAGCACTGGTACTGGCAGTTGTGCAGACCAGGAGTCTTCCACCGACGCTCTCTGCTGACTGGAAATCAGTGAATGTCTGGGGTCGCCAACAATCGGGTCACCAACTGACATGATGCACAAACTCGCCCTCGAATTTGCCGCCTGACAGGCTGGCGGTGCGGTCACGGCCAATCTCGCTAAGATGTACGAGGACATGTACGGCGTTGGCGCCTCGGAGCTTTCAGCGTGCTGTGTAGATGAGTGCGTAAGCTGTCGGAGACGCAGCGGCGGTACGCACTCGACCTCCGTAACAATCGACACCATGTCGGGCAACGAACCGATGCTGTTTCGTTGCGGACTCCGGTGGGCCTACGAAGGAAGCACTCCTGGGGACAATATGCTTTTAATTGGGCTTGGGTTTGATGTTAGAAAGTATGCGATTCTCTTTTGGACCGCTCATTTGGTTGCCTAAGCGTTTGTTTCACGCCTCTTTGAATTTATTTTGCTAGCTGTCTTTTCAATTCTCGGCGTTCACTGGACCGTTATCTGTTTCGTCTCATACTGCAGGTCATTGAGGACCTCGCCTTGCATAATGCCCATCACATAGCTGTCGCCCAACAGCTTGAAGCGCGTCTCGCCCGCCTTCCAATTCGAGTCCCTGGCCGTCTCGTCGCCGGACGGCTCCGGCTGATCGACCTTTCGCATGACAAACGGCGCCTCGGCACCGATGACTACAACAACCGAGTCGCCTTCTCTGGTGCCCGCAGACACTTGGCACAGGCGCCCAGACGTTGTGCGCGCCAGCATACGCATGGTCGACATGCCCACCATGGACGTCTCGATCATGGCGCTGTACTTGGACATCATTTCGTCAATTTTGGCGGCCGCCGCAGCCTTCGCAGCGCCATCACTGTCTCCGTCACCATCGCCCTGGGCGCTGGCGCCCGTGTCGGTGGGTGTCGGTGTCTCAAACATGCCCAGTGCGTGCTCGACATACTCGTCAAACGCGTCGTACACGGCCGGCGGCAGCGGGTCCCTCCGGTTGTTCATCTCGCTGGTCATGACGCGTGCAAACGCCGACCACTGTTCAGGCGTCATGGGCAGCGTCGCCGGGCTGTTTTCGAGGTCGTCAACGCCGAGGACAAAGTTCTTGCTGACGAGCAGCAAGTTGCGTCGCCACAGCTGCGTGGCGGCGAGCTCCTTGTGATTGTCGAAGCGGGCCAAGAAGGGCGCAATGTCGGCCTCTGAGGGTACGCAGCGGCCGATGACGGCGCTGGGGAGGATGGTAGCGATGGTGTCGACGACGCGGGCCTGGAGGTACAGCAGGGTGTGGTCGTCGGACACGGAGATTGGCGGCGTCGTGGGCCCGCCAGCATGGAACAGCTGGGGCAAGACGGAGTAGCAAGTGAAGGGGTTGATAATGCCCATGCCGGTGAGGTTGGGCACCCACGAGGGCAGGTCGAGGGGTTCAGACCGGGTGAAAATGCTGTCGGATGTTGTCGCGGTCGTGTTGACAAGGCTGCCGGCGGCCTGGGCAACATTTCGGCCCCGTTTGTCGACGGGTAGATCCGGTAGAAGGCGTACTGTTGGTGGCGGCGGCAGTTCGCTCTCGGCAACAGCGACGGTACGAGGCGGGCGCGACAGCTGCGGACACAAGCCGAGCAGCTTTAGATTCTGGTCGCCGACAAGGGTGGCCACGGCAAAGGCCGTAAAGACCTGTTCGGTGGTCAAGGTGTAGTCGGGCCGCAGCTGGTAGTGGGACGTTGGGTTCTGGGGCACGCTGAGGACGGCATAGATGTGGTCGCGCGGGTCGGAGCACTCAAAGAGCGGCGTGGCCATGATGCAGTCCAGCAGCTGGCCGACGTGGCGGAACGTGCGGATCATGCGCATGATCTGGATGTTTTGGAGGACGAGTCCGGCCAGGTTCATGTCGTCAAAGATGTCGCCCTTGTCATTGTCATTGTCTGTGGCCTGGTCCTGCTCGGAGACCAGCCCGGGCCCGCGGAACACCGAGGCGTGCTGAGTCAGGCTGGTGCTGCCCAGAATCTGCAGCAGGATGCCCCCGGCCGCAGTGTTGTAGGCGACCTCGGCCAGATGTGCCCAGGGGAACGTGATGCGGCCGCACGCCACAAGGATGTCTTGGGCCAAGCAGACCTCCTGGACAACCCATTTGCGGCGGAACCAGGGCCGCGTGAGCAGCGCCACAAGGGGCGTCCAGTCGTGGTCCAGAAAGTTGGGCTTGCCTTGGCGCTGCATCTCCAGAGCGGTGCCATAGATGCGCTGCTGCGTCGCGTAGAGGGCCTCGCTGTCGAGCGGCATGTCGGGCAGGAACGCCATGGCTTGCCGCAGACATGCCGGGACGTCGGCCACGCGCGGATCGTCATTGTCCTCGCCGAGCCACACGAGCACACGATCGGCGCGCGAGTAGACGTGCGGCATATGCAAGACCTGGCTGGCCTTTTCGACAAGATTTGTCTGCTGGATGCAGATGGCGTCGGCCCAGAGGGTGCGCTTCGGCTGGCCGGCAGCGGGGCGAAAGCGGCGGAGGGCGCCGTACAGGCTGACGGTGATGTCGAGGGGCACGTCGTTGCAGTGGATGGAGCGCACGTCGCTGGGATCGCCCCAACAGTAGGAGATGGCCTCAAAGGGCGGGAGGCTCTCGAGCGAGGCGGAGTGCAGCTCGACACGGACAATGTCGTCATCGTGTGTGTCGGCGCTGGGATCGTCACCAGTGGCGGGCAACAGTTCGAGCAAGCGGATCTCGAAGTTGTTCGAAATGGGTACATAGACGCCGCTGGCTGAGGGAACGGCCTCTTCCGTGGCCTGAACAGGCGATGGTTCAGCCATGTGTATCTGGCGATGGTGCGTACGACGTCGGAAAGGAGGGTAAACATAGAATCAACTAACAGCCGAAAGATAGATGAAGGACGCCCAGAAATGGCAAAAGACAACAAACGACGCCAGGAAACGACGACAAGACACGACGATGTTTCAATGAATCAAGCCATACAGACACCTGCATGACACGATGAGGCTCATTCTCACTCTTCCCCCCCTGCAGACTACCTGACGTGTGGGGTCAGACGAACGGCTCGCGGAATTCTGCGCACCTGTGCAATCTGCGCACGGTAGAGATGACACCCCTGTCGTTCTGGCCTGGCAATCGAATCCCAGGAAAAGGCAAGTTTTCTTGAGCATGCAGGTCTCGAAGGACGTCGTCCATTGTACTTTTCTAAATGTTTTTGTATGTCTTTTTCTAACGTCTTTTATTACGGCCCACGCAGCAAGCATATCTGCCGACTTTCATGAGTGCCCCGTTTTGTTGATACCAGTTTTGCTTTTACGTTGCTACGCACGCACACTACCACCGCCTCCACCGCCGCCACCATACCTCCGCCCTATGCCGACTTCCAGGTCACATCGGTAATGGGCGCGGTCCACGAATCGCTCGTGTCGACGGCCACACAGGTCTGCAGGCCCTCTTTGTTGACGACGCCGTTGACGGTCGTGGGCCCGCAGTTGACCTTTTTCGAGACGACCGTGGTCGACCGCCCGGAAAAGGCGACGGGGTGCTGGCGGTCCAAGTCGCTGCAGTACCAGTCGGCGACGAGGGACAGCTGCTTCGTGGAGGGCACGTACTGGAAGCGGCAGTCGTGCGGCCACAGGGTCGGGCTGTCGTCGCCGCCGTTGCCAATGATGCAGTCGTACCAGGACTCGGTGGTTGTGGTCGTGGCGTTGCCAACGGGCAAGGGCAGCGTGGTGTTGCCGCTCCACTTGGGGCCCTGCGAAATGCTGATGGGGAACTGGAAGCCCGGGTTGGACGTCTGGAGGATGAGGTTAAAGCTGATGCCCGTGACACCCGCGGAGCCGTTCTTTTGGGAGTAGCCGAAGGCGCTGTAGATCCAGACGGGGTTCAGCAGCGAGGAGACCGTGCAGCCGTCCGGGACGGGCTGGGGCTCTTCGATGGAGTAGGCGGGCAGAGCGACGGTGCTGGTGACGTGGCCGGTCACGGTGATGCCGCTCGTGGTGCCGTTCCCCTTGCTGGCGGCGGGCACACACTGTTTGCTGGTCTGCACGGTGCCGTTGCCGCCGTCGGTGGAGCTGGAACCCGGCAGGGTCTTCGTCACGCACCTGAGAGACAACGTGGAACTCCCGACGGCCGTGATCTGCACTGGCCGCGCTGCATCGCCGTCGTCGCAGAACCACGTCTGGTTCACGGTAAACGTGGACGTCGCCGGGTCAAACGAGGCGTCCGTCTGCGGCCGGTACTGGCCGATGCCCGACGAACTGAACTCGACGCCCGTGCAACCGACGTGGAGGGCCGTGGGCGACGTGTTGTTTGGAAGCGTTCCCGGGGTCGGGGGGCCACCTCCCAGCCCCGGGGGACCACCTCCCACCCCATAATAGGCCGAGCACCCAGACTCGTAGCCCGTGGCCGCATTGACAAGCTGCGCAATAAAGTCCTTCCGTGCCATGGACGTGACGCCGTCGCCCGTCCGGTCGACATACGAAACATCGCTCAGCGTCCAGCGGGGTGTCTTGGAGTTCGCCGCACAGCCCGGTTTGGCGTGGCCCGGAGGGCCCTTGGAGTAGGCCGGCGTCACCTCGACGGGCTTGTGCAGCGAGCCGCGGACCAACACGGCATCGTCGACGGCCGTGCAGCCAGTCGCGTTCTTGCCGCCGCAGCTGAGCTTGGCCGAGGCCGTGCCCTCCGCGCTAAAGGTCAGCGGCTGCGACGCGTTGCGGTCGCTGCACGTCCACGTCTCGTTGAGGCCGACGCGGACGGTGGTGCTGTTGGCGCTGGCCTGGACCACCGAGCCGAGGTCGAGAAACAGGGGCGACAGGGACGCGACCCTGCACGGCGTCCATCCGTCGGGATGCGCTGCGCCGCCTGCTGGACAGGTGACAGCGGCCGTGCGGTTGGTGGCGCGGTTGACGACGTGGAAAGCGGTGCCCGCTGTCTGCGAGACGGTCAAGTTCTGGACGTACCAGCTGGGAATGGAAAACGAGCTGGTCGTGCAGCCGGGGATGATGGGCGACTGTGGCGGGCTGACCTGTGCCGAGACGAGCAGCACGGCAGTCGGCGATGCCAGCAGCAGCACCGAGAGGGAGAGCATTCTGGACGTGTGGGCGTGGAAGTGCAGTCGGCAGTCTATTCTGTTGCTCTTGCTCTTGTCACGTCACGGAGTTGCTGCCCAAGTGATGAAGCATCGCGACACATTGCAGTCGTTTTGCGTTATATACGGCTCATTGGCGTTATCTTTTTTTCTCTATCCCTTTTCTTTTATGGAAACTCCTCCTCTCGTTTATGAAATCCAATTTGGGTCTGAATAGCCTGATTCAGGGACGCGATGGCAAAGATGCACGGAACTGGCTGGCATTCAAGTAAGACACAAAAAAACATACATCGAACTGCAACACGCACTTATTGTTCCGATCCAATTCAGGGCGCGGAATAATAACGACGAAGACAAGACGAACAAATAATCTATTGGCGGAGACATTGATTCAACAGCCGCAGACACGGCTCGGGAAATTGAAGAATACATGGGACGAAGACGACGACGAAAATATCACAATTAACGACAATTAGCGACGATTCTCCCTAAATTCCGGCTTTCTGGGCCACAGCCGTCGGCCAGGCTGCATTGCACTTATCCAGGAACCGAATAATGAACGACAAGGCAGCGATGCAAATCACATGGGGTCTTTTTGATTATTCGACTCTCATTCTCAATGGCCATGGCCATGAAGCAACTGAATAGACGTCACGACGTCTTCTAACAAGCCAAGTTCATACCAATTGCGACGGCCAACTTATGTCGATTCGTTTTCAAATCATTTCCCTTTTTCATATTGTTTTCTCAGCTAAGTCAATTCACCAAGCCACACAGCTGTTCCTCTGCCTGTTCTTTGTCCTAGATCGACATGCGGTTTACGAGGCTGCCACTAAGAAAGATGCCACTGCTTTGCAGCTGCCACAGCGCCTCTCGGAGATAATCGCAAGTCCGGCGGTGGCTTACTCCCGTATTCGCGGCGATGTTAAAACGTCAAACATCAGTCAACGACGTCTACCGGTGTTTCCCACTACAAACACCAATTGACACAACCACACACCCGCCATGGCCGGCTTCATGTTCGTCAATGGTCGGCAAAACGACCGGTCGACACAGCGGAGGATGCGGCAACACGTTATGCAGGGAAAAAACGCGGGCAAGACCCTGCATCGACCATCGCGCCAGCTGAAGGCTGTACGGAGGGGAGACACGGCCAAACAAGGGGCGACTGCTACGTCGACGTCGTCGTCATGCTCCAGCTCTTCGCTCTTTAGCCTTACAGAACCACTGGACATCTTGAAACGGCTGCCGCCGGTCACGGCATTCTATGCGGCGATCGACAGCCCGGTGGCCATGACGTCGTTTGCCTTGCAAGTGATTGATGCTTGTGAGTTGTGCTGTCCTTTCTTTCTTTTGTCTAGTACCCGCTATGGTGGTGTTTGGCTGCTTCGCAACCCATCGTTTCTTTGAGCATCGCTAACGCGCTGCTCGGGCGATGCTCGGGCGCTGCGCTTAGACTTCAACGGCACCGTCGAACGCGTCTACGCACACAGCTTCGGCGTCACCTCCGCCTCGGCCAAGCCGCTCTGGTTCCAGTTCATCTTTGCCGACGAGGCCGCCTACCACTGCACGCTGGCGCTCATGCAGGCCAGCAACGAGGTGGTCTTGGGATCGGCGACGGGCTGTGTGGTGGCCAGCAGCAGCGGCGCCAGCGGCGACAGCGCCGCCAGCGGCGACAGAAGCGTCGCCACGTATGGGCACTACGTGGCCGAATCGCTGAGACAACTCAAGACGAGACTGGACGGCCCAGATGCCCTGGCCAACTCGACCATTCAGCTCGTGCTCATGTTCATCTCGCAAGAGCAGATGCGGCACGCGTCACGGAACGCGCGCGTCCACTTGGCCGGTCTCGCGCAAATGGTGGCCCTGCGCGGCGGCCTGGCGGCATTTGAGACGCGGCCCGCGGACCGGCCGCTGCTGCTCAAAATCTGCAAGATTGATATTGTGTACGCCCTGCAGTTTGGCGCGCCGCCGCTCTTTTACCGAGACGTTCTGGCGAGCGTGGTGGACCAGCTGGACATTGGGGGCCGGTGCGTGCGGGCCGCCAGAGACACGGCTGTCACGCACCACGCCGGTCTGGCCCTCCAGCAGCCCGGCCTCTACGCCCTGCTGTGCGACGTCTTGGCCGTGTCCCTCTTGTTTGAAAAGGAGCTGCCGCGGCGGCCCATTGACGTCTTTACCTTTGGCGACATCTTTTCGTCGCTGTGCTACCGGCTGCTGCGGATGGGACGCGAGACGTTTCGAGCAGATTCGACAGGCGACCTCTACCACCTGGGCATGACCATGTTTGCCATGGCCCTGTTTCTCCGGTTTGACCAGCGACGGCTGCTGGGCTACCAGCTGATTGGGAAGAGGTTTCGAGCGGTTGTGGAGGACGACCCAGGCGAGAGCAGGAGAAGCGAGCGCAGCGAGGACCCTGACGACATAAGAAACGACGAAATTTGCTTCTGGGTCGTAATGATGGGCGGAATGTGGACACAAGGAAATTGGTCCAAGGAAGACTGCCCTGGGCGGACACAAAAGGCACGCAAGGTACGAAAGTTGGCCGACCGGCTGGGAATCGCAACCTGGGAGAATGCACGGACTGTCCTGGATAAGTATCCGTGCTTGACAGTGCTTCACAGCCAACCAGGGCTGGAGTTGTGGGAGGCGTCGAGGGAGGCAGTGTAATGCATGCACAGTTCGGTACAGCTTGAGATCTACCCAGGATTTTTGTCAGGCTGACTTGTCTTTGACCCCTTCCCCCCACACCGCTGACCTCGTCTGGTCATGCCCGCCAAAATATCTGATTCTGATGTCATCTGGTGCTGACCCGGTTCAGCCATCTTTCGTTCAGATCCCGTCCGTCGGCCTTGCGCTTATCTCCGGACACAGCTTTGGAGATCTCCTGACGACGGAATTGAGCCTCCGATCTCCGGTGTGTCAAATATTACGCCAGAAAACGAAAAGAACGACAATTCTTACATCGACCGCTCTTGATGCCAGTTGGTGCATCGTCCCAAATAGGAAGTCGATCTCGTATTGGCCAGTTCAGGGTCTGGCTAGTCCCGAACGGGTATCAAGTCTCTTATTGGCCGGTTTTACAGTATAAGAGGGTCCTATTCTCTGGCTCTAGTCCCAAAATGGCAATAAGTCTCTTATTTCCGACGACAGCATCAACGCATCGACGACAACCGAACAGACACGATGCTAACGAACATGGCCGCGAGAGACGTATATAAGAAGGGGAAACGGACGATTTACGAGATTCTGTTTCTCTTCTGTCTTTATTCACAACTCTTCTAGTCTTCCCTCTACTCGTCTTCAACTCACTCAGTTGTCTCTTCTCTTCGTCAACATCTAAACCACCACCATATCCACCACATAAACTCCTACCACACCCCCTACCACCAACATGCCTACCACATACGCCGAGTTCGGTCCCAACACCGAGGCCACAGAGGTCGCCCAGGCCTTCCAGGACCGCGTCCGCGGCAAGACCGTCCTCGTCACGGGCGGCAGCATCAAGGGCATTGGCTACGCCACGGCCTACGCCATGGCGTCCCAGGCACCTGCTCACCTGATTCTGGCCGGCCGCACGCCCGCAAAGCTCACCGAGTGCATAGACGCACTCAAGGCCGCCTTCCCGGCCGTCGATGTCCGCCCCTTGCCGATCGACCTGTCGAGCCAGGCGTCCGTGCGCAAGGCGGCGGCCGCCGTGCTGGGGTGGGCCGACGTCCCCACCATCGACTACGTCTTCAACACCGCCGGCGTCATGGGCCTGCCGCAGCGCACGCTGTCCGTCGACGGCATCGAGATGCAGATGGCCACCAACCACATGGGCCACTGGCTGCTGTCGTGCCTGCTGATGCCGAAGCTGATTGCGGCGGCCCGCGGCCAGCCCAAGGGCAGCGTCCGCATTGTCAACGTGTCGGCGGGCTCGGCCTTTATCGGTGCCATGCGCTGGAGCGACATGAACTTTGACGTCGTCAACAAGCACCTGCCGGCCGCCGAGCAGCCCAACTACGCGTTCATGACGCGCTGGGGCTACACGGGGCTCGAGGACGTCGCGTACGCCGGCATCGACGGCTACAACCGCAGCAAGGTCGCCAACGTCCTGGCCGCCGTCGGGACGACGCACGCGCTCTACGCGTCCCACGGCATCCTGAGCGTCGCCGTCCACCCGGGCGTCATCCCGACCGAGCTCGGCCGCGACTTTGAGCCGCTCGTGCTGGACAGCGTCCAGGCCATGGTGGCCGACGGCACCATCTCGTACAAAACCCTGGGCGCCGGCGCGTCCACGTCGCTCGTGGCGGCCCTCGACAGCAAAGTGACAGTCGAGGCGCGCGGCGGGCCCCGGAACCGCGAAAACTACGGCGTCTTCATGGTCGACTGCCAGGTCAGCGACGGGGCCACCGACCTGGCCACGTCGAGCGCGGAGGCGGCGCGGCTGTGGGCCCTCTCGGAGGATCTGGTCAAGGAGAAGTTTTCCTGGTAGGCTGAGACAGACAGAAGAGATGATTTGTGGACAAGTCGAAGCTCGCTCTTCGCGGCAGCAGCCAGGAGATAGGCATCACATTGAACCATTAAAGTACGCCCCATGACTGTGCTTTAAGCAAGATGTCTCTGAATTTCAGTCGGGTTTGAAGATCAGTTGTGGAAGAATTACAGTCCTGCTGGCGCAGCCGAACAAACTACAGCCAGCTCGTGGAGCCGTGCGCGGCACAGACCATCCGTCAGAGTGTCCGTCGTGCACGTTGACATTGGTGTAGAAACAACAAAGTGTATGTTGAATTTTGAATATTGTACTTGAATACTGTATTCATCCGTCGTACTACCAGGGTATCTCGCACGTAAACAATGAAATACACAAAAACAAAGTACCACGCTCCGTAAATGCACTCTTTGCCTCTTTGGCCCTTCGTATTTACTGCACAGCCGGCGACATCACCAAAATTACCCACGCCACCGTCCCGTCGACGTCCTTGAGCGGCGTCCAGTGGCTCATCAGTCGCTGCAACCGGGGAGGCGCAGCAACACCACCACTACGACGCTCGCCCGACCCGGTCCCGGGCCGCTCGTACGTGCCACTCCGCTTGCGCCGGCTCGACGGCGGCCACCGCCCCTCGGACACGCGGCTGCCGTCCCACGACGACATGCCCTCGTCATCCATGGAGTCCCGCTTGGACCGACCTCCGCTCAGCAGCAGACTGGACCGCCGCGACGCCGTGCTCGCGCCGGACTCGTCGCCGCCGCCGCCGCCGCTCGCATTCGCCGGCGACGCGAGACCCGCGCCCAGCCCCGCCGACACAGCACCCGGCGCCATCACGCCACTGGCGGGGATGCTCAACTCCAGGCTGGCCGACTCAGAGGTCACCACCCGCTGGCGCACGTTCGCGCGGAACACGGGTGTGATCGACGGCGAGCCGGCCAGTTCGGAGAGCACAGCAAACACGTCGTGGTACATGACGGCTTCCTGTGCCGCCGGGCCCAGACCCAACAGGTCCAGCATGGGCAGCGACGAAAAGGCAACCTTGAGGCGGCTGACGGAGGAGAACGCGGAAGGGTGCGGGGCGGACGTGACGCCTGCACTGGAGCCGTAGCGGCTGTTGCGCCGAGACGATGATGACAGCGGTGGTGGCATGGGGTTGCTGTAGTCCGGACCGTGGCTGGAGCCGGGCACGAACTGCAGCACCATGAACCGTGCGTACATGGACGTCGTGTCGTCGAGAGAGGGTGTGGCGGGTGGCGAAAGGTTGATTTGCGGCGCTACTGCCGTCGTCATCGGCGGCTGAACCGGCGGCGTCGAACGAGAGACCACGTCACTACCAAGATTGAAACGGGCCGCCGACTCGCCTCGTGATGATGGAGCTGCCGACGTGTCGGTCCGCTTCTTGCGCGAGAAGGGGTTGAAGAACGACTTGGATGATGGCTTTTCCGTCTTGTCCTGCTTGGAAAGCTGCGGGCGACCGGACGCGACATGCGAGGCCGTAATCGTGCCCATTGGGCGGTTGACGTCGCGGTGGACCGGCATGGTCAGTTCGTGGCTGGGCGAAGGCTGGGCAGCAGCCGGCGCCGCAGCCGACAAGGCACTGACAATATCCCCTTGCGTCTTGACGGCGTCCGTCACATCCACCAGTCCAGAAAGCACAAACCGCACGCGACCACTGGCCGTCTTCAGGGGGCAACCCGACACCAAACTCCAGAACGGCCGGTTGTCGCGGTGATTGCGTGTGAGCACCAAATCCTCACAGAAGGCATCCTCGTTGCTCACTTCGGGCCCACGGAAAAAGCGGCCCGTTCGTGGGATGTCCTCCGACCGGTTGTATCCCAATACTTTGGCGAAGCTGTCGGATGCGTACACGACCGGGTTGTCCGGGCGGTACGGGTCCGTCAAACAAAACGCCTGGCCCAGACCCTCGAAGCGGAAGGGCGTACTGGCCGCACCCGCCGACGATGCGCCCAGCGAGTTCTTCATACGGAACATGAGCTGGCGCTTGACAAAGTCTGGGTAGATGTTACGCACAACGCGCTCCTGAATGTGTGCATTGACGTCGCCGAAGAGCATCTCAAGACCAGGCAGGATCGATTTGGACACGTGCTTGACGTCGGCGTTGAGCGATTTGGACAGCGGTTGCGGGAGGTTCAGGGGCTCGGTCGCCGTCATGCAAGTGTACGTGGTCGAGATGTTGGCCATCAGGGCCGTGACGCTATGCAGCGCCTTGTTGTATTGCTCGACCTATTCAGTTAGTAACGCACACACGTCTCCTCAGTTCTCGCGGCACCGTGTCTCTGCTCACCATCTCCAAAAAGTCGAGGTTCTCGGCGCCGCCAACAGAGCGCGTGTACTCCATAAGTCGCTGCCGCGCCACGGGGTCGTCGAGCACCACGCGGACCGTCTCCCACGAGAGAAGCTTCGGAGTCGTCGGTGTCCCTGCCACGGCGCCCGGAGCCCGATTGCCGCCATCCCCCGTCTCGTCTCCGAATCGTCCGTCCGAGTCGAAGCGCTCGTCTGTCGGTGGTAGCCGCGTTGACCCGTCTGCATTGTAGTCCGTGTACCGCCGCAGCGCAGCACTGTTGGTGTGCAGTGCCAGGCCCGAGTTGCTGCGCAGCCGGTGGATCGACAGCGTCTCCTCCGCGCTGCTGGAAATGCTGCGCGTCCGTGCCTGCTCACTGTCTCGGTCGCGCCCTCGGTCGCCGCGGCTGTTCCGCTCGTAGCCGCGCTCCGAGGCCGCACTCTGCACACTGCTCATCGACATGGTCGGCGACATGGGACCGCTCGACCGCCGCCGCTCGTACAATGTCCCACTGATGTCGAGATGCGCCAGCTCGTCTGGTTGTTTGGCCAAGGTGTAAGCATACGCATCAATGGGCGTCGACACGGCCGATCCTGACGAGGACGGTGCTTGGGCAGGTAGACTCCGGCGGCGCTCGCTCCGGTTGGACGCCGATTTGGTGCTCCGGGCACTGGGTGGCGGCGTGGGCAGAGCAACGGGCTGGCGCGCGTTTTGGTAATCAAGGCCCGAGGACGGCTTGGCCAGGGCCGACGCCGGGCGCTGAATCGACAATTTTCTTGGCGAAGACGACATTGTTGCTGCTCCGCAAAGATACGGGGATGATAAGGAGAGGCGATGTTTTCGGCCGAAGTTGCCTGCAGGTGGACATCTGGCGAAGTGAGCACTACAGCATGGCCGGTGGGAGTAGAAAGCGTCAGAAAACAAGTAGGGAAATCGGTAGGATGTTCTGGTTGCGTGCCATGCTGAGAAACGAGAGGAAACGACGCTGCAAGAATATTTAGTCACAAAGAAGAAAAGGATCAGGAGAGGATGCTTTGAGTAAAGTAGGCAACAAATGAGGTAAAATAACGGAGGAAGGAGAGGAGCGGGAAGGTGAGGAAGGCACGATCGATAAGATGAGTTTCTGAAATAGGAAAGAAAGGGGAAAGTCTGTTGGGTCCCGGGAGGCAAGTGCTCCGCTACGACATACGTCGTCGGCCTTTTTAGCGCCGTGGTCAGTCTTGGTGATCTGCCACAAACTGGGTGCTCGGTACAAATAAAGCACAGGCTAGACGATCGTTTTGCCAACCATACTGTGTACATTGTAATGTTTCTCAAGACGCAAGATTTGAGACGGATGGAGCGAGCATGTTTCTTCGAGGGCATCACATGCATGCAGGGACGTCGCTGCCATCAATGGGTAGGAACGCAAGACTCGAGGTCAAAAGCGGAAAGAACCATGTGTCCCCAATATTCTAGTAAGCATTTGGAATTGGAGGAAAGAACAGGGAGAGGAGCGGTAGAGTAGCAGCGAAAGAGGGAAAGAGGGAAAGAGGACGGATTGCGCCAGGACATCCATGTTAGTTTCTTGGAAGGCAGGAACTAGGGTGATTATTCGTGCTGTGGTGGTCGGGCCTTCCCACTATGTAATCCTCGTTGTATTTTCGGGAAAGGGCAACAGACAGCCGCGGGCCCGGGAGATGATAGTGAAGAGGCAAGAGCGAAGCGGCAAGGCAGACCAAGGCATGCGGGCGTAAAGGGAAGAGGTCAAGCCAAGTCAACGGGGAAACGAGGAACTCGACAGAATACCGATAACAACCTGCATCAGAGGGACACCGGCCTTGCAGATGCAGTGCATGGAACAATGCTCGAAGGACGGCAGAAGCCCGCCGACACATGGCAGCATGCAAACGCATAGAAACGAACCAGAGACATCCCTCGCGCAAAAGGCGCAGGATTCAATGCCCGGACAAGCCAATGCATGTGTCGACACTGTCATAACGATGACTCCCTTGCCCCGTATCATTTTCTCCTAGCAACTCAGGCCCCTTTTGACGCGCAGATGTAGTGCCGTTTCCCGTTCTGCAACACGGTGCTGTTCTTTCCTCTTTGGGAAACTGACAACTTGAAAACAGCCAACCAGACGGCACAGCGCATCGCTTGAAGAGGGCCATGACCTCTCCAGCACCCCCACTCGACCCGCACCGCTCCTTCCCGGATGGCACATCAAGCAAAAAGCGACAAAGAAATTCGACATTTGTCGACGATCAAAATTGGCCGAGAAAAAGCAAAATTAGTAAGAACGATCGGCCAAAAAACGCCCATAAATGAAAAAGGAAAGATGCCGGAGGAGGTCGACCAGCGACACAATGCAATACAGGGTACGATTTACATTCGTACAAAGCAAAGCAGGTCGCGATATGCCGAGCTGAACGCCTATTGTAACATGGAGCATCCGCTAGCATGGATGGATTCGAAAGTTAAATTAGGGGATGCCTAATCGCTGCTCGCCCCGGGCGCCGCCGAGTAAGGAAGAAGCCGGTCGTTGCTTCCATTTAGTGAAGCACGAACGCTTTCCGAATCGACCGAATTGAAGAAGGAGCGCTGTCACGGAAGGAAAGAGCGCATTTCACAATGTTCTAGGCACGTGCCGTTACCCCTTTTGTCGTACCATGGGAAAAGATCGGCCACATCGTCTACCGCGTCCTTTTGTCGTTTTGTG